AGTACGTCGGCCTCCCCCATGCCCCCATGCATGATCAATGTTGGAAAAAGTGGGTTGAATTTTCTCTTCTCAGTCATTCACACAACATTGAATTGGGGATGAGGGGGGCATTATGCGGTTGTCTCAATAATTTTTGCTCCTGATTGTAGGTGTTTATAATACAGAAATATTCATATTCAACCATGAATGAAATTATATATTGCATAAAATTTAAAACAGAAAAATTTAAAACGCAACTATAAGATTTGCATCATCCATGGCTGGTCATGTGGCCGCGATCCAAATCGCCCCCCCCCCCAAATATTTTGCGAAGTGTCCATCTCTGAATGTACCCAAAACAATCGCTCTAACGAATAGCCCTAACAACGATCGAGGGTGCCTTACCAAGGAACAAAAAGGCCTGGGTATGAGGTTAAGAACAGTTGTCAGGGAAATTTCCCAAAAATTTTTGTCAAGGAAAAGTTGTCCAGGAAAGCATGTTCGCCTGTGCGGAGATTTAAACATACTTATGATTTTCCAGGAAACGTATAAGAGAGATAACACACACTATGGCAGCAAAAATAGCAGCAGCGATCAACGTACCTAAACGAGAAAACGTTATAAAATCTATATGCCCGGGAAACATTGAGTAATATATGTTGCGTTTTGTAAATGCATTTACTAACAACCAGTGTGGATTATAGCAATTTTGCTTGGGTCTGACAAATGTCCGCTAAAGTGTGAGTTCCTCGGACATTGGCTAATAATGGTCCGCCAGCTTTCAATATTTCCATTGATAGCTTATGCTAATCACTTCCCACATGACCATGCTTGTTGCCCTTTTGGCATTGGGAGTCCATTCTTCAAGCTTTCAGTGTTGTAAAATGTTTTAACGCAAAATTTCGAGTAGACATTTACCAAAACTCGATGCTTACATGCAAGCGTTGCGCCATCTTGATTCTTACAACTTAAATTTGAATCTCAAATGAGAGTAATTTCAATACTCGGACAACAGCTTTACATGCAATTCCAAACGGTGGAAAAATGCGATTTCCAGCGGCATTTTTAAATCGTATCGTGTCTGGCTATTTGATTGCAATAATACAAAAAAGGTACCATTCGACAGCTAAAAGCCTGGGGCCGGTTGTACGAAGGTCGGATAATTAGCGTATACGGTATATATAGACGCTGCATGCGAAAAGTGAAACGCGGGTTGTGTTTTGTCTCACTTAGCATTTTTTTCTTAGTCACTATACCAGCAGTTTACTAAATAGCAGGCTGCAGTTTACTAAATACTGAGCCGGCTGCTGGAAATGTTTTTTTCATAGCAACCATGGAATTCCTTTGCGCAGATACATGTACGCCTAGCGTACCTATTTTTTGAATTGGCTGTATAATTCACGATAACATGTCAAAATTCGATTACCTTTTCTTTTATACACCCTGTGTAGATGTACACAAAAAACGTATAATCAAAAGTAATTTTCTAAAAGTAAGAAAAACTCGATCCTAACTTATCGTGCTCGGAAACGAAAAGTAAACTGCAGTTTTAAAAGTTGTTTTCAACTATATAAAGAAACAAAAATTTTGCATATCAACTACACTCTTGGCCAAAAGTGCGTAGAACGACTAAACAAATTCGCAACTTTTTAGTATACTTGGGTTTCTACTACACGTAATATTTTGTCTGCACGTACAATATGTTAAACCATAAATATATAAACGAAACGTCAACATTGAATGGGGGGAGGGGGGAGGCCTTGAAAATGCACAAAAATTTATCATCGTTCTACGGTTAATTTATGGCCAAGATTGTAGATAAACATAAATTTTGCTGCCGATGTCCTTTACTCTTTAAAGAAAATGTAATGAAATATGAAGTATAAACTAACCAAACACACCAGGTGCAATATTGCCTGGCAATCTAGAGTTATCAAGTTTGTGCAGCCACGTAATTCCCAGATACACGAACACTAACGACATCTACAAGGAAAAATAAGACTGATTTACATAGAGAAGAATCATTCGTTTAGACAAACATCCCAGCTAGGCGGGAAATTTGCCCTATATAGGCTGGATGGCATATCTATATCGACAAAATACACAGCCATGAGTTAAGTAAAAGGTTTATGTGGCGAATTTCCCGTTTTTTCCCATTTTTGAAATAGTTCACTTGAATTTTAGATGACTTCCTTGTAAGCTAAATTTACTAGTTTGTTTGTCTTATTAATTCACTAGTTTGTTTGTTTGCCATATGGATACTTTTTATTCTATAAAGTTAAAAAAAAATCGATTTAAAAATTGTATGACTCACCGCGAAAAGTAAAACAGAGCACATCATGACCACGGAAAGTGTTTGTGTCGAGAACTTAAAATCTGTACAAAAAAGGGAAAAATTTGGAACTTGGTTGTCATGTTGTTGAACTGTGCTGAATAGAACTAAAATAACCATTAATCAGTGTAATGAATACAGTTATAGTTTGATGACATATAGGCTATGTTGGTTATCGCACGTGCCTTTCACCCTCGCTCTACGTACGGGGTTCGGTCCGCAACACTTACTTTTCTCGGGATTGTAAATTTTCCTCAAGAAGAGCCCCAGTTTTGAATGGCGGGGAGGTCTACAAATGAAGCGAAATGTTTGATTCGTACTATTTGGTTTTCTGAAAACTAGGATTAGATACTGTAGCTACATGAGTATAAATGAAGTCGATGGTCGCCATATTAACCGAGTGACCCCCAAAACTCTATCGGTGTGCTGTGGGAGGGGGGGGGTTGGCACCAAAGAGAAAAGGGTTGGAGAAACAAAATTTTGAGTGAGTAAAAGGTTGGGCAAATGAAAAACAAAACAACAGTCAAGGGTTGCGGTAATAAAACAATTCTATATATATATATATATATATATATATATATATATATATATATATATATATATATATATATATATATATATATATATATATATATATATATATATATGTACATATATATGTACGTATATATGTACATATATATGTACGTATATGTACATATACATATGTATGTATTATGTATGTATATTATATATATTATATATATATTATATATATATTATATATATATTATATATATAATATATATAATATATATATATATAATATATGTATAATATATATATAATATATATATAATATAATATAATATAATATAATATATAATAATATAATAATATATATATATAATAATATATATATATAATAATATATATATATATAATATAATAATATATATATATATATATAATAATATAATAATAATATATATATATGTATATATATATATATATATATATATATATATATATATATATATATATATATATATATATATATATATATATATATATATATATATATATATATATATATATATATATATATATATATATATATATATATATATATATATATTTAACAATTATGCCATGAGCTCGAGTCGTATATGAGCTGATAGCCGACGAGGTGCGTAGCACCGAGTCGGCTATCAGCCATATACGACGAGAGCGAATGGTATAATTGTTTTATAATATAGTCTAATATAGCCATTAACTGAAGCAGTAATTAATTATTCACTGTTACAATGTGTTGACAATTTGTTCGGCCAAAAACCGCTTGAAAATTTGGAATACTTTTGTTTTACAACTCGAAGACGAAGTGGAAGAAATGGTTTTAGAACCTCTATATCTCACAGGAAAGCTCAGATATATTATACAGATGTTTGGTAGTATAGTAAGTGCTTGTTGACTGCAAATTCATGATTTGTCTTTCGTTGCAAACTTTTCTGAACAATTTATATTCTCAATGAACATGTTTTTTCGCTGTTGTTTCGGTATTAATTCTTTAAAAAACTTGTATTTAAACTAATTTCTACGTAATAAATGTATTTTGCTAACCTGTCAAATTTTTTTTGAGAGTTTTTCCTTGTACTATTATGTTTTTCAAAGCGAATATTTTCCTTTTTCTGCTTCGCAAAACTCATGTAGTTTTTGGACCGCCATCTTGTTTTTCGCTACTCGTCGTATATGAGCTGATATACGGCGAGTAATTCAACCAATCAGATTGCAGAACAGCTCATATACGGTGGATGACTATATTATAAATATATATATATATATATATATATATATATATATATATATATATATATATATATATATATATATATATATATATATATATATATATATATATATACAGGGGTGGATCCAAACTAGTGCCACTAGTTTCCGGAAACTAGTCAAATTTTTCCAAACTTGTGAATTTATGTGTTTTTCTTCAAGTAATTAACAAATCGTTAATAAAATTTTCAGTAATTTTGACCATATTTTTTTTATATAATAATTTGGCGAAATCAGCCATTTTTGTTTATATACGGTATTTTTCACCGGAAGAGGGACCCTAGGAAACGCAAATCCGGGTTAAAATGCCTGTGCAATCCAGTGATCTATACAAATCAGCGATGCAACGAAATGCGTGGAATTTAGTGCCTTTGCGTGTGTGCACCAGTTCAATTTGCGTGGAAATTTTCCACGGAAACTAGTTAAGATCACATATCATTGGCCAACTGCAGATCAAATTATTTGTGCACTAGTCAAGACGTGCTGTCATTGGCTAGAGGCTGTTAATTAAATCCACGGAAACTACTCAGGCACTAGTCAAAAGTCAGAGTTATAAATACGACCGAACATTCCGTGGTGCTTTGCAGTGTTTGCGTGAAATGCTAATATGGCAACTTTCGCTATACCTCGTGGCGAACCTTTAGATCCAAAGGAAGATTGTTCTCCTTTTGACATAGGGTTCGTTTATTCTACAATTTCCAAGGCTTCTCCGGCAGAGAAGTTTCGCTTCATCAACAATGTTTGGAAGCCTTCTTTGAATTATAGTTTTCCTGCATCGGCTGAAGCCGCAGGAAAGCTACGAAAGTGTAGACACGAGTGGTTAGTTCGATTCACATGGCTTGTGTATTCAAAGTATCTCGATGGCGTCTTCTGTCTTCTATGCCGTTGTTTTGGAATACAATATGGCAAAAACGCAGCGAGGCTACAGAAGCTTTTCCGATCGCCGCTTACTTTCTGGACAACGGCTGTAAGGCGACTCCAAAATCACTCATCCGGCAAGTGTGAAACACACAGCTTCTCTGTGGTGGCCATGGCAAACTTCATGGATGTGATGACGAGACGCACTGTGGCGATTGACAAGCAGTTAAACCAGATTACTTTTCGGCAGATCCAACAGAATCGTGAAAAGATGAGGTCTATTATTAAGACAGTAGTGTTTTGTGGTCAGAATGCAGTGGCTTTACGTGGTGCAAGAGATGACAATCCTGACGACGAAACTCTTCAGGGCAATTTCCATGCTTTGTTGGCTTTTCGTGTTGATAGTGGAGACAAGACGCTGCAAGAACACTTTGAGAATGCCCCTCGAAATGCTACCTACCGTTCAAAAACAATCCAGAACGAGATTATTAACACTGTTGGCAGTTACATTACTTCAAAAATATCTGCAGAAATTAAAGAAAGTAAGCTGTTTTCAGTGTTGGCAGACGAGGCAGCTGATATATCCAACAAACAGCAGCTTTCCTTAGTCCTACGATTTGTCGATTCAAGTCAGCAGATTCGAGAGGAGTTTGTTGGTTTCTACCATTGTGAATATGGAACCAGTGGAGTGGCATTGAAAGAGATGATTCTGAAGGCTGTAGCTGACCTTGGTTTACCAATGGCTAACTGCAGAGGTCAATCCTATGATGGTGCTGGCGATATGGCAGGAAAGTACAATGGTGTTTCGTCACTTATCCAAGGTCAGTTTAGCAAAGCTTTTTATGTTCATTGCATGAACCACCGCCTCAATCTCTGTGTTGCCGATACTTGCTCTGAATATTTAGTTAAAGACATGATGTCTGTTGTAAGGAGTCTTTTCTCTTTCTTCTCTGGCTCTCCTAAACAGCAACAGCATTTAAAAGAGAAGGTTAAGTCTTTATTGCCTGCTTCCAAGCATGAAGTTTTAATTAATGTTTGTGAGACCAGGTGGATTGCTCGCCTTGATGGCTTGGATAGAATTGTTGAGCTCCTTCTCCCAGTTGTATGTACGATAGAAGATATTGCACACAATAGGAAAGGGGGGGACGAAGAATCTGATTCTGGTGATTGGAATCAAAATAGCAAAGCAGCTGCTAAAAAGATGCTGCCCTCTATAACTTTTCAATTTGTTGTTACTTTGGTCATAGTTAGATATGTATTAGACTTAACTAGACCTGCACTGTAAAGCTGCAAAGAAAAGAAATGGACCTTTTGAAGGCTCATTCAGAAATTTCATCTTTGAAGAAAAATCTTCAAGACTTGAGGTCCAACATTGATAGAGAACACCATAAACTCTATCAGGAGGCAGTGGAACTTGCAGCTACAATTGGGCTTGACCCCTGTAAGCCTAGAATTATTCCAGTGCAAGCACATAGAAATAATAATCCATCAGATTCTATTGAAGGGCATTATAGAGTTAATCTTTCTGTTGTTTTTCTTGATCATGCTTTAAATCAACTTGAAACTAGGTTCCCTCCTGAAGCCTATACATGTTACAGTGGGTTTTCTATAGTTCCCACTGTTATGTTGGCAAACCCATCCACATGGAAAAATTCTGTTACACTATTTTGCCAACATTATTCTAGTGACATCCCAAATGTCATTGGTTTGCCTGCCGAATTAACTTTATGGCAAAGAAGATGGAAAGATAAGGTTGAGGAAGTTGGTATAGACAAACTTCCTGACAGGGTATCCAAAACACTAATATCTGTAGACCCTGTAGCTTTTCCAAATATTTTTACTGTATTAAAGATATTGGCAACTATTCCTGTCACCTCCTGTAGCTGTGAAAGGTCAATTTCATCTCTCAGACTTCTTAAGAACTATTTAAGGAACACTACAGGCCAGGAAAGACTAAATGGTTTGACCCTAATGCATGCACATAAGGCAATTTCTCTGGATTATGAACAGATCATTGATCTGTTTGCTACCCTTCATCCAAGAAGAATGAGAATGGTGCATATTTTATGTAGTGATGACTAAATTGACTAGTTATTCATGACTATATGACATGTTAATTTATGTACAAATGTGCATGATTAATTGAATATTAAATGCACATACAGTATATATTTGATCAAATGCATACAGCCATAAAGAACAATATTAAGCTAGCAACTTAATACACATGAATTCATAAAATGTTTCACATTTTGTTAGGCACATTTGTATGTGTTTTAAATATTTCCCGATAATCCCTTCTTTGACTTCTAAGTTTCTTCTTTGGAAGTGGTGGTTTGCTTTGACATATACTGAATAACTGAAATGTTACTTTGCTAACAATGGTCAACTGCATACGATTCAGATCATCCAGTGATATCCTAAGATGTTGTATAACTTTGAAAGAACAGTGGTAGTTGTGTGCCAATTGTCATTGTCATCTTACATTACTGACGTGAAGTCACAGTGAAGATAGCAGAAGAACAAATGAACAATGACATATTCATATTGATCATTGACATAAAGTATAAACTTAAAGGTTCTTTTTTAGAGACTGCAAATGCCTCAAAAAAAAAAAAATGAACTTTAATTGTTAATTTGTGTTTATTCCAGGACCTGGACCCCCTCCCTCCCCTTAGCTAACTCGCGCCTCACGGTGAGAGCTAGTGTTGTCTTGGAAACTAGTCACAAGAACGTCTAGATCCACCCCTGCAACAAACAGTTTCACGCGCAATTTTACGCCTGTATCTTTCACTAGGATTCCAAGGTCTAAACTTTAATCTAAAATAATGCATGGTCGTTTTTTCCCTAAAGTGTTCTAATATTTAAAACATAGTCCCGTTTGTATATTGCTGTCTTGTTCGTATACATTGCCGTTTTAAATTATGTAACTATACTATAAAATATAACTGTAACTAAATATATAAAATTTTATTCTCTATTAGTTAATGTATTTTATACATTTATATCCAAAATATAACTGTAAGATTTAAGGAAACGTATTTAGGTTTTGAACAAACACTATTTATTAAAAGTGTCGAATAATAGCAGGCTAAAAAACAACATTAATCATTATTGCGTGAAGTCTAATAGACAATTTGAAAACCCGTGGCCGCGGCATCGATTCTGCCGTGTTTAATAACTACATTTTTTTTAAAAAAGCTCTTGTTGTAATAATATATGTCACTAGTTGAGACTCCCAAAAAGAAAGTCTCAAAGAGAGAGACAAAATTTGCAAAATTTCCAGGTGTAAATTCAAATTGGCCAGGTGTTCTAAGAACGACTTTCCTCGACGGCGTCTGTTTTAATAATTTGCCCATTGTCTTGACTTATTCAAGACCAGATTGTTTAGGCAGAAATTGACAGGGAAGTATTTGGGAGAAATGTTCGGAGGCATTTGACAATCAACTGCTTTATATTAGCTGATTCACTGCCTGTGTCTCAACGAACGTCTCGCTGGGCTAAGTTGTTCAACGTTTGAAAACACACACAAAAGTCTCGAAGATTTCTGCCGCAAGTGATGCAAACGCGGTTAGATAAATTGTCAGCCTGAACTAGACTTATTTTACTCTCTCTGCAAAGATCAGCAAGGCATACGTCGAAGTTTTCCCTTGTACTTCTTTGGAAATGGTTTATAGCTGACGAGGACAAAGTATTGGTCAGATTAAACTTTTATCAAATCCCGTTGGAAGTACAGTTAATATTGCTAACCTTCGCTCATCCTTCAACGTTAATTTAAATTGAAAGTTTCTCAAATACATTCAGTTACTTCTTCGAAGAGATAAACAAAGTCATGGTTTTATACGCCACTGATTGAATGCCAGCTTTAAAATTACATTGCAAAATGTCGTACGAGTTAAATATTTGCACGATATTAACTCATGGGGCACTTCTGACCAATGGGAATTTTGCGTACGCTCCGTACGCACAAATCGACTTTTTACTAATAAAGGTCGCAGGCCGTACCTCGCAGCCTCTGCCTGACAAACGGCCTGCGAGCAGGCTAAGTCCGTATGTAAACAAAGGCTTTGTTTACATTTCGGTATCCAAAATAATGAATTTTATTCGACAACTATTTATATTTTCATGATTCTAGAGTATAATAAATTATCAACAGACAACAATCAAGCTTTGCAAGAACATAAAATGAAATAAAAACCTAAATAAACTTTTTTCTTTTTTTTTTAACAGCTTTATTGGACATACATATAAAAAAGTGCAAATATGTCAAATCCTCGCTCTCTGGTAATATATCTTCTGGTCGGCTTATTTATTGCTCAGTTCTTCAAATATCCTATGAAATTATCGGGCAAGGATGCCAAGTTACAAATGCTGATGGCAGCTAACGACGTGAGCCACCCAAAGATTCCTGAATTTCGCCCGAAGTTAAGATCTAAAGGGAGCAGCTTTCAGACCAAGATAACGCTTGCCGTAAAAGTGGCTACGGCCACACGTTTCCTAAACATGGCGCTTGCTGCTAACCTTATATTGTTGTCGAATGACATATCATTAAACCCTGGCCCTTCAACAAATTTCCCTGCCAACATGAAGGGTTTGCGTGTGTTTCATCTCAATATATGCAGCCTAAGAAACAAACTGGACGAACTACGATTATTTTGTGACAAGTATCAACCACATGTACTCTCGCTAAACGAAACATGGCTTGATAATTCATTTATGGATAACGAAATCTCTCTTCCTGGCTATAACCTGATGCGAAGAGACCGAAATCGTAATGGCGGGGGTTTAGTTGTTTATGTCGCTGAAAACCTCGGTTTTAACCAGTTAGAAAACAATGCTATTATACCACCGATAGACGAGAATATAGAGGCCATATGGTTTGAGTTAACCCAACCTAAAACTAAAAATATCTTAATTGGTGCTTTTTATAGACCTCCCCATCTTGACCCTTCTATATTTATAAATAATTTAGAAAGAGGACTGGCCAATTTTACGAAAGACGGTATCGAAACCATTTTGCTAGGTGATTTCAACTTTGATTATGCTGCCCCAAGTATGTCGTCAACAACCAAAAACCTTCAACGCGTGACCAGGATCTATTGTCTTAAACAGATAATTACCACGTTCACAAGAATTACGCAACATTCCAAAACGTTAATTGACCTATTTTTTACATCTAGACCTGAATTATATTCTTCTGGAGTCATACAAATCGGTTTCTCTGATCACCTCGCTATTGTTGGAGTTAGGAAACTCCACAGAATAAAGCCTATGCCGCCAAAGACTGTCCAAGTTCGGAACTATAAGAATTATGACTCTGAACTGTTTAAAACAGATTTAAGCTATGTCCCTTGGGACATATTAGAGATGGAACCAAATCCTGAAGAAGCATGGAATTCGTTTAAAGATTTATTTAAAACAGTAGCAGATAGTCACGCACCAGTTAGTACCCGCCGTGTACGTGGAAGATCACTACCCTGGATTACTCGCGAAGTAAAGAACCTAATGAAGGAGCGCGATTATTACCACAAGAAAGCAATAAAGACAAATCAAGAGATCTACTGGAGCAACTACAAAAGGCTACGCAATGCTGTTACTGGGAAATTACGGAAAGAAAAAAGTATTTATTACTCCTCTCAGTTAACTGGAAAACAAGATTCCAAACAAATGTGGAGGACATTGAATGACCTTTTGCCAAAGAAAAAGAACACTACTTCCACACGCTACCAAAATCTTACAGCGACTGCATTCAACCAGTATTTCACTCAAATTGCTAGTACTTTATGTAAGCATTTTGGAAATACTCTGTTGCCTCTCATTATGACCCCTAGAGTCAACCAAGATTTTGCTCTAAATGATGTGAGCTCAAGCTTTGTCCATAATGAACTGCGGAAGTTGAAAGGCAGTAAAGCTACTGGTCTCGATGGGATTCCTGCAAAACTGCTAAAGGATGGTGCCAGTGTGATTGCCAAGCCAATTGCGCATCTTATCAACTTGACAATCAGAAGCGGAGAAATTCCTTTGGAATGGAAGGAGGCAAAGGTTATACCTATTTTTAAATCTGGCAAAAGAAATGAAGAGAACAATTATAGACCTATCTCAGTTCTCCCTTTGATCTCCAAGATAATGGAACGTTCAATCCAAACCCAGCTTGTGGCATTTCTTACAGAGAATAACGTCTTATCCGTACATCAATCAGGGTTTCGTAAGAATCATTCCACTGAAACTGCTGTTATCCATGTTGTTGACCATATATTGCAACATATGGATAAGCAGCAAGTGACAGGTGCAGTGTTTGTTGATCTCAAAAAGGCGTTTGATCTTGTCGATCATGAATGCCTTTTTTACAAGTTAGAACACTATGGAATTAGAGGTCAGACCATGAGCTGGTTTCGGAATTACCTCACAAACCGGACACAAAGAGTAAATTATGCAAACGAACTATCTCCTAGCCGAGTGTTGAATTATGGCGTTCCCCAGGGATCTGTGCTTGGGCCGTTATTATTTGTCTTACACATAAATGACTTGCCAAAATGTCTATTAAGCTGTTCAATCAGTATGTACGCCGATGACACAATAATTTATTTTTCTGGTTCTGATACCAATGAGATAATGGAAACCCTTCAAAATGATTTAGATCGTGTTGCACAATGGATGACGTCCAGTAGACTTGTTTTAAATTACAGCAAAACTAAGGTTATGCTTTTTGGAACAAAACAAAAACTTGGTCGTTTCGGAGACTTTACCATCCAACTACAAGGCAAACTAGTTGAAAGAGTGCCAAAGTTTAGTTACTTAGGCGTAATGCTAGATGAACAAATATCATGGAAAGAACATACGGAAGAGATCTGCAACAAAGTGAGCAAGCGATTAGGTATACTTTCGCGAATACGGTCTTGCTTGACAATTGAGGCATCTAAATGTGTTTACAATTCAGTGGTGCAACCTATTTTTGACTACACTGATGCTGTATGGTCCGAGCTGCCTGCTGGGTGTTCTCAAAGCCTCCAAAAACTGCAAAACCGTGCAGCACGAATAATATTACAACGAGACAGCTCCAGAAATACGTTTGACATTTTAAATTGGGTAGATTTATCTACTCGTAGACAAATTCACAAGTGTGTTTTAGTATTTAAATGTTTGAACAATTTAGTCCCAGAATATTTAAGTGGATATTTTGTAAGGAATTCAAATATTCATTCTTATAATACTAGAAGGAAAGATGATTTGCACTTACCAAAACCAAATCTTAGTCTGGGCAAGAGATCTTTTCTATACTCGGGATCACTGCTTTATAACAATCTTCCAGATCGAATTAAAAAGGCAGGGACCTTGTCTAATTTCAAGTCTCTTATACAAAGACACAGTTTTTAATAATTAATACTCATTGTACAATTAGGTTTTTATAATTATACATTTATATATGTACTATTACTAGTTTAGTTTATTATATTTTCTTATTGTGTAAATAGATATATTTATATACGCAGGGCCCCTATGGATACCAGCCTAGTGCTGAATGGGCCACCCTGCTAAAATAAAGTTATCTTATCTTATCTTAGACAGACAGTGAGAAAATGTTGATACAATAGTAACGACGTTATAAGGCGATAGAATATTGCAGCGATGCAGCCGTTTACTGACGCATCTCGATGCATACCGCAAGATAATGCGCAGTATTGGCAGGAACATGTTCTCATATGAGGAATTGGAAATGTAAAATACTCCTCGACTCGCATTGAGAATGGTGGAATTTCGTATACAGGTACATCGTTTACTTTTTCCCTATTACACGTATTTAAGATTTAGCACTTCACAAAGCAATAACTAACATGATTTGGTAAAGGTGTTTTGTTTCCCGCCATAAATAAGATGGCGCGAATGTCGAAGACATGTTACTGTGATTATTGAATATATTGCGTATAGCTATATAGTGCCTAAGTGCCATACGTAATACATTCATTAATTTAGTTCAGTTTTACTACAAATTAAATACTACAAGGCTATGCTAACCATGGTGCGTCTACATAATAACTATATTATCCTAGTATTAAAGTGTGGTTAACATTACTTGCGGGGATTCGAAATATGATACGGCATGTTGAAACACAGCCGTGGTATGCAAAACATTCACTGGACGAATAAAGCTCTTATATATCTGTTGTGGGCATCATTATATTAAACCATGTTTAAGACAATATTCAAACAACAAATTTATGGCTTGGATTATTTTTGAACCGACTGTAAGGAGGGCATGTAGTTGCGGGTGACAGGCTATATTTATATACATCCTTTTATCCTACAGTTATCTATACAAGACTATAATTAAATATAATAAAAGATATCAGTCAAATTGGGGAATTAACACGTCATATTATGAAATTGCGATGTTCCTATGTTAATAATTCATTGTTGAGAGTCAAACTTTCAGCTCATAACATGATCAACAGGATAATTATAATGTAAAGTGTAAGTTGACAAGTATATTGATTGATGAGAACCTTCTGTGACTATATCAAGCTTAAATCTTAATGAATCGGAAATGACTTGACAGATCTAAATATCAAATGTCATACTTGAAATATTTTGCCTGAGGCTATAGTTTAATACAGCTATCTCATTGGACAGAATCAGTAAACCTTTCCGATAGAATGATTTCTATTGGCTGGGCTTGGAAAAGGTTTCCCAAACATGAAAGATTCAGAGTTCTCAACACATGATTGGTTCTTACTGGAATGGCTTTCTCACAGTCTAAGCATACGCCCAATTTGTCTGGTTTAATTTGGTTTAGTCTGGTTTAATTTGGCAGGTTGTTCACCATAGATTATATTGCAATTTGCCACTATAACTTACTAAAATGATAATTTTGGCACGAAAAGTCGGTCTATTTAGCTCAAAATCATCTTTCAGTACTGACAAAAGTTCATATACGATTGCGCGAAATATAAAATTGTGGTGAAACACACAAAACAACTTCAAAATCAAATTGGAAAGTGAGGCTTCCTAAATGTCGTCAAGCATTGCCGAGCATGACGGAGTTGGCATACACTGAAGTATACGTTTTGAAAGCCAGAAGAATATAACAGGGATGTAAAGAAATTAATTTATAGATGGAACGGGCATAATCGTGTTAGTTCTTGGTAAGTGAATCGAATATTTTCTATTTGTAAATATTGTGTGATAGTCACATTTGGCAATTAATACCACAATTAATTCTGCGACTGCAAGTAAACAAACGAAAAATTATGTGTACTTTAGACTCAACAATGAATACTAATAGCTTAACTATTGAAAAACACTATAAGTTTGATATAGACAAGGGATAACCGGTTTGATTTGGCCATTCACAAAATATGTAGGATTTAGGGGTGCACCGGAACTCTGTTGTTTTCAGAGAGATAGAATATCAAATGTTTTTGTGTCTAACAAAAGTTCACAGTAGGAAGAAATTTGGACTACCAAGGGAAATGTACACTATTAGCACTTCATTATGACGTTTAATGTTTGTCAATATTTTTATTCTAACATTTGTGAGCTCTCTCTTTGATGTGGTATAAGCTGATTCAAAGGAGAAGTAATTTTTGAGGTCTTATTTAATATTTTTATAAACTTTGGACATATTCAGTTTAATAGGGCCATGCAAAGTTTCTGCTTATTATAGGAATAGGTTAATGCACCTTGCTAATGTCAAGGCAAAGCTTGAGCTGCACAGATTACTGTGTCTTGAGTAAGCTGTAACAGATTACTAGTTTGCCTCATGGAGGCAAGTAATACATTATTAAAGTCTAAGGTATAATTATCTCTACTTTTAGGTCTTTATATCAGTGGCATACATGTGATTCACCAGATTATCTCATGGTTGTAAAAAAGATGAAATAATACCATTGTGTTCTGTTTATCAAACTATCTACAGCTTTTTAATGGGAAAGATGATGACTTCAAAGGATATGAATATTTGGTCCGAAGATGATAAATAAGAAATATAATTTCAAAGCACAACTATAACCACAAATATGATTTTTGGTATGTGCAATATCTGTGTCATTCGTTTGAAGAAATGTTATCTCTATAATAAAAAATCGCTTCTGTGTCATAACCTTTGTAGTAAATTACGTAAATGCACCTTACTGGAACTAATGTACAATTCATTATGCATGATATGAACATGTGCACGTTATTGTGTAACTTGAGAATATTCGTATATAGAATAAAGTGTTAAGTGAAGAGCTTGTCTTCCTTGAATATACCTATTATACTAGTATCTAAGTTACTACACCTTCATCAACCTTTTCACTGTCAAAGTTTCCAGATATGATGTCATTAGGTGACTTTTACTATAAAGATACATCACATTTCTTCTTAGAATTATGACCCAAATATCACACAAACCAAAAATTCTATTTGGGGTTGGTGTGACATCACATCGCATAATTACATTTTGAAAACACATTATTTTATCTTGATAAAATATGTTTAAAAACAAATACAGAGGATTAATTACCAGTTATGAAATTAATACATATACAAGGGCAATTTTTAAGTTTTTTAGATACATATTCGTCAAGAAAACTATAATTTTCTGAAAATCATTATGTGATGTGATCCTTACCAAAGCAAAAGTATGCGAAAGATATGGCAAAGTTTGGGCCATATATGACCCATATGTGGGCATGATATGGGACAGTATAGATATCATGTGGGATTGGTATGGTGTCTAAATTTGTTAAATATTGAGATAGCTATTGGAACAAACACATTGCTATTAATCCTATGGGAAATCTGTGGGGTTACTTGGTCCATAGATAATCCATATCAATGGCATGCTTTTACATATAACCAATTCTATGGGAATTATATGGTAGTCCACACTTGGTTGTCCCATATACTTCCCATATCTATGGGAATTATATGATAGTCCACACTTGGTTGTCCCATATACTTCCCATACCTATGGGAATTATATGGTAGTCCACACTTGGTTGTGCCATATACTTCCCATATCTATGGGAATTATATGGTAGTCTAAACTTGGTGTGGTTCTGGCCTCCCATAGAGAATCCATACATATGATTTCTATGGCAATGCTATGCCAACACTTACGAAAATGTCCTATGGGAATTCCTATAAGAAATGAAATTCCTATAGGATTTGAAAATTCCTATAAGAATTCATATAAGATTTGAAAATGGTGAAAAAATTCCTTTAGGAAAACGAAATTCCTATATATATATACATATAGGAATTAAAAATTCCTATAGGAATTCCTATAGGATTGGAAAATAAATTTATTCTAACATTAATTAAGTGAATAATTACCGCAATGTGCGCGACCAACAGACTGGTGTCTAGTTTTTTGCCACGCACTCAAAGCATCTTGGGATAGGTCATTACACCTCCAATATTTTATTAATTTTTTGTTTGTGAATGCTTTATATGTTCAAAATAGAACTATTTTTGATGAGATTCAACTGGATTTTCACTAGTAATACACCAGCGATGTTTGTATAATGTTCAGGTGAGCATATGTTTATATTTTGTTTATAATAAAGCAAATTATAAAGGAATACCTAGTCCAATCTTCATTCGTGAAATTCGAGCATGTGTGTCGATCGGTTTAAAATTTGAATTTGCCGCGACAATAATGGATTTCTTCGAACGCTGATATAAATATATTTATCTGTCATTTATACTTCAATAAATGCTACTATAAGAGTTTTATATTTGAATTAGACTTATCATGTTTATTGGTTAATATATTTGTATATGCTAACTGTATATGCAAGATTAATTGCAGACATTAACTCAATTCGATCCGCCAATATTAATTTCCGACGTATATGACAGGAAGATTAAATATTAAAGAACTTCGCGGGTATTTGCAGTAGACATACGAAAATACCACCAAAAAATTCCGCTTGATCGATACTATATATTCAGAAATATTCATATAATTTTATTGTTTCTCGCTCAATTTCAAGCGAATTTCTTACCTTGAAATGATCAATGCGGTGAAATTTATGCAAATGACACATTATCAATTTTGCTGTTGCATTTTGAATGTTCTGCCTGATTCAAATGCTCGTCTTTTTGCTTCTTTTCAACGTATAATAATAACAAATATACCAAAAGAATCGCCATCTTCCATTCTATAGCTCAGAGCAGTCTCGGGAAATTGCAAAATAATCTAAGCCTATTATGGCAATTCTCGTGATCGGAAAGTGTTCGGCCAACTTCGGACGCCAAATTCTTGGTAAAGCATTACAGTTTCCTGGTAAAAGACTGCAGGAATCACTTCCGGAGTGTTTGTTTACCTTAGATACGGATTTTGATTGGCTTAGGCGGAAAAACAAATCTTTTAGAGCAATTTTCCTGATTATCGCGCACGGGAACGCACGAGCGTTGAAATGTATTGTGTTGTAGTTTTGTTTGAATCGTATTCTGAAGATGTTTTTGGCTTTATTTTGCAAACTGATAGTGCTAGTAATGATGGAATGTCTTCGTATGAAGACAAGTATCTCAACCTGGCATTGGGAGTCGTGTCTGGAGTTTCAAGGCAAGTATTTGTATCATTTCTAGACAATTTCTATTTCAATGTTTTGCCGTTGACATGGCATTGTAAATTTATTTGTATTTAGTATAGCTTCATTAGTACGACCAAGTATGTCCTCATATCGCTTTTTTGTGTTGAAATAATCGTTTCATACTGAAATTCACAAATATAAATGGTATTTATTTATATTGTTGATGAAAATTTATGGTGTTTTAGGCACAAAAATCTCTGATTCCTAGGCGAAGTAAAATGAGCCTTGAGCACATGTTTGGTTGTTTGTTACATACATAATAGCCAAGTATTCATACTTATATCTTACTAGTTGGCTCTTATTATAATTTTAAGTGGCACCACATCTATAAAAGTTTTTATTTGCACTGATGAATATATTGATCCTGTTCCTATCTGCTGTTCCTGTTTCATAGCCTCAGGGAAGTAGAGTTCTGATGAGTCATGAGAACCCCACTCACCAACCCAGAGGGAAGGTAGGGGGATGAGTAGAGGTAGAAGGAAGCCCAGCCATTAGGACCTAAGGTTTCGAAAGCTCCCTGTCTAGCATCCCCACTAGGCCCCATAGTACATGACGGATATGATGATCCTGACGCTAGGAATGTTCTCCCAGATTTTGCTCCTCACTGACATGTCCGGGATCCGTTTCGATCAACTGTGCACATGTGAGCTTGAGTTCATTCGACTCTTTTTTACTAAGGGAATGCTTCAGGAGGTAGTTTCCTGGCCATACCAATACATATGCCCACATACAAATAACTCAAAAGTTATCCCCATATACTAATAAAGAAGGGTCTTGCAGTCCACCAACCTTGAGAGGTTGATTGCCTTTTAGTACCGGGTGGCGCAAAAAAAAGTATAACTGTTTGATTGCATATAGCTCAAAGACCATAAGCAGTAGAACCCAAAATCGAGTTTCATTGCATCCAGCGATGTCTAACTTAAATTTTGGTATATTCGACAGGCATTTTCGGCCAAGATTGACTGAGATATGAGTGTTTAAACTTTTGTTAGCAAATTTGAAACGGTCACAAATTAGCTAAAAACGGCCTATTAAACTGATTTTTAGCTAATTTGTGACCGTTTCAAAATTGTTAACAAAAGTTTAAACTCTTATATCTCAGTTAATCTTGAACGAATATGCCTGTCAAATATACCAAAATTTAAGTTAGATATCGCTGGATGCAATTAAACTCGATTTATGGTTCTACTGCTTATTGTTTCTGAGTTACAAGTAATCAAACAGTTGTACTTTTTTTTGCGCCACCCGGTATAATATGCAGGTTTGTTAAAGGTCGACAGTGAGATTGAAAATTATTGGAGTGTAAAAACCTTATATCATGGTCTGTGGGCAATAGACATAATTTCTTGGGTTAGGTACAAAGCGCTTATGGCGTTTGTGAATATGGTAGATGCTGTACTAAAGACTACAGCAATAAACTGCATCAACAACTGTACCAGCTGTCACAGAATATTGTTGTTGCAGACAAACACACTGTCAAATCAAGAAATAGGTTGGGGGTTAGGCAGTTCATGAAAGCTAGATGACCTACTATGTGGGGAATAAATCTGTGGGTTGCTGCAGACAATCCTAATGGTTATATTGCGACTTTGAAATTTATACAGGAAGAAGTCCAGATATTCATCGCAACAGATTGGGTATGACGTGGTGATCTGATATCACTTTGGTTACAGTCTTGTAGTACAATATAAAGGAAATATTTTCACCACATAATCCAATTATGTGCTTTGGCAAACATTACTGCTTTAGCAAACATTACTGCCTTGGAAAACATTACTTTTTTATAACTACTAATCATGATGATGCCAGTCCAACGACACTTGGTCATGCTATTTGCAAATATTTTCATGTTCTAGATTGTGAAAACAATCAATTTCTAAACAAATGAGTAGTGATTATTTCAAATTTGAATAGCATGACCAAATTTTGAGGCTGGTTGTAACACTAATAACTAAAGTCAATGGTGTAATGAATCTAATGATTATCTAAGAATGTATGTAGTAATTGTAGAAATAAAGACATTTTGCTAATCATGATTTGAGTGTTCTTTTGTGGGTATCACAGACTTATTTTGGTGCCATACTATCTTTGGAGAGTAAGAAATATTGGAAATTTGTATTGATAACATGTTGCAGCAATAAAAAAGGACCTTTGATAAAGGTATTTGTTTCATGTGAGCACAAAATGTAAATTTTACTCCACTACCTAGTTTATATAAAAATTCAATAAAAATATTTCTATTTATGCTACATGCATGAAACTTTGACATATTTGAAATTTGAACCGCTAAATACATTTATGGATAATTGCAACATTTTTTATATCATAATTTATGCAAATTTATGCGAGTAAATCGTTAACCAAGCTACGGATGAAATTGGTATCGTTGGAAAGCAGAAGTCCTCGTCTTTCGAACGATGCAATTTCTGTTTCTGTGCGATGTATAGTTTGAGAGATATAAGCGTTTGAAACAACACCACTCGAAATTGCTACTTTTCCACCAGATGGGAATGAGTTAAGCATGCCTATACATATAGACTATATAGTACTATATGCTCATATTACATATAGTTTGAAAATTTATCTACTTGCTCAAATCAGCAGCAACCTTCCTAAGATTCTGATATTTATTCATATGTTATTGTTCAAATTAAAATTGATATTTCATTGGGAGAGGTGTAATTGCACCAGTCAATATGAATTAAAATATGTTAGCCTTAGTGTAATGCCAGGAAAATTCTCCATATATTTTTATGACATTAACATTTAACTATGTGACCGTATATTCAAGTTAACAAGACTCTCTACTTACATTTCACGCTGACTCGTTAGGATGAATATGCTCAACTTTCAGTACTTTTTTATTTTACCTTGTCTAACACCAGATCAAATATTTTACTTGTGAAAGAGAGTGGACAACTTTGATAGGTTATCTTGCTGTCCCCCTGTGTTATGTGTAAACTCATTAAGACCCAATTCACACTAATCAGCTCTATTTCAAAGCTCAATATTTTGGCCTGTCTAACACCAGACTATTTTGCATTGTTTGTTAACACATTTAGATGCAATTCATCCTAACACTCCCCACTTTCAGTACTTTGATAGTTAATTATCAGATGATTTTACTCATCAAGATGAGTGTTGGTTATTGAAAGGTTAATAATTAACTGCAAAAGCTGCTGTGTTGGCATATTTAGAAGCAATTGTGCCCTACTTTTAGTACTTTGTTATTTTATTAAATATTTACAAATAAAATTGTCTGTCATTAGACATATAGTAAAACATAATGACAGACCTCTCAACTTTGCAGAGAAGTTAAGAGTGAGATTGGGGATGTGGATGACACCTTTGTAAAAGTTCAGGGTCGGGGGTCTGAAATGGCATTTCATACCTTATGAGAGTTGGTGTTTTTTAATGAAATACGTCATTGCTTCATAAGTCCTTTAAGACAAGGCACTTTAGTTACAATAACTGTATTTATTATATAAACATAAGTGTTATATAGAGTTTTTGGCCACTGAGAAAAATCGTATTTAATCATGTTCAACACTTGAAATAAATCTGGAATTTCCGTGCACCCATGTATTATTCTCTATTTCTGTGACATACAGGAATGAGCTTTAATTTGCCTTTGATAATTTACTTATACAATTCTGTTCCGACTGATTCTGCCTTTTGTCCGCCGTATTTACATATGCAGCGTACTATATTGTATCCATGCATATCGTGGGCAAAAGCGAAAATGTCGGGCCGTACATGCAGGAACAATATAACACGCGATTATATATTCGATTCGCGATCCGTATAATGATTAATAATGTGCATTTAAGAATACAGTATTATATTTATTTATTGAAAAAATACCATGAAACTGCTATATGCGTGAGATTTACTAAACGTGGCGTGAGAGTGAAGCGAATTGTGTGAGACTCACGCCGAATGCGCGAGAGTTGAGAGGTCTGATAATGATTTGGCATTTGACAGAGTAAAGTTGTCTTCCATTAGACAGAGTAAAATAATAAATTTGGTGCAAAAATGCTTGATGGAAATTTGGCTGCAGAATATAGGGTATAAATTTTCTGTCAGTATAATCATTTTTGTCAAATCTGGCAAAATCTTGACGTTTGAATTATTTCATCCTGCAGATGATAGAAGTTGTAGATGGATCTGGCATGTTCTGGAATTGCCACCAGTGGGCATATTGCTCTGCAAGATTTTCTAATGAAGGCCCTACACCAAGTCAGGTGATACAAAAAATAAACATGAAAAGTGTAGAAGCCAGGCATCCACAAAGAGTTTGAATAGTCTGTAGTCAAGCCCACGGGTTGAGAGGACTGAGGACATTATAGATACCGATACATTTGTATAGACCAATAAGCACTTAGCAATTGACATTATTGCATGTTTGTATATATAGTTATACCATGGTAATTTAGTTAGACAAACTTTGCAAGTTCATAAAGAAATAGTAAATTAGTTTGCAATTTTATAATTTGTTTATTTATTAACTATGCTATTTATTTGTGTATTGTGTTTTTGAAGATTTTTTGCATGTTAATAAAACTATGTATGCCACCAGTACAATTTTCTTGAGCTATAGCAAGTATATTTGGAATGGTATGGCCACTTGTTTTCATCCCATACCAAACCCACACGTGTTAGCATCTAGCATTTGGATGTTAGATGTTAACATGGGTTTGGTATGGGATGAAAACAAGTGCCCATACCATTCCCAATATAATATGATAATTGTTGCACCCATACCATTCCCATAGGTTTATACATCAAGAACCATATGAATTCCATATCATGTTCCCAGATCATTCCCATATAGAATCCTATCTTACCCATAGCAAAGTTGTTATGAAATGATATAAGGAACCCATGTATTTCCCATAGTAAGTCATATGGGATATGTATGGATTTGTACCAAACACGTATCAAACCCATATCAAAAACATGATATGGGTATGCTATGAAGGCAACCAGGCCATACCAAAGCCATATACCTCCCATATATGGCCCATAGGCTGAACCATATCAATCCCATAGTTGGTCCATATATGTCCCATATAATTTGGTTTTGTAAGGATATGTCACACCGGTGATATTTGCATATGAAACAAAGTTGAATATCTTGAAAAGGGAGCAAGTTACCAAAATTCTATAAAAGAAATTATTAAAGGGAAACGGCAATATATTTTTTGATTTTCTCATTTGAAAGAACTTTTGAAACTATTTAATAACTTCTTTTACCGATTTTTCATATCTTGCTTAGTTCTTGAAATATTTTCACTTGAAGTAATGAGATATCCCGCCATCTTGGATAAATTTTTGATCTCATTAATGGTAGTTTTGGTGACGTCACAACAGGGATAAACCATATAAAGTATTCGTTGCTGACCAAATATTGATTGGTAGATGTTTTAAAGGTTTTAAGTGATCTTGATATTTCCAAGGGCAGACAGAGTATAATTTTGAGTGCAAGATCAGCCGTTGTCTAGATAAAAATATTGTATGACCCCTGTTCTGACGTAACATGCATATCTACAAAAATCAAAGATGGCGGACATTTCATTTCTTTCGATTAAAATATTTGTAGAAGTAAGCAAGATATGAAGAAACTGTAAAAGAGTTTTATATATGGTTTTAAATGTTCTTTCAAACGAGAAAATAAAAAATTATATTGCCATTTCCCTTTAAGTCATTTTAAGTGATCTTTACATGTCATAGGCACTTTAACACCCATGGTCCCACTATGGGTGCAACAACATATGGTTGACAGACATTCCTTGAATTTAAAACCATGGTCAGCTGGAAACACTATATCATAGAATAGAGATCCATATAGAAGGGCCACTTATGTCGGAAGCTTTGAAGTTTCTGTCCTTGTGCATGTCACATTACGCATGTTGCCCCCTTTTTCCTAGCCAGTCAATGACATTTTCTGGCCAATAAACACGCTGTACTGGCTCGCTGCTCTGCCTTCTGGCCAGTAAACTGCATATTTTTGCATAAAAGAACGAGGGCATGTTGCATTGCTGAGCGGCCCTTCTGTTACTGATTTTTATTCTGTGCTATATGTTTATGCACATGCAGATTTAGCACATAAATACTCTAATACTAATAAAGGAAATTTTTGGCTCCAGGTTGTGCTCCCAGGAAAAAATTTTTCCTGCCCTGAATATATATATAGAGAGAGAGAGAGAGAGTGAAAGTTCTGCCATGTTTAGAGTACGAGTATAAAATGTTGTGATTTTGTTGGCTTCTAACTCAATTCAATAATAGTTGAAGGGTCTTGTATAGAAGGCTATTTAATAAATGTATATAAATTTCCACTCAATAATTTTCATCTATACAAGACCTTTCAAACAGGGTCAGCCCTGCAAACCAGGCACACATAAACAGCCCCTAAATCATGCAATACTGGCCTGGATCCTTGTAGATGTCATGATGGCTCCAACCCTCACAAGTTAGGTTGTTTGGCAAGGGTTGGAATGTTAGGAGCTTTACCATTAACAGCAAAGCCATAAATTCAAGCCAAGTATTTATATATTGGTCTATTGCAGCAATAAAGCTAATACAATCATTGAATCATGAAATGTATTGGGATTTTCAACAGTACAAAATAGAATCGAAAAAGCTCCTCCTTATTTAATTTTTATATCTCAATAATTCAAGCTTCAAAACATAATTACTCAAAGACAACCCAAAATATGGTATTAAATTGCAAATGGCAAATACATTTTTTACAGTACATATAGAAAATATATTATTCACTTTAATACGAAGAACTATCAAGATATACTGTACATGTAAGGTCCGTTTAATGTGAAAATTAATTTCCTTATTTCCTGGTTATATTCTTCCAACTTTCAAACGTATTTTTTGGCCCATATTTCGTCAGCGTAGCTCTAAATGCCAACATTTTCATGCTCGACGAAGCTAGATGCAATCTACGAAGGAGCACTTTCAAATTTGATTTTGAAGTTGTTTTGTACATTTCACCTTCAATTTTATATTCAGCGCAATCGTAGGAACTTTTTTCAGTACCAGAGAACGATTTTGAGCTTAATAAACCAACTTTTCTTGCAAAAGTTACAGCGTCAAAATATAATACAATCCTATAGTGTTTGTTTATGCTCGCGTTCCTGAGTCCCAGGCCTCCAAGGACGACAGATTTTTTTTTAAATTGTCATGTTTGAGGGTCAATATCTCGGAAAATACTGAACCAAATCAAAAAGGGTTGAAGAACTTACTAACTAACTTTTTGTGCTCTTTCCAAATCCGTAAATATCTCACAAATGATATAGAATGCTATTTTTAAGGGTTTGTAATCCAAGTGAGTATATATACACTTTAAGACCTAACCAGGAACGACTGCGAAAAATACAGCACAAGGTCCTCTGGTAGGAATTGAACCTACGGCCCTGCGATTCCGGTGCAGCGCTCTAACCAACTGAGCTACAGAGGCCAGCTGTTGAGCTATAACCGTAAGTTCATGTATATATAGGTAATCGGGTGTGCGGGTTGTGACAAGGTGGACTTCAATGATCTGATTTCTTGCACTTCACTTCACTTGGTGGAATTAATATTAGAATGCTGTTTTTAAGGGTTTGTAATCCAAGTGAGTATATATACACTTTAAGACCTAACTAGGAACGACTCCTTATAGCTCAACAGCTGGCCTCTGTAGTGAGTATATATACACTTTTAAGACCTAACCAAGTGAGGACTGCTTATAGCTGAACAGCTGGCCTCTGTAGTGAGTATATATACACTTTTAAGACCTAACCAGGAACGACTGCTTATAGCTCAACAGCTGGCCTCTGTAGCTCAGTTGGTTAGAGCGCTGCACCGGAATCGCAGGGCCGTAGGTTCAATTCCTACCAGAGGACCTTGTGCTGCATTTTTTGCAGTCGTTCCTGGTTAGGTCTTAAAGTGTATATATACTAACTTGGATTACAAACCCTTAAAAACAGCATTCTACTATTAATTCCACCAAGTGAAGTGAAGTGCAAGACATCAGATCATTGAAGTCCACCTTGTCACAACCCGCACACCCGATTACCTATATATACATGAACTTACCGTTATAGCTCAACAGCTGGCCTCTGTAGCTCAGTTGGTTAGAGCGCTGCACCGGAATTGCAGGGCCGTAGGTTCAATTCCTACCAGAGGACCTTGTGCTGCATTTTTCGCAGTCGTTCCTGATTAGGTCTTAAAGTGTATATATATTCACTTGGATTACAAACCCTTAAAAACAGCATCCTAATATTAATTCCACCAAGTGAAGTGCAAGAAATCAGATCAAATGATATAGGCACTTTAAGAAAGAATGTTTCTTTAACAAACTTTGGACTGGAGCGTTTCTCGGCTTGCCCTGATGATATTTGTTTTTATACAGGATTTCCTGCTTATCAGTGCCTTCTTGCATTTTGGGAGAAGATAAAGCCTTGTGCAAATAACTTGACTCGTTGGGATTATGTACGAAGAAAAGCAAAAGAGACATCGTCTGATAAATTTCCTTATCTAACAAATATTGAGGTAACACAATGCCCAGGATGGCCTAGAGCATTACAGCGCAGTGTATTGATTAGTATTGTGCCTCATGTTGCTGTTACATTTGTCAGTCAACTCCACTGTGGGAATATTTCTGACAGAGAAATCACCATTATTAAGAGTGGATTGTGTAAATACCTGTAAAATGGAGATAAGATAATGGCCGACAAAGGCTTTGATGTCCAGGACATTCTTGCTGAAAGAGGAGCAATTCTTTTTGTACCACCCAAAAGAAAGCCTGGACAGGTTCAACTTAGCAAGGAACAAGTGGTTGAAACTCAACGAATTGCTCGTGTTCATGTTGAACAAGCGATAAGGCATGTCAAAGGCTCGCATATTTTTTATCAAGAAATACCGCTGAGTCTGTACTCCTCAATTAACCAAATGTGGAGTATTTGCTGTATGCTTGTCAACTTTCAGTATCCTACTTTGACATGTTAAATTCATTGGAACCCTCTAACAGACCCCTCAAATAACATGAAGAACAAACAGAGAGACACTATGAATAGATTTAATCTCTTTATGAAGGGCACTCTAATATAAGGTATGAAATCAGATATGTTATGCAATTTCTTGCTGCTGTTACATGAGAAGCCGGAGATTTCAAAATGGGTTGGGTTTTACTGATGTCACACATTGCCCCTCCCACTTCTGTTTACCTGGCTACACCACTGTCTTTACGAGCCTGTTCATATGAGCATAGTTTGCCCTCAAGGTTACCTGAGTGAGATGAATTCTGTGTTCATGTCTGTTTTTATCCTACCTAATATCTTGATGTGGTTAGACAACATTATGAAAAGATGGCATCATCAAAATATTTTTTGTCGTAATTAACCCAATAAGTATGTTGCATTGTACCCTAATGTGCCCTACTTTATTACTTTACTCTGTCGAATGCCTGGCAATTTTACTGTTGCAAATACAAAAATTAAGGGTAGAGCGCTGCCACTGAATGGGTCGATGCTTTATTGAGCACCAGTGCTAACCCCTTGACAAGTAAAATCATATGGTATTAGACAGAGTAAAACTGTCTGGTATAGTGGCAATAGACAGAGTAAAATAAGGTAGGGTGCATTCGGGTGCAGGTCAGGTGGGTCTAGTTAACAGGTTAAATTACAATGTTTCAGAGTTTAACTCCATCTTCAGATGATAGTCCCACAAGTGGTTTCCATTATATTACGTTTCAATTTTTCTAATGTAAATATCTCGGCAAGTATTTACCCCCCCCCCCCTTTAAAACAAAGACCACCATTGAAATTCTCACAAAGTAACCTTTCAAACGGGGGGTCAAGTGCTGTCAAAACATTACACAAACCGAAAATCATATATTTATACTCCGCACTTGGCCAAACATTCTCTTTCATATTGAGAAAAAGTTGAATATCTTCTAAATTTTTCGTCATTTTCTGAACGGCTATATGTGTAAAATACTCTTTGTATTCAAGCGCTTTTGTGTAGAAAGTTTCGTTTGAATATGGCGAGTAGAAATATTTATTATGAATTTTTCAAGATATTGAGTTTTACTTGCACGCACATGTATTATGTAATACTTGGCCAATAAGGAGCTCCTTTAGCCGGGATGACGTCAAATGCATGTGTATGGGTGCACTTTGACTTGTAGAATCCATTTCTCTGGCATGCAAACTTCCCATTGTTTTGACGTACTCGGACCAGAAATGTAAATTCATAGAGGAGATATTGTTACACTGAATCAAATGGTGGTATTTTTGTCCTCGTAGCATTTACCGAACTAAAGATATGAACTGCAAAGTGATACATCATGAGTGATTTACACTCTTTTAAACTCTTTCAACATATTCCTATAAATATACGACTGTTTCGGTCTGTGTACTGTTTTGACGGCACTTGACCCACCATGAAATCTGCTGTGTTGGTGTAATGTACTCAGGTGAATAAGATGTTTGTGTGATGTTACTCTGAGTGTATATCCACACCGGGCAGACTTGAAAAATATGCCTGACCAACACAGCAGATTTCATGATTATTAGATTACACTGATATCAAAGGAACTTGACTCAGTTCCGAAATATCGCATACTCGAACCGTCCTGACCGCGTAGCTCAGTTGGAAGAGCATTGGGCTGGTATTCCAAAGGACGTAGGTTCAAATCCCGCCGTGGCCAGGCATATTTTTCAAGCCTGCCCGGTGTGGATATACACTCAGAGTAACATCACACAAACAACTTGACCCACCATTCGAAAGGTTATTTTGTGAGGATTTCAATGGTGGTTTTTGTTTTAAAGGGGGGGGGGGGTAAATACTCGCCGTACCATCCTGGCAGTGATTTCTGAGCTGAGGAGAAACCGATTGTTTCATGTAGCCGCCATCCAGATTCACAGACAAATACATTAAATTCTCAACTGGTAAAACAAGTTTGACAAGTTTTTGTTGTTGTGCGCATGGGTAAATGCTTGCCACTGCTGGTAAAATGCTTGCCACTGCTGGTAAAATGCGAGTCAGTTGTACTTGAAAAACAACATCACGCTCTAAATATAGTAACACGCTATAAATATACTACAAAGTATTATAACGGCTTTACAAAATATTGAAAATGTGAGAAATTATAAATTAAGATGACTTGAAAACTGTCTAGCGTTCAACAGAATAACTATACACTTCAACAAAAATCAACCTTTTAGAGAAATCAGTAGCGCTGTCACGACGATCTTTATCCTTTGATCGGTTGAAATTTGTAGCAGTTGAGGTCGCGACGATCAAAAATTGCAATAATTGTCAAAGTCAACAGTAATTGGAAACATTATATTATTTGGAAACTTTGGGAATTGGAATTTAACAACGTTTAAGCAACACAAAATAAAGTTTGTAGACCGAATTGAAAAAAAATGATATCGTCGGATAAATACAAAATTTTAAAAAGATATGACAGAAATTGAAATGCACAATTTGTAGCTGTAGGGTGAGGAGGCACCGATGTCAAAATATTTTAGTACTGGCAATAAAGAGATTAAAACCTATACATAAATTGTGAACTGCGTGGAGGATTAAAAAGTCGTTCGATTAAAACTGACAGACAACAAATAAAACCTCTGAAATAAAACAGTATATATGCCACGCTTGTTTACAAATTAGTCACTTCCCATCACATGATCTTTGCACATGCTCGATAGAAAGTCGTTTGTTTGCTCGCAGTGGTTTCTCCTCAACTCAGAAACCACTGCCAGCAGGGTATACTCGCCGAGATATTTACATTAGAAAAATTGAATCGTAATGTAATGCGAAACCACTTGTCGAGAAAGAGTTATTGAATTATTGTGTTATGTAAATAAATATCTGGACATTACCAAATGTAAATAACTATCTGAAGAATGGAGTTAAAGGGCCTTGTTAATGTGGATATGCATTGTTGCTTAGGCGTAAAAAAAATACCTGTGGTTACGGTTCCCGACCGACCCTATTTTTTTCTGCCGACCCTATTATTTTTTCAACGCGATTGACCGTTCGACCATATTTTCTCCAGGTGGTTGGCACTGGTTGCGGGCTGCTCATACAGCATGCCAAAATGACGTCTGTTGTCACACTAATTATTTGAACCAAATTGCCTAAATTCGTCCATAGGAAATACGCATCTCTAGTTAATATTGATGTCGGGACTCTACTGCAAATCGCCCGGCAAAAAAACGCCAAAACCATGAAAAAAATATTCAAAAAAAAAATTTATTTCTGACCTACCGACCCTAATTTTTTCACGATATGAAACCAAAACCACAGGGTTTTTTTTACGCCTTATCTGATTTTCAAAACATGTATCATCACTTGAAAATGTTGCCATGTCACAGACATTCCACTGTGCCGTGAATAATAATTTAACCTTGAATAATTATTTAAATTTGTAATATTTTGAAAATAATTTATTGAAATTGGTAATTTAAATCTGTAATATCTTAAATTTGTAATATTATTAATAATTATTTCAAATAATTTTGTGAACATGGTACTTCTTAAAAATGTCTATTCAAATAAAAGTCGTTTAACTTTGGCAACATTGTTTCCCATCACAGATAAAGTTGTTAAAGCCAATTGCCCTTGTACTTGATAGTAATAGTTATGATCATGTTTCAGACTGATGGTATTATTTTGTTTATGTAAGAAGAACGCACTTTTCAATTGTGGATGATCTACTGCCTCTTGAACACTGATCCCAAGACATCCTGCTTTTAAGCATGTCTTCACTTCTAAACCACCATATTTACTCTCACATGAATGGTTGTAAAAACACCTCTATCAAGTGCGGCAACAAGATGTGGCAATGACAGGTTTACACACAAACCAACATCAAACAGTCAACTGCCTTTCCCTCAGAATTCATTGCCTTTCCATACAGTTCAGCCACCATGTTTTCATTTTCAACTCCAAATTGTATGCAAGGATTTGTGAAATATCTGCAGGATTATATATGCTTTTAACGAATGAGTCACTGTAATCAGTGTTTCTCTTAACTACTAGGCCAAAACGGGAAGCTCTTAATCTGCCATTGTCTCTCTTGTTTCCAGATAACGCTTTTTGATTGTCCAAGAGTGTTTCTGAATATCTCATGACAATCAGAAAGACTTAAAGAGGTAGCATCTGCTGCACACTGGTCTGTGTCAATACATGTAATAGGTAAACATGGGTATATTATTCTATAATTGTTTAGAGTCACTGCACCTTAACTTTTGGAACAACCCCAACAATGGTTGTTATAACTCCGATTTTTCTTCTTGCAGGTCTGTATACAAATCATGAACCAGATTTTTCATAAAAAGCCTTTGTCAACAGGCTTGTCAACCAACTGCGAGGTGACTGTATTTCTTTTCATTTTTTCCAGAATTTTTCGCCGGGTCACCTGTGTTAAAACTGGGCAGTATTTTAAGTTTTCTGAAAACTTGTGGTCACTTGCGGGAGAATTTAGAAATTTGTTGTTTGTACTTGAAATACCCAACTAATTTTCTTTATTACAGGTCAGACATTCAAGTTTCGACTTGGTAAAAACTCGGGTCTAGGTCTACAATTTTGTTATGCAGTTCAGGTATTTTGTTGTAGTTTTAGACTCTTGCAACACCTCATCTTTTTTCCGGACATACATGCTCCCCGAAAAGACAACCAGAATTTTAATTGCTTCACAGTAAGCTGTTTCTGGTCCTGGTTTTCCAAAGAAGCCCCAGGAATGTCGTCTTCGGTTAGTTTTACACTTTCAAACTAGCAAATTGTTTGTTTTCTTTTTTGGCATTTAAATTTCCTGCCATCTTTCTTATATGTTTTGGCATTTTTCACATAAATTAATAGTCAGGTGGCTTAACAAATTTAACGTTACTGGCCGGGCAAAAGCACCAAATTTGGCATGGAGTTTCTTTTCGACCTATCTATTGATTTTATCCATGGAACCCACTTGATTGGTTCCGATTTTCCAAGATGGTGGCCAAAATCCAAGGTGGCCACCAGAAAAAAGGAAATGTCATATATCTGACTGTAAAAATCATAAATGAACAAATGAGGTGTCAATTCAGGGGTTTCCGGGGTCAATGAAACAGATGCTTGTCATGGAATGTTGCACAGGCCACCAGTTTCCAAGATGGCGGCCAAATTTCAAAATGGCCGGCAAAAAAAGGAAATTTCGTATATGTGGTGTGAAAATTGGAAATGAACAAAGATAATGTCCGAAAAAGGCTTACTTGGCCTGATTTTGAATGGTTCTTGTGACTTCTATAGCTACATATCAGCCTACATGTTAAGTACACACTGGTAGTATTCAGGAATTATATCCACAATGTTTCAATACAATGTATCTCTACCAGACAGTTCACAGTCGATGTATCCTATTTAGATGAACATGTGCACCGACAAAGAGATGTGCAAGGGAGATTTGCCTTGCTGCATTTGCAGACTGTACAGGCCCTTTTGCAGCCACATTTCACGAATTCTCTGCACGCTTTAGACGCCTCTGGAATGGTAGACCAGACAGGTTCCCATGAGTTCCCAACTTTCACCCACGCATATGCGGTTGGACATGGATTCATTTGTTGAGATAACATGGATGTTGTCCAGATGCCAGCCTGGTATACTGCCCTCCTAGTGTGCTGGAGTAGTGCATTCTGAGTAGGTGGTATCTTGTCAACAGCTTGGCTTTTCTGGCTGAACAGCTCCATCCGGGCACTGTTAACATTCATGGCGTTACTTGTTTAATTTGTCATGAACTACGACAACTAGTCTCTCGATTCTTTGAAATGATTCAGAATGTAAGTCAAGATGCTCAAACGGATGTGTGGCAAGATAAACAAAGGCATCAGTAACTTCCTCATAAGCATTCCATGCCTGCCAGAACGGTTTCTTCCCTTTCCATCTAAACGCTGATGTAGTATCACATCCTGACAAGGAGTAGGAAATGGTTCAGTCACGCTCGCAAAGTACGTACATTGGAAATGCCCAGATCTCTATGGCGAGAAAGTCTATGTAGTTATGATGGGCAGACTGCACATTGAGAAGGCGCTACGGAACACTGTTGGCGATTTATTAGATGGCTCAGTTTGGACAACAGCTCTTGCTGAATCTGAAGTTGCTTCATCTGGAACAGTTGATTCATTGCTGAAAGTATCACACATTACCAGGACTTGGCATGCCCACAAGGTCACTGTTCTTGTTCTTCAGAGGCTACTGAATGAAGCATTCAACCAGAGATCTAATGTTGATGAGAGTTTGAGCAACTGGCTGGAACAAATGTGTAAGAAATTTCCCACGTTCAAGTTCTGGAACATGATCGCACACTGTGAGATTCTGATTCTCATATTTGTTAGAGCCCATAGGGAGAGAAACTTCCCATTGCATGTTACTGTATTAGAGGCACTCGTACCATAGTTCTATGTGTTAGACCACATGAACTATTCTCGGTGGCTGCCTGTACACATCAGAGACATGAAGGCACTGCCACAAGAGATCAAAGATGAAACTCGGAATCACTGCACAATCGCAAAGTCGTTACACAGATACTCTGTGATCCCAATCGACCAAGCGCATGAGCAGGAGAATAAAGTGGTGAAAGCATCTGGTGGTGTAGTAGGACTAACTAAGAATCCAGTTTCCTTCAGATGCTGGATGACCGCTGGACCCGAGCTTGCCAGACTTCTGAGACTGAATGGATATCTTCATGACGATGATCCGCAAAACCCAGCTAACTTCGAACACCATGAACAGGGGCTTGCAGCACAGAAAACCTTCCAGCGACAGGTTGATAGCCTATCTAACACAATACGCAAGATGGGAAATCCCTTCCTGCATGACTTCCCAGAGTTGGTAACTCTTGATAGTCGTAACTGCGCAAATGAGGCAGTAGTGAATACAATCTGTACACTCAAAGACACAGGCACAAAGAAGTATCAAGAGTATGTGAAGACCATGCTCATGGATCGGAGTCACTCCATACATCATACAATCTCAAAGAATTCACTACCCCTGTTCTCAACAAAGCTGAAAGTCAGATCGAAGGATTGCAAGAAAGTAAAGGTGCTTGAGAACAATGTGGCACTCTTCAGCCAGTTATACAGTTATACCTTACAAAATAGAGATGGAGACATCAGTCAATTCTTTGCACACGAATCTGTCTGGTACCAAATATCATCTGTTACAATGTATCGCGGAACCAGACCAGACAGAGGCACTCAGGTACCTGTATTATATGACTGCAAAGTTCTGGATGGTGTGGTCACAGTACATGCATTGCCTGTAATAAACGTCTCAACATTCCAGGAATATGCTGACAACGTGTTTATAACCCAGCTGCTTGACACAAAGCAAGTGGACATTGTGTGGGACAAATACCGGCCAGATAGCCTGAAGGAGGGAACCAGGGAGAAATGAGAAAAAGGTGTGCGTAGAAAAGTACCAGGTGACACCAAGCTGCCGGGCAACTGGAATGACTTCCTCTGTGATCCAATCAACAAGAAGGAACTTTTTGAATTCCTGTCATGAAAAGTTGCAGACTGCAGCGTCCCTCCTGAGCGTTCGGTATATCACAGCTGGAGAGCATATTACATATGCTGGAATGCAGATCGAAATGTCCAGCTGCAATCAGGTAAAAGCAGACACTAGGATTGTGGTTCATGTGAGGCATGCTTTGGAGAATGGAGCAAAATCCATCCAGGTGCGAACTGTGGACACAGACGTCGTCGTTGTTCTTACCGGTGTGTTTCATGACCTCTCTCAGATAAATGCTGATCTTGAATTCTGAATAGCTTTTGGAACTGGAAAGAACTACACTCATTACAGCATCAGCACCATTTGTGCCCATATTGGTGAACGTAAATCACGTTCCCTGCCCGTTTTCCACTCCTTGTCAGGTTGTGATACTACATCAGCATTTAGAGGGAAAAGGAAGAAATCATTCCGCACATCCATTTGAGCATCTTGACTTACATTCTGAATCATTTCAAAGAACCGAGAGACTAGTTGTCGTAGATTACGACAAATTAAACAAGTAACGCCATGAATGTTAACAGTGCCCGGATGGAGCTGTTTAGCCAGAAAAGCCAAGCTGTTGACAAGATACCACCTACTCAGAATACACTACTCCAGCACACTAGGAGGGCAGTATACCAGGCTGGCATCTGGACAACATCCATGTTATTTCAACAAACGAATCCATGTCCATCCGCATATGCGTGGGTGAAAGTTGGGAACTCATGGGAACCTGTCTGGTCTACCATTCCAGAGGCGTCTAAACAAATATTGGCTTCCAATTTATTGCGAATAAGCCATGTCTTGTGGCCGAATTATGGGTCACTGCTGAAGCCATCTCAACCAATGTGGGTTGGGGACGGACTGCTTACAGCTGCCTATGCAATGTTTTCTTAATTGCAGGTCCAGAAAGGGGTCCAAAATGGGATCCAGAAAGGGGTCCAGAAAGGCATCCAGAAAGGGGTCCAGAAGGGGGTGCACGTTTTGTCAACCCCCATTTTTTTTAGGTTATTTTCAGACAATCCTGGCAAAAATTATGTGGACACCTAACTTTTCTAACGCCAATATTAACATTGCGACATTCTTTCATGAAATTTGTCGCCCCCCTGCTCCCTATTCAATGTTGTTTCTTGCATTTAAATTTTAAAATTTTCATTTACCAACATTGAATTGGAGGAATTTATGGGGTTAATTCTATAGAAATACATCTACTTTTATTTGATGCACGTAGTGTCCACAATAATTTTGGCCAGGATTATAGCATGTATAGGGTGTAGGCCAAACATTTCCAAATGACAAAAAAAATTTCCCAATATTTCATAGCATATGAAGGTGTTTGCTATCCGGAAAATGAAGATGCAATTTACAAACAAAAAATACACATATTTTATGCACAGACATATTACAGAAGCATGCAGTGCCGTAGGAAACTCGTTTTGATTGGGGGGCTGAAAATGAGGGCTGAAGGCCTGAGGAAATGTTTAAATTTAGAGTATCTGAAATGCCATTTCCTGGACTTTGGGGAAGTTTTGACACAATTCTGATGGTTGGAAAACAGCGCTTTTGATATGTCAAAATTTACAATTTGCTTACAATTTAGTACTACTAAATGGGCGAAGGTGTATTTAATTAACTATCTATATTGGAGAAGTTGCAGGAAAATACGGGTAATATGATTCTTTGCATTTTGTCATGGATAATGTAGCCTCTTAAAATAATAAATTGTCAGTATTTTAAAGGTACATTAGTTAAATGATAAAGGTCTGCATGATTTTGAAAAAAGAATGATTATTAGCAGATACTGCAGCCCCCCCCCAGTTGCTACGACCCTCAGAAGTAATAAACCAAAAACATTTACTGATTGATGATTTGTTAAATGTTATCCATGTAAATGCCATGATTTCGTAAATCAGTTTATACTGACAATACAATTATATTATATTTCCTCTGTTTAACAACTAAAATTTTGTTATACTATTATTGCCATAATTTTCCGAATGGCCAACCCAATTTTCCGAATATGTTAATTCTAAAAAAGCTGGGAGGGTTAACCACCCCCCTCGCTACGGCCCTGACATTGGTAGCCTGTCATGGTCGTATGAGCGACTACATAATGGTTAATTATGTGCTTTTGCAACCAAACAGAAAGTAATATGTCAACACCTCATTGTTTGTTGTGCGATGTCCACAGTAAGTTGTTCATACTAACTATGCAATCTAATGGCAGTATTGTAGCCAGTAGAGCAATTATTAAATGCAAATGATTAGTTCATAAATGAAATATTTCCACTTCATTGTACAATGCCCAATTCATGTAAAGAATATTGCAGATTTACGATATGTATGAATTCTGTTGTGACCTGATTACTGATCGATCGAGGTCTGCAAAACATAAACTAATAAACTAATTAAGTCATTCAGTCACACTTCGTTTTATATATATCTGAGGAACCCATCTTCTCTTCGAATCTTGCCATGAGAAATATTTGCGCATTTGCGGAGTAAAACTGTTCACTACATTTGATTGAGCAATAAGTTTCAAAGACCTGCTTTAACATGTATGACTCACAAAAGACATGCATGTATGCATAGACATTCAATTTATTCAGGATTTGGTCTTGTTCAGTCACAAACAATAACAACCAATTATTTTGCCTAAGCATGCAAATTCAAAGGCGGCAACCAGTAGGAGTCAGCGATTTTGCTTATGCTTAGATTGCTGGTGTCTTGATAATGATATTAATGAAGCTATAAGTCCGCTTTTGTCCTTAGGTGCAGGTCAACTAATAGCAACATTACCACTGGGGTAAAGTTTTGTAACCTTTACTTGAGTTTCATTAATTTCAAACAGATTTGATACGTCTATACTCCTCAAGAACATTATCTTTTGATTGATATTGACTCAGTTCTTGCACTGAAGAAAACAGCACTTCCCATGGTGAAGATTTAGAGGCAGTTGCATGTAAGGCTATTCGAAACACTTTGTGATTTGCTGGGCTTCTCTGAGAGGGCGAAACATTGCGGTTTGAAATGACTCTGAACGCTCTTTTCTTTTGTTGAGTTCTTTACCAAACTAAGTAACTGAACTATATTTTGTACTTTCCGCCAACAAGAATTACACACACAATCTGATAAGTGAGACAGTATATTTATAGCAATGGCGATAGAAGCACACATTAATGCCAATGTGGTTGCACAACGTCCCTCATGATTTCATGTTTGAGACAGGTTTTCTGTTGATATTTGTCCTAATTTGCCTGTTCCGAATTTAGCTAAAAATGAGCACACTTTCAAATTTGGCAATTATTTGAAGCTGACTGGTTGCTTGCTTTTTTTTTAGTTAAACATAGCCATTTACACATTGTTTCTACTCTAAATAGGCAGAGAAAACCCTGCAACATTTTAATGCGAGTTTGTTTACTATTTGGCTTGCTATCATTGGTTATTTTCTGACAATTGATGTGTGAATAGTGTGTGTTATGAAAAGGGGCATTTTACAAAACATCCAGCTTCCTTGCAGGCAGGGGCGGATCCAGGGGGTATCGAGTGTAGCTCAAGATACGGTCAGATTTTTCCGATTATGCATACTAAAATAGTTTTGGGGAAAAATTCAATATTAATATATTTTCACGCAGTGAAATAGTGAAAATTTGAGTTTACTAAGATGAACGAGGGCAAATTCTTTCGTAAATTTTAAAATTCACAGCTCTAAATGTAACATTAGACGTGTTTTTAAAGCATTAAATTACTTTCGACGAAGATGAGCCGAGAGCTTTCCGAAGGCATAACCCGAGGTTACGTAACCCGATCGGGAAAATGTTTTTAAATGCGTCTGCAGTGTTCTGATACGGTCCGCGGTTCAAATGTTACTAAAAATAGTAACTTAATGAGGTATTTGGATACCTTGGAGGGTATCCAGCCAATCACAGCACGTGTATCTATGACGTCGGATACCCTCTGATACTGTGGCTATATTTTGATTGCGCAAGAAATGAAATAATCGTGGACCGCTCGGAAACTTCGTCTCATATTGCTATTAAACAGCCGCATTTCTTCTAACGTAACTGAGTGAGTGATGGCCTTACATAATGTCAGAAGTCGTCCTTGAAATAACACTTTATAAATAGTGTATTGGATGCCAATTAGAACAAGACTATTACGAAAAGGATATGTCCGAAGGGGCCGAAGTTATGTTCGGCGAAAGGTATGGCTGGTTTAGTATACATTGTTCGAGAAAATTGAGTAATATAGTGAAATAATATGATATTGCTTGACATCTTATAGTTCATAAATCGCTATATTGACTAAAACTATCGTTAGGAATTAGGAGATATTCTTTCAATGAACCGAACGGCAGTATTTTTGTTTTCATAGCATTCGCCTAACCAAAGATATTAATTTGTAAAGTCATATTGCGGCATTGCGACTATTGCGCGTGCAATATGTTATTAATTTAAATAGGGAGCGGCCGAGAATATTAAATGTACTCAGTCGCGAAAGCCGACTTTTCTATGTCAAAACGCCCCCGGCTACGTTTCATGAAACAGAAACTTGAACACTGATACCAAGAAGAGTTATTGCGTGTTTTTCTGTTACTTTGTGTTTAAAATATGACCTTGTTAAGGCCAAATTTTAGGCCAGAATCATGGGCTCAGAACGCAGGAAATGGCATTTCCGGGGTTCAAATTTCAAAAAATTTACGGGGGGGCATGCCCCCGGACCCCCCTAGTTATGCGAGACCTAGGAATATGATACGGTCACATTTTAAGCTAGATCCGCCCCTGCTTGCAGGCCCACTATTCTTCTCTTTGTGGGCCTGCACATGGGCTAGTGAATATAACAAAAACGAAATTTGCAAAATGGAGGTGGGTCATTTACTGATAAACATTAAAACAAACAAGCAAAATTAAAATAAATTCAGTCCCAAACTCAACTTCATCTTGGTGAATATTCCCCAATGATCAACTCGCCTTCAGCAAATAATTGTTAAATAGTGTATGAGTTGCTGAAAACGTTTACATAGCCAGAAAATAGAAAGATGCAACATTTGCATCCACACACATATATATCTTTTGGTCAGCAAATTTTTAATGTGCATGTGCAGTAGAGATTACTGGAATCAAGTCAAAACGACCGCAATAACGCCGACAAGGAGTATTCGCAACAGAAAAGCCAAACCAAAGGATTTTAAACAATATTTGACAAGCAATGATCATTTGAAATTTGAAGAAAAAGATCCTAAACGGGAATATTTACAAGGTTTTTAATGTTGAACAAATTATTTCCTGTCCGGGAAGAGTTCAGGTATGAATGTTTGTAATAAATAACACTGGAATATGAAGTTGTATAATGTAAGTTATTCTACAAACTTTAGAATAAACATAAACTCTAACTAAAATTGTAAATTTTATAAAATTTAAAAAAGTTCATTAATAATTCACGAGGAAAATACAAATGAAATGAATGTTTAATCAATGTTTGTAAATCAGATAAAGGTTTTTCCTGATTTACATAAACTTCAGCTTTGATTTTCTCGGTTAGACAATGTTTATTTTTAAAATTACCTTGCCAATGAACTCATAAGATGGGTCATTTTTTAAGGACAATAATTCGGCTCGAGTTTGTATATCATGCAGATACAGATTGGCTGCTCATGTTTTGTCTAGTACATATAGAATAAGTAGAAAATAATATATATCTGTAAACTCTGTCTCGCTAGAATAAAGAATATCTTATAAAATGGAGTGATTTTGATATGGAGAAGTGTACTTGGGAACCTGAGGAAAATATTCCAGAGTTTTTAATAAGGTGAGTTATTTAAATGGGACCATAAACCCTTTATAAAATAACACATGCAATTGTTAATTCATCTGTTTGCTGCTCTAACTTCTTTCAGAACACTCTATGACAGTCCTGAAGTTGCAACTGAACGACTGAACAAGGCTAGGGCTGAATTTATAAATGGTGTAAAATTAAAATTAAAGTCAAAATCTGTGGATCCAATGATGACGTGCAATTGTGACCATTATGTGTTCAGATACATATTCAATGACAAAGCCTATCCATCAGAGATTCCTGGAGCTATTATGCTGGATAAGGAAGATTTTTCAAGGTTTATAGTCTTCCCACTTCCTGGTACTATTTCCTTGACAAGAATTGTGAAGGTCATGAAGTTGAGTTTCCAATAAGGGCTAAACTGCACCTAAAGAAGGCAAGAAAACATTTCATTTTAAATCATTCTGGTGTTCTGGTAAAGGCACCAATCTATTTATTTGAGGTCGTGACATTTTACATCACCAAAACACCCAGCCTAGACCTAGGCCTTCTATTTTTATTTATATATTTTTAATATTCAGCGCTTTTTCACATGAAAAGACTGGGACTAGGTGATTTGGGGGCGGGGCGGAGGAAGGACACAAGCCTGACGGAAGCGAAAAAATAGAAGGCCCAGTGGATTTCCCAACAACAAGGCCAAAACTGCCCTGAAACTGCCCTGATTGTGAAATGCCTAATTGTTGCGTTCTCAAACAGAATTATTTGCAACTTAACAGCGAATTTGATGCAGGTAAAATAAACTCATTTACAGTATAAACTTACTATTTTTATTTGTATACACGTCTAGAAAATCGGGTTTTTTATCATAAAGTTTGAAGCAACACTATTTATATATGTTGACAAGGTGTAGCGAAACCTAGGCTTTCTAGGCTTGCTCCATCCGCCCCACCCCCAAATCACCTAGTCCCAGTCTTTTCATGTGAAAAAGCGCTGAATATTAAAAAAATATAAATAAAACTAGAAGGCCTAGGTCTAGGCTGCAAAACACCATGTTTTAAAAGACAGCTTTCTGCTGCTGAATAGTTACTCATTTGTTTAATTTTGATGCACTTAATGATTGTAAATCAACACTTTGTGTGAAGTTTCTAAAATGGAAATCCATTGAATGTCTAAGGTCACTTAACTCAATTCAATCCGCCAATATTGATTTCCAATGTATATGATGGGAAGATTAAATATTAAAGAACTCTGCAAGTATTTGCAGTAGAAATAGGAAAATACAACCAAAATATTCCGCTTAAACGATATTATATATTCTGAAATATTCCTATAATTTTATTGTTTCTTGCTCAATTGAAACCACATTCACAAGGTCTGGTTTACATTGGTGAAACTGGTCGAAAATACGTCTTAAGGAACACAAGACGAATTGTGAGAAAGCCGAGCAAGATAAATCTGCTGTGGCTAAACATACTTGGACTTACGACCATCGTATAAAATGGGACGAAGCAACCATTTTGGCAATTGATAGTCATAAGTTCTCTCGCAAAATGAGAGAGTCAATTGAAATCGAGAAGCACAATACTATAGATCAGGAGGGAAAGCCACTAGATAGTACGTGGCGTGCTCTCTTTAATGTGCAAAATTAATTTCTCTTGTCTTGGATGCGCGCGCGTTAATTGGAATCACTTCACTACGTTTGAAATGATGTGGTTGATGTGCCATTTAATTAAATTTCAAATGATGTGAGCCAACAGATCACGACACTCTTGTGTATAAAAAGAGTGTGTGAATTAAACAAAGAACTTATTAAAGAACTTATTAAAGACAAATATACTAAAAGAATCGCCATCTTGCATTCTATAGCTCGCAGCTGTATCGGGAAATTGTGCGCATCTTGTGCTCGGAAAGTGTTCGGCCAACTTTGGACGCCAAATTCTTGGTAAGCATTACACTTTACTGGTAAAAGACTGCGGAAATCACTTTCGGAGTGTTTGTTTACCCTAGATACAGATTTTGATTGGCTTAGGCAGAAAAACAAACCTTTTATGGCAATTTTCCTGATCTCAAAGATTGTGCACGAGCATTGTATATGTATTGTCGCATTGTAAGAATGGCATTTCTCAATTGTCAAGACGTTTCTTGACTTTATTTTGCAAACTGATAGTGCTAGTGAAGATGGAATGTCTTTGAACAAAGAAAAGTATCTTAACCTCCATTGGGAGTTGTGTCTGGAGTTTCAAGGCAAGTATTTTGATCATTTTTAGACATTCTGTTTCAATGTTTTGCTGTTGCCATGACATTGTAAATCATATGCATTTAGCAGTGTCACTAGTATGTCCTAGTATGTCCTCATATCGCATTTTTTGTGTTGAATTAATCCTTCCACACCGAATTTGACAAATATAAATGGTATTTATCATATTGTTCATGAAAATTTATGGTATTTTAGGCATAAAAAAGTAAAAAACCCTGATTCCTAGGCAAAGTAAATTGAGCCTTGAACTGGGTATGTAACTTCACACAAATTTATATTTTCCCTCAACTAGAGTGTAATTAGGAGACAGTCTTCATATCTAAAATACAATATCCTGTATTAGTATTAACCTACTAGTAGGCTATCACATATCGTGGCTTCTGATTGGTTACGCTACTAGTAGGCTATTAGTGATAGCCTACTAATAGAAAATTTAAAATGGTGGGAAATTCGCGTTGCACTTTTGCCGAAGTGTCTGACGATTTTTTGGATGACTTGTTGAACAATTCTGTACTAAAAAAAAACGAAAAAAGCTCAATGAAACACTCGATGAAATTTTAAAATTAAAACTGAATTTTGTAAAACATTTTACGCGAACAAAAACTAAAATATTTGTTTACCTTTAATGGTTTTATAATGTTTTTTTGTGTATTTTTGTATTGTGTTTGCAGCCTAATTGTAAATTAATGTTAAAGTTTATACTAAAACAATTAGACAACTCGGCCTCGTTGTCTATGAGCAAATAGTCAACTCGGCTTTGCCTCGTTGACTATTCGCACATAGACAACTCGGCCTCGTTGTCTAATTGTTAATTATACTCCATGCCTATATAGTTATGTACCTAATTGTCTACAGACCTGTGGACGCTTCCTTGTCTGCCAGTACTCGCTATTACGTTTGTTGTAACTTTTGGGCTTTCTTTCTTGATCTGACAGGTTATCTAATCGTTTGAGTGCCAAAAGGCAGTCTTCACAAGCATTGTGCTTGTTGCATTTGTTGTGGTAAATGCCACAAACAACGTCGTTGGTTTTCTCTACCCCTTGCCCAGTAAATATCTTAACACTGCAATCACCACCAAGTAACTTTGGCACATGGTAGACAAGAAGGTGGATACAAGTAGTGATGATGATTTTATTAGTACCCTTCCTCTTTATCTTTCAATGTAAGGAAGAGCTTTACCCACTCACACACCTTCACATATGAAATGAAAAAGATAAACTTTGTGTTAGACTTTAACAAGATTAGCAATTACTGTAGAGTATATACCTTCTCTAAAGCTGATAAACCTATTTATGTACTGGTCTAACTGATTACGTACCTGATAATCTGCATGTACAGTACTTGTCTAAATATCCATCTTGCTGTTGCTTGGATGGGTCACAGTTCTTGAAACCCCTTTTGATACAAAAAGACAATACAGTTATTAGTATCACTAGTAGCAAATAGCGAATATATATTCATCTGCAATAACACATAAATGCAGTAACTGAACTTAGAAGTTGAGAAATCAAGGACACACCTGCCAAATTTGTTTCCTTGTATTGCATATTTCCGGTCTCAACACCTCATCAAACTTTTCTGGCAATCGTGGTAGAGGTTGTTTCTTTTCCTGACCAACCAAGCTTCACCAGTCATACCCACTTGTCTTCTTTCCTGACCAATCAAGCTTTTGCCACACTGTGAATGGAATGCCACATTTGTTGATCGCTTTAACCAGTGCCTGTAAGTGTATTCCTTTGATCTCATTGGACTGTTTGTTTTTGTCATCTGTGAGATCCCAGCACACTGTATTTAAAATTATGTTCCTCTCAAAGTACATCTGCAAAAATACATTAGGAAGAGAATCCTGTTTAGTATGTATTATATGCAAGGGCAGGTCTGGAAAAGGTATGTAGACATTGCAAGGTGGGGATAAGTCATTGAGGAACTACAATCAAATTTTCTTTAATCAAATGCCCTAACATGCCTCAAGCCCCCCCCCCCTGTTCATTTTACATTCTAATGCCTTCCAATTTTACTCCTGACAGGGAGACTATACTGCCTTAATGGGTGATGAAAATATGAAAGTCTTGCCTAATTTGTAGAGGATGTTAACAGTTTCATTGATGGACTCAACCTCCAAAATCCATCTATAGTTCAACATGATTACAAGTTGAGAAAACACTATTTTGTTACCTGTGTTTCTCAGCATAAGATGTAGCTCATCCACTCAAACATTCTCAATGGCTATATCTAACAGTGGGGGTTTGACACAACCAAAATTAATCTTCACGGTACAGAGATACTTTATGTCGGCCAGAGTCCTCTTCATCCCATCACTCCAGTATCGTTGCTGGATTGTAGCAAAATTCAATACACACATTTTATATTCAATACACTCTTAAAATATACAATAAACCATTTTTATGTCTCTATTCCTTTCGGAGTCTTCAGAGATAATTTCCTCCAATATTCTGCGTATTTCAGATCTTCTATCCATGGCATGAATTAAAAATGTAAATTTATACAATTGCCCATGAAGGAAAAACATCACAAACAATCAATAACAATATCCTGGTTCAAAGTCAGCATATACGAGTCAGACTCGTCTTTGTATGTACTAAGTTATAAAAGTATTACTGTAATATAGCAAACTGCATTAATAATTGTAAGTCAAAAAGCTTACATGCAGTGTTTAATAGCTGTTTTCACATTAGAAAATGGGCAAGTCGTCTGGACGAACAAATGTCTCAAAATCGTCTTTTAGTCGGATAAATCATCAGATGTGAAAACGTGTCGGACAAAATTTTAGACAAACAAGTCGTCTGAATTTGTTCAACTACTTGTCCGTCTGTGAAGACGATTTTTGAGAAATGATTTGTTCATCTAGACAACTTGTCTGTCTGTAATGTGAATAGGGCTAATCATTGTTTATACATATAAGTATCTACTTTATTTCCAAATGAAAAGTATGATTAAAATACTTATATAAAACCGAAAAAGAAACCGAACTAGAACATGTCGCTTTATAAATATTTAGTCGCAAGATGTTCGCCGTTATAAAGATGGAAAAACTACGGGAATGTATTAAACTGCCAGTGGTGGATGTTATTTTTTTGGCAGTATACCGCTGGTCAAAAGCTATTGAATATTTTTTGAGGATTGTTTTATTGAATACTTTTTTCGCTGCATTTAATAACTTGTAATTTACTGAATATTTTGGATGTTGTATTGAATATTTAATGTGGGTTATTGAATTTTATAGTGAAGATATTAAATATTTCGGTAATTATTGAATATAAAACGGTTTATTGAATATTTGCAGTAATCATCATAAAAAACCTTATGACACTCCAGACACTCAAGTTTTATTCTCTTTCTTTTCAGTTTTGAGCTGCTCATGTCTATTGATGAAAGCAGTCGAAACAGACAGCATGCTTGGTAGCTGGTTGAAAACACAGGTTTTCAAATAAAAACATTTTTATAGACATAATTTACATGGCGCCACTTGAAATTATTATAAGAGCCAAAACTATGGTACCAAAGTAAGTCTGTGATACCCACAAAAGAACACTCAAATTACTATTTGCAAAATGTCTTTATTTCTACAGTTACTATATACATTCTTAGATAATCAGTACACCATTGACTTAGTTATCAGTGGCATAACCAGCCTGAAATTTTGGTCATGCTATTCAAATTTTAAATAATCATTACTAATTTCTTTAGAAACTGATTGTTATCACAATCTAGAACATGATTGAATATTTGCATAGCATGAACAAGTGTTGTTGGGCTGGCATTCATCATTAGTAGTAATAAAAAAGTAATGTTTTCCAAGGTACTAATGTTTGCCAAGGCACATAATTGGATTATGTGCTGAAAATATTTCCTTTTTTTGCACAAAATATATATTGGACAACAAAAGACCTAAGACTGTGACCAAACTTATATCACATCACCATGTCATACCCAAATCCCATGCTGCTATGAATCTCTGGACTTCTTCCTGTAAAATTCTCAAAGTCGCAATATAACCATTAGGACTGTCTGCAGCAACCCACAGATTTATCCCCCACATAGTAGGCCATCTTTCATGAACTGCCTAAACCCCAACATATTCCTTGATTTGACAGTGTGTTTGTCAACCTCAATATTCTGTGATGGCTTATACAGTTGTTGATGCAGTTTATTGCTGTAGTTTTCAGTGACGGGATCTACCATATTCACAAACACCATAAGCGCTTTGTACCTAAACCGAGAAATTATTTCTATTGCCCACAGACCATGATAAGGTTTTTACAATCCAATAGTTTTCAATCTCACTGTTGACCTTTACCAAACCTGCATATACTAAAAAGGCAATCAACCTCTCAATGTCCTCAAGGTTGGTGGACTCCAAGACCCTTCTTTATTAGTATATGGGGGTGATGTACTATGGGGCCCTAGTGGGGGTGCTAGACAGGGAGCTTTCAAAACCTTGGGGCCTAGTGGGGGTGCTAGACAGGGAGCTTTCAAAACCTTGGGTTCTAGTGGCTGGGCCTGGGCTAGTAAGACATAAGGGACCATTCATTATTTATGACTGGGGGTGGGCTGGCAAAAAAAGGGGGGTGGGTCATGAGGTATTTTTGACCGAAAAAGGGGGGCCACCTAAAAATATTGGTTCAAAAGGGGGGTCCAGTTATTTATTATAGTGGAGAAAAATTTGACATGTAACAATTATTGCTACCACAGGGAGCGAGCAAGGCAGCAAATTGAATTCATGCATGTATAGCTAGCAAAATTCTCAACTTCAATCAACAGATAGACACAAAATGCAATGCACAAATACCTAAAATGCAATGCGTACAGCCGATATGAAAAACAATCGAACATCTACCTTATAACTTTTGCCATGAACTTGCCATAAATTTTTGTCATATTTCAATTATGTGCATTTTAATAAAAAAAGATAATTAACGAGTAAGCGATGTGGCAACATTACGTCCAGGGAAAGTTTGGCATATACTATATACACTAGTTTATACTACGTATTTTATACATGGTTTAATTTAGTAAGGAGTTTGTCGGTTTACCATGTCAAGACCGAGCCCAAGTCAAATGTCCGAGTCACTAGCTGTTTAGCGGTCTTTGTAGTTAATTGACGTAGTACCCTAACCCTACTCCTAATCCAGGGCCGCAGCTTGCTAATAATGATTCTTTTTCCAAAACCATGCAGACCTTATCATTTAAATAATATATCTTTAAAATACTGACAATTGATTAATTTTAAGCGGCTACATTATCCATGAGAAACTGCAAAGAACGAAGATATTTCTCATACTTTCCTGCAACTTATCCAATATATGGTTAATTAAATACACCTTCGCCCATTTAGTTCTACTAAATTGTAAATTTTGACATACTAAAATGCTGTTTTCTGACCATCACAATTCTGTCAAATCTTCCCTAAAAGTCCAGGAAATGGCATTTCAAAGACTCTAAATTTAAAATTTCCTTGGGCCTTTGGCCCTCGCTTTCAGCTCCCCAATCAAAAAGAGCTCCTACAGCACTGTATTACCCTTTATAAATTACCCTTTTTTCCTTTTTGAGCAACTTTTTACTACACTCTTAGTAGCGAAAAACTGGTATGACCCCCAGCTTCAGCCTCTTCGGTGCTCTGCAGCTTAATGGGTTAACCAAAAAATCTGACAATGTCTCTAGTTAACCCATTGCACCCCAGTGCACTCTATTTATTTTTTTACTTGTGGGGGGGGTTACTATTTTTTAGAATTCATGTGAAGGGGGGTCATTGAATATTTTTGTGATGCAGGGGGTGGGGCAGGACATTTTGTTCAGTTGTTAATTGAATTTTGCCAGCCCACCCCCGGTCATAAATAATGAATGGTCCCTTTAAAGTACGAATACTTGGTCTATTATGTATGTAACAAACAACCAAACATGTGCTCAAGGCTCATTTTACTTTGCCTAGGAATCAGAGTTTTTATGCCTAAAACACCATAAATTTTCGTTAACAATATAAAGAAATACCATTTATATTTGTCAATTTCAGTATGGAAGGATTATTTCAACACAAATGCAATACATTACAACGCTTATGCGCGATAATCAGGAAAATTGCTCTAAAAGGTTTGTTTTTCTGCCTAAGCCAATCAAAATCCGTATCTAGGGTAAAAAAGACTCCGGAAGTGATTTCTGCAGTCTTTTGCCAGAAAACTGTAATGCTTTACCAAGAATTTGGCATCCGAAGTTGGCCGAACACTTTCCGACCACGAGAATCGCCATAATAGGCATAGATTAATCAAAGATGTATCTGTTGTAATTTGTAAACCTCTGACCTGCCTATACAATCGCTCACTTCACTCAGCAGTATTTCCAAATTTATTACTAACCCTCATTAAAACCTATTGTTTTCTCTCTGCATTATATCAGCGATTGTCGAGAAGTTTTAACATTCTTCTGAAAAAGGGAGCAGTCTTTTTTGATTGTAAGGAAATTCCCAGGGGTAAATGTTTATACGGCTAAAATAGCACACAGCATTATTAAAAATAATGCAGCGTGCACACAGAATTATTAAAAATAATGCAGCCTGCACACAGCATTATTAAAAATAATGCAGCATGCATCATCAGTGCACAAAGACATTCGCAATAATGCACATTCGTCATCCTGACAAGTACACGCAACATCTCAAGACGAGAAGATGGCAGCGCTAAAGGCCCCTCATATAATATCATCGGATGCCTGAAGCATTGCCAAAAACGGTCACTGTCAGTCCTTTCAGCTCAAATTTATAGAGAAATAGTTTTGTTTGCGCTTGTGGGATTTTATCCTAGATATACGCATGTGCAGAACACACCATAAGTTCTATTCCCGTGTTTACCCAGTTTAATACCCTATTTGAATTAACCTTATCATTAATGATAATTAGAACACTATAATATAATTGACCTCCGCTTGTGGAGATTTTAATTTAGGGTAATTAATTAAACTGAAATCTGCTCTATCATGATGCATTACATGCATGTCCTCACAAATGTCTAGTGTAACGTTGGATAGGTTCATTGTCATACGGTCCCGACAAGCAGCAACGTATTTTCCAGCCGAGAATGATTACTTTTGATTCAGGTTAGTAATTATAATTTTCGGCCTCAGCTGGCTGCAATATATCCAATAATGTCGTTGGCCTCAGTAATTATCTAATAAATATTTGGAAAATGGGTAGAGTGACTGCATTGTTTAAAAGTGGAAGTCGTCTAGATGCTAATAACTATCGTCCAATTACTGTGCTGCTTACACTCAGTAAGATCCTTGAGAAGGCCGTACACACTCAATTTTATGACTTCCTGATCACAAATAAGCTGCTCACACCAAACCAATTTGTTTTTCGCGAAAAGTTATCTACAGCTGGTGCTCTTGCAATATTTACAGATACTATTTAAAAAAAAAATGGATGCTGGTCAATTAACGGGTGTGGCTTTTTTGGATTTGTCAAAGGCTTTTGACATGGTGAACCACAGTCATTTACTGCTGAAATTGAAGTCGATAGGTTTTTCCTGCCATGTTTGTGAATGGTTCAAATGTTATCTTACACACAGATGCCAAAGTCACCGTTGTTGTAGCCTGTTTCCCTCCCCCGAGACGAAACACAGTCTGCGAACCCGAGAGAGAATTCTATTTCACCAATCAGAAATTGCCTACAGAAAATGGTACGATAGCCCGTGGGACATTTACGTGGCAATTATACGGCATTGCGGGACGGACAGACAAATTATATCACATCTGATTATCACAATAATATATTAATTAAAAGCGATATGGAGGCTGTGTTTGAAAAAGTTTGTAAGGTTTTTCGTTTTCAAGGATTGAATAAATTCCAAATTGAGGCGATTGCACATATTTTAGAGAAAGGGAGTGACATTTTTGTCAATCTTCCAATGGGATACGGCAAATCTGTAATATATCAGGCCATTCCAGTGGTCTTTGAGAATGAAAATCCTATCGTTGTTGTAGTCTCACCACTTATAAGAAGTCTAATGAAAGATCAGGTTGCACGCTTGAATTCATGCAGTATACCTTCTATATTAATTGTGTAAACGTTCTCTGGTTAAAAAAAAGATTTATTTATTAACAAGCTTTCGACTGCCAGTCTGCAGTCTTCGACGGGTATAAATCTACCCGTCGAAGACTGCAGACTGGCAGTCGAAAGCTTGTTAATAAATAAATCTTTTTTTTTAACCAGAGAACGTTTACACAATTAATTATGAATCCTGGTTTCGCTTCCAACATTTTTAAACCTTCTATATTGTTGAATGAAATTGTGCCAGAACAAGAAGAACGTGTCCTTAATGGCGAATTTAATGTTGTATTTGGATCTCCAGAATCTTGGCTAAACAATAACAAGTGGAGAACGATGGCAGGTTCTTCGATGTACAAGAACCGGGTTAAAGCTATCGCAGTGGATGAAGCGCATGTTATAAATCACTGGTACGCTACTGTATTTCGTACTCATATCTTTTAAAAATATGAAGATATTTATGAACACACATGCAGAATATGGTAATGATTTATTTACACATTTCAATAGCAAAAATTGACACTCGATTAATGTAGTATGTATCCCAATAAAACAACAGATTGAACTCGATTAAACATAAACAATTTACTGAACACGTATATTTACTAAAACGCCATCTTGGATTCCTAATCTTTCTCATACTTCATGTTACAACAATATAGTAAACACTACATTCCCTTCCTTTGTACAAACAAAACCTACCATCTGTAAATACGAAATATGAACTTTAAAGTACTTTTATATGTTATCAACTGTTCGAAATTAATGAAGTTTTATACTCGCACGAAGTTCAGTTATATACTTATACTATATAAAAATCTAAAGTTATCTTACAGTGTTCAACACAAAATCCTTGAACTTGTCTGGTAATTTTCTCACTCGGGATGGTCTGCTTATCGGCACTGCAACAGGATTACCTTCGTTCGTAGGTGATACAGCTGTATCTTCAGATCTTTCAGACTCCGTAACGGTTTCTTGCACTCCTGGTTCTTGATAGGGTTTCACAAATGAATTGTTTCGCCTGTACACTACACCTTCGTCCGACTTGACAGTTAGTTCCTGTCCTTCTTTAGTTTGAACAATGTATGGTTTGGTTTCAAACTTTGGATCCAGTTTTCCAGATGTTTTGGAATTTTTAAGAAGGACCTTATCACCTGGGTTAATTGGATTCTGGTTGGCTTGTCGATGTTTGTCAGCATACTCTTTTCCTGCCACCTTTTTATTCCAGTCACGATCTCTAATGCTTTCATCCAAAATGTTTTTATCAGGACGTAACTCGGGAAGTTTAGTCTTGAGTTCTCTTCCAAACATCATGAACGCAGGAGATACTCCTGTACTGCTGTGAGGAGTGGTTCGATATGCCAACAGGAACTTGTTAAGTTCATCCTTCCACTTCTTATTTTCCACATGAGCTACCTTCAGCGATTTTAATAGAGTTCTGTTCTGACGCTCTACTTCCCCATTGGCTTGAGGCCAAAGAGGTGGAGACTTACGGTGTTGGATTCCACTTTCAGTTAGGAAATCCTCAAATTCCTCCGATACGAATTGAGCTCCGTTGTCGGACTTAAGAGTAAATGGATAACCGTATCGCGCAAAAATCGGTGTTAACACTTCTATCACTTTTTGTGTTGTGGTTGACTTCATAATAACCACTTCAAAGAAGCGACTGTAGTAATCAACGATTACTAATAAGTTTTCTCCCGAAGGCAATGGTCCTAGTAGATCGATAGCTACATCTTGCCACGGTCCGGATGGAGGTTCGGTACGTTGCATCGGTTCAGGTGCTCTAAAATCTCCAACCACTTGACAGCCATGGCATCTCTTGCATATGCGTTCTGCATCACCGTCCATTTTAGGCCACCAAACTTTACTCCTTAATCTGTTTTTCATCTTCACTATGCCCTGGTGCCCTTCATGTGCTAAACGCAACACTTCATTTCTAAGAGCTTGTGGTATCACTATTCTTGTTCCACGCATAACCAGCTGGCCAATAATGCAAAGTTCGTTCTTTACACTCGAATAATATGGCATTTTACATTCAGACCAATTTCCTGTACGAATATAATGTCTAACACTTACAAGTTCAGGATCCTTCTCCGATTCTCTTTCAACTTCTTTAGCTGTTTGAATGCCACCGGTGTACTTTCTTGCGCGATAATTCGAACAACATCCACAGTTTCGCCACTGTGATCTTTAGGAACTTTCGAATTTAACCTAGACAAAGCATCAGCTATGTTAGTTTTTCCCGGCCGATAGACAACCTTGAAGTGATAACCTTGTAGCCGAAGAACCCATCTTTCGAGTCGCGCAGACGGCTTAGACGATGTGTTGTATATATACTGTAAAGGCTTGTGGTCCGTCTCTAGCTCAAATTTACGACCATAAACATACAACTTGAATCTCTCACATGCCCACACCAACGCAAGACCTTCTTTCTCCGTTTGGGAATACCTCCTTTCGACGTCAGTGAGGTTCCTAGATGCATACGAAATTACTCTCCATGAATCACCCTGTAACTGTGTGAGAACCGCTCCAATCCCTGTAGGACCAGCATCAGCAATAATGCGTGTTTCACAATCGTTCTTGAAGTAAGCAAGCGTTTCGGCCTGAGTTAAAAGATCTTTCAATGTTGAAAAAGACTGTTGTTGAGCTTTTCCCCATTCAAATTGTTGATTCTTTCTAGTTAATTTTCTGATTGGCTCTGCCACTTGTGCAAAATCAGGTAGGAACTTGGCACAGTACTGCACTAGGCCTAGGAAAGATCTAACTTCTGCAGCATTCTTTGGGGGTTTGGCATCTCTTACTGCTGCCACCTTCTCTTCATTTGGCGAAACACCATCACAACTAAGATCATGACCAAAAAATGTCAACTTTGGAAGTCGAAACTGACACTTGTTTGCATTTAGGGTTAATCCGCACTCCCGTAAACGATTAAGTACAGCTACCAAATTCTTGTCGTGCTCTTCAATTCCCCGTCCATGGATGATCAAGTCATCCGCAATGTTGGCAACTCCTTTGCAACCAATCAATACATCCTTGACTATCTTCTGGTACATCTCGGGTGCTGAGGTTATTCCAAACATCAACCTCTTGTATCTATATAGTCCACTATGCGTTACAAATGTGGTGATACGACGCGATGACTCTTCAAGCTCGACTTGATGAAATCCCCATTTCAAATCTAATTTACTGTAGACTGTTGATCCATTTAACTCGTATAAGACTTCCTCTATAGTGGGGATTGGATGACGCTCCCTTTCAATAGCTTCGTTCGCTCGCCTCATATCGACACAAATACGAATATCACCGTCCGGTTTTGGTACGACAACAAGAGGTGATATCCAACCGGTAGGGCCAGTTGGTACTTCTTCAATAATATCTTCTTCTAATAACTCATTAAGCTTTTTGTCCACTTTTGCTCTGAGACCAAACGGTAATCTTCTTACTGGTTGTGCTACTGGTTTCACATCATCTTTAATGTGCAATTTCATCTGGAAATCCTTTAGTTTTCCCACTCCTGAGAAAATTTCTTTAAAATCATTCATAATATCTTTATCACTGCCTTCATATGCAACCGAGTAGACTTGTGGAGAACGTGGAGGTCCCACTCTAAGAACATTTAATTTCTCAGCTGTATTCTTTCCAAGTAAAACTTTTCCTGGACCTTCAACTACGGTAAACTCATCGACACAGCTTACCCTTGAATCTTTACAGAAAATATCGCTTTTGAATGTTCCCAAAACCTCAATTGAATCCGTTTGTCCATATGCGAACAATTTCTTTTCGCTTTTCTGAGATTCACACTTCACACCTTTTTGTTTCAGATTTTCCCATGTTGCTCGATCCATTATATTGCAGGAAGCTCCAGAATCGATAAGGACATTATTTAACTCCACACCTCCAATGATAAGATCAACAACTCCACCTGTCTTTTCACCAGCAGGTTTAACTACAAAAGCATAATTGTCCGTTTCTGGTTTCTGTTTCTCTTCCTCTACTTGATAAGCTCCATCTTGACGTTGTTTTCCATTTGAGGGTTTCTTTGGGGCTTTAGTACGACAACAAACTGCAAAATGACCCACCAATCCACACTTTTTACATGTTTTACTTATTGCAGGACAGCTTTTATCTCGTCCGATGTGTCCTGTCATATTGCATCGATAACATTTCCTACCCTCTTTATGTTTTCCATCAGATGCACGGTCATCAGATTTGGCACCATACTTTCCTTTCTCCCTTCGATTACCTTGGAATATTCCATGTACTTGATTTGTACCTAATCTATCCATAGATTGCATTTGTGTGTTTACAGTTTCGTGAACTCTAGCCGTGTCTTGAAGCACAGATAAAGTTACTGTACCTGTCTTTTCAAGAAACTTTCGACGAAGCTTTGGGTCTCTGCATTTTTCAATAATTTGATCACGAATTGCTTCATCTACATTGGTAAACTCGCATGAAATAGACTTTTGTCGAAGTCGACAAACAAACTGATCTATGGTTTCATTCTCTTTTTGCTGCATTTGTCGAAACATATGTCTTTCAAAAGCCACATTTACTTTAGGTGTAAAATATGCATCTAAAGCGTTCAAACATTCCTGAAGATTGTTATCTTCACTATCTGGCTTTAAAGTATAATACAGTTCTTGTAATTCCATTCCTCCGGAGTGTAATAGCAAAGCAACTTTTTGCTGTTCATTTGTAACTCCTTTTGACACCATATACAGGTTGAAAGCGCGTTTCCATCTTCTCCAGCGAATTGATAGTGTATTTGGATCTCCCTTGGGGTCGAAGCAAGGAAAACCACCAACTTCGAGTACTTTTGCATTCGTATTTAAAACAACAGCTCCACTCGATTCACCTGCTTGAATATTTTCCGAATTTTGATTCGTTTCCATATTACTAATTTATCAAAATTCCTTTTAAACAAGTCCTCGATATATTTAGATGTAAATCCTCGTCGCCATTTGTAGTATGTATCCCAATAAAACAACAGATTGAACTCGATTAAACATAAACAATTTACTGAACACGTATATTTACTAAAACGCCATCTTGGATTCCTCATCCCCTATACTTCATGTTACAACAATATAGTAAACACTACAATTAATACAATGACTTGTGTAACTGCTAAAATTCTACAAAACAATACAATTTATACAATGTTCTTGCTGAATGCACGGAGCTACCAGGGCTGAAAATTTCATCCTGATTGACCAGACTGAAATTAATCATGTAATCGTTAACAATTTCAGTTTGAACAATCACTGATTTATTTACAGGGATGGATTTACTGGGGGGGGGGGAGGGTGAACCCCCATAGCTCTGGACAGATGGAGTGCAGGGGTGTTCTATTTTTATGATAAAGCAAAAAATAATAGAGACAAAATGAGATACAGTAATTTGAAAATAACATGATTATAAGCGAACTGTGAACAACAATTGCAATTCAAATACAGTATGTTGATGGGCGGTTGGCACACACGACTGACACAACTGTTCACTATAGCTGATAGGGCAGCCCCTTCCCCTACCAGATCATGTTGGATCCGTCCATGTAATCAATTAACCAAGATGAAATTCAGTCCATGCAGTCTCAAAACTCTCCATGTAATCAGCCACTTAGTATATTACACAACTACTACTACTATTATTATATCTATATACAGTATAACTAAATACAATTACAGACAGGTATTTAATTATGATATGGGAATTGCATATATGATGTCCTAGCATGGATGTTTCATAAAATGTTTACGGGTTCAAGTTATAAATTTGCCATGGCATATAATATTTTTAGATAATCATAATCATCTTGTTTTAACTATAAAAGATAATTTTTACATTGCTTAGTAATGTCAGAATATTTTACTTGTCAAAAGGAAAGTATATAGAGCATGGATGTTTCATAAAATGGTTGTGGGTTCAAGTTTTAAATTTGCCATGGCATAATATTTTTAGATAATCATAATCATCTTGTTTTAAGATAATTTTTACATCTCTTAGTAATGTCATAATATTTTAGTTGTCAAAAGAAAAGTATACAGCTCTTTCAATTAAGGTTGTCCCCAAGTTACACGGAAAAGTCGAATACGAGCACAAAATGCTTGCTGGGAATCCCTAAAAAATTATTTAATTTTTTAGCGATTCCCAGCAAGCCTTTCGCACTCGTATTCGACTTTTCCACTTAAGCCTTTAAGCTAAATGTTTCAAGTCACATAGTATGGATTATGAATAGTTAAAATGAATCTTATCTTTGGAGGGCCTATGCATTGGAGGGGTTATGAATGCATTGCAGTTTAATGGATTAACATTGGCAGATTAAAACTATATCAAGGGTATATGACTTAGTTTTTATATTCATGTGCCTACACATACATTGCAGTAGCAGAATTACAGGTTACACCAGCATTACTCTTGGCAGAATTTAGGTAAAATTTATGTTTTGTGAATTAATTACACCAGAAACCAAAATTTTCATAACTGAATAGGTTTTTTAAAATTTATATTGCAGGGGAAAATCAAGAAGTAACAGGTATTCTGCTTTTAGAGTTTGGTTTTCATGACTACATGAATTACGATCACTATTACCTGGAGTGATGTTCATTGCACTCACTGCAACAGCAACAGCTGACACAAGAAAAGAAATTTTTGAAGTTTTGGATATGAAGAATCCTTTGATTATTTTGAAAAGTCCTAACAAGCCTAATATATCGTATGTTGTGCAGTACATGCCCAAAACTGCAAAGTTGTCAGATTATTTTACATGGATTGCTAATGAAGTTCTATTAAGTGGAATAAATGTTTCCAGGACAATCATATATTGCCAGACCATAAAACAATGTTCCATTCTCTATTCTATGTTGAAAGCATTACTTGGTGATAACATATATGTTGATGTCCATAACAAAAATGTAAAGGGATTTATTCTGGAAATGCTTCATTCTTCTACCCCTGATTCAAATAAACAAAACATTTTGGAATCATTTCAAAGTAGTCATGGGACTATTCGTATTTTGGTGGCAACTATCTCATTTGGAATGGGTGTTGATTGCAAAAATGTTAGTTGTGTGATACATTTCGGACCAGCCAAAAATGTTGAAGCATATATGCAAGAAACAGGACGAGCAGGAAGAGATGGATCAAAGAGCATAGTGTACCTTTTGTATCAAAGTTTACAATTATTGCATGTAGGAAAAAACATGAAGGACTATCTTAAGCTTAATGAGACTGAATGTAGATGGAATTTTCTCCTTCAATTCTTTGACACTCATTATTCATGGCAACACCCTCTTCATTTGTGTTGTGACAACTGCTCATTGCTCTGTAAATGTGGACAAGAAGATTGTAAAGTATTGTCATATCCAGTTGAATTAGAAGAATTACCAATTGTCGAGACAACAAAAAAGTGTGAAGTGTCACCTGAACAAACTAGTGAGCTCAAATTAGAACTCCAAAAGCTCCACAAGATGTTGTTGATGGATTTTCTTAAAAGAGATGGCAGTGGAAAGTTAAAGGTGTTTAATCATCCGAAATTCGTTTTCGGGTTTTCGAGTATTCAAGTATCTCAAGTGATATTGAACTTGTGTAAGATTTTTACAGTTCGTGATATTTGCAAGTATGTTGAGATTTGGGATTTGCGCCATGCACACCAAATATGACATTTTTGCAAAGGGTTTTTGGAGACATGCAAGATAAAGATAAATTGGATAATGTATCTGATGACTTTTCATCTGATGATGATGAGGACGATCTTCTTCTCGATGATTGGGAAGACTTAGGAGTCCACGAAGATGTGGCAATAGACAAGTTGAGCATTAACCAAACAAATCTAACTGATGAGGATTCTGGCAATGACACAAGTGACGTTTCATTTGCAGTTCTTAGTGCCTTGCTGAACTCAACATTTGATACCATGGTTTAGGTAACACAGTACAGTGAAGATGGAATTACAGAACTTAGAAGGTTTGTTTCAATTAATGTACTTTTGTTTCAACAGAGCTTTATTAACCCTTTAAGTGGCAATGCGCCCATATGCGCCCTACTTTATTATTTTACTCTGTCTAACACCATACGATTTTACTCTTCAGGGGAGAGTGTTGCCACACAATGGGTTAATCATCATAAAACTACCTGAAAAATACATAAAAGAAATTTGACATTTAGATCAAAAGCCCTTCATATTGTATGTCTGGAATACACATGTGCTCTAATACCAGTGAATACAAAAGCAATCATGTGATAAACATAAACCAATCAGATTGATTTAGTCAAAACAAAGTGTGAACAAAAGATGTAAAGGCTAGTTCAAATGTTGCATTTTGCTTGTGACTAATTCAATATCTTGAATTATGTGCATGTAAAATTCGTCGTCTGAAACAATATAACTCGTCGTTTCTAATTACCATCGACCACAAATTTGAATTCGATCGGTGCGGTCGCACAATACGAGCAGAGTCCGACATGGTTTCAGACGTTGCATTTTGAATGTGTCGAATATAATTTGGTTGAGCGTGGCTTTAACAACTTCATGTAATGTTAGTCATGTTTTTGCTCAATACTTTGCTTTAAATCAATGATTGCAAAGCCCAGTTGAATTTAGCCTGCGTGGCAGGTGGTATTTCTACAGGCAGCGAAAATTAGGGAGGCAAAGGAAATACCGTCTGCCGCAAAACTAGGGGTTTTTGAATTACCCTTCCGCTGGTGAACGGAAAAAACGGATTGGTTAGTATTTTTATGTAGTTGTCAATCAACGGCTAAATTCGGTTAAATGTTAATCATTAACCAAATGTTTTGACGTTTTGAAACTCTGCATTTTGAAATTAGTTCACAATCACAAGTCAGACCATGCAGAAATGGAGTACCATAATAAAAGAAGCATATTTAAAGATACAAGCTGAAAAATAACACACTAAATAGTGTTTTTGATAGCGATTCGAACAAGAATATTTAACAAAGAAGATACATCCGAAGGGGCTGAAGTTATAATCGGCGAAAGGTATGGGCTAGTCTATATTTTCTTTCAGACAAATACATGCGTATATTAATTTGATAATATACGATCTCGCTTGACTTTCAAAGGCCATAAATCGCAATAATGTTGACATTTTACTAAAACTATCGATGGAAATTAGGAGATATTTCTTCACTGAATCGAACGGTGGGGTTTTCATATAGACCTATAATGTTCTGAACCAAAGATACTTGATAGATATACGAACCTCCAAAGTATAAACTAGGGGTATGGGCCGGTTGATGCAGTATAAATTATTAAATAACAGTTAAACTCTTATATACCCGTTGAATATGTATAGTTGTAAACAAATAAAAACTATTGTTCTATAAGGTTCAAAACTTTCAGTTTGGTTGTTGACTGATGATGAATCTATAGTATAGACTTGCATGCTTTGTATTTTGAGCTTATTAAACCACCATTTTAAGGCAGCTAAACGGGCGGCTTGGTTTATATTAAAGGCTGCACATAAAATAAATTCCTTGATTCTCATCGCTAGACACAGTCTACACTTTGAAATGTCGAAGACAGTGGGAGATTTATTTTTTATATTTTATATTTATATAATTTACATATCAATAGTTCGTATCTCCACGAACAATGACAGAATGACTGGGTTTCTTTAAAATACAATGAAATTTCATTCAAAATTCTGTTTGTTTGAAATTGGAAGTTTAAATTGGCACTAAAAACCCTATATAAAATATAAATTAACTGTCTTGAATTATTTTGTCGGGCGGTACATTTATATTGTATATAACGAAATATAAAACATTTTCATGCGGATTTTAAAATTCAGTCGGGCGGTGATAATAATATTTTATGTTGAGACTTGGTAGCAACTTGGGAGTGGCTAATTTTGAATATTTACTTAATGACATCTATAAATAGCTTTGATGCTTCAGGGGCGGTAGTTCAATCACACCCAGTTTTGCGGCAGGCGGTATTTCCTAAGTACCGCCTGCCATGCAGGCTAAGTTGAATTGACAATCCTGTCAAGCGTCTTCATAAGGGGGTGATATGTAGTTGCAATGTGGTTTCTTATGTATAATCAGGGATGATGTCATATGCCAACAAGGTGGATATATTCGACTGGGCTTTGAATTAATTTATTATGACTGATATAACACTTGATTGCCGTGAACTCACAAACACAAACTTTAAATTCATTAAAATTTTGCCAATTTTTTACCTTACTATTCCTGTAAACTTGTTTTCCAAATATCTTAATATTTCAAGCTTTACATCATTCCAGGTAACGCCCAAGCAGACTCATGCAAATTGCGACGTTTCAACCAGCCCTAAGTACGTCACATTGTAGAATATATATATTAGCGCTTCAAGATAAAATGCACCCTTTTGTTATTATTTTACTTTGTCTAACGCCACACGATTTTACTAATCAAGAAGTAAAAACTTAAAAAGTACTAATTTTTACTGTGTATTTACCATAATCACTCTTTCCTTTGTAGCTGTGTCGTTTTCTTCCCTAAAATGGCAGACAATGCCTAATGGGTGCCATAAGAAGGTTCATTTAAGTTTTTATTTACTGCTTATCTGGCTTTTAGGCCCGATGCAAATTTATTTTTGTGATCTTCTATCCACTTGTACATTTGGGACATGTCCAAGCTTAAAATTGGATCCCTCTGAAAATTTGGAAAGTGCCCATAATGCCTTTCTTCAGTTTCGAAAATGTTTCTTTCTTGTAAATTTTTCAAAATCATTTCTAAGTCAGATTTTTGCGACCGTTCGGAATGTTTTCCGGAACTAACAGCACAATGAAGCCCTCTATCTACCTTGTTGATGACTCCTCTAACTGCTTTCTCTGCTCTGGAGATTCTTGTAACAGCACTCTCGGTAACATTTGCACCCAAGTTACGTATTCCTTGTTTAACGTAATTGTTACTGTGTTCAACTTCCAAATCAAGAGGAATATTCATTCCCATTCCACCATGGTTATTTACAGACCTATTCCATATGAATACTTCCGCATCTTTTTTGCTCATAACCCCGTTAACAAGCAACAACTGGTGAAGACATTCAAGAGCGTATTTCGTGCTATGAGAACCATCGGCTTTACACAAAAGCATCAAATACTTGTAATGTCTCATAATTCGTTCACCGTCGCCTTCTGACACAGAGTCAAGGAAGTTGAGGAAGAACAATCCTTCTGAAAGAAGAGCAGTGTTGTAGTTAAAAATATTGTCAACAGTTTGGGGGCTTGCGGTTGTTGGTTTAGTGCTGTCGGCATCTGAACAGTGGATGTTCGTATATGTCACACTTACTGGCGGGTTGTGACTTTGTTTGTGCTTTGTTCTTCTTGATTTCCCATTGTGTTTAAACGTCTTGGAACAACCCGGAAACCGACAAAGGAATCGTCCATTCTCATCTAAGTGCATGCTTGCTTCTCTTGTTCTGAAATTAGGTTTGAGATAGTTGCGTCCATCATTTGTTCATTAACAATAATTTCATCAACTATTTTAGCTGCAGCTTTATGAAGAATTTGTTGCTTTTCCATCTCACTTTGATCTTTAATGGTTTCTGGTATTTGTAACTGTTGGGGTTTATCTTTCGTGTTGTTCATTCCAAGTACATGAAACGCTGCACAAATGATCCTGGCCGTTACTTCCAGGATTAAGAAATCTCTGTCTGCACGATAAGCTGCATGAGGATCATCTTTAACATTGCGCCTTTTTATCAAATTCCTATCTGCCATCATGGTGCATTCATCCTTTGAAGAACTGGTCGAATAAAATTGGCGAAATAACATCTAAAAGCAATCAAACAGTTTTGCTAATGTAATTTCGCTTAAGACAGTAGAACGATTATGGTAACTACTGTACGGTAAATTTGCTGTTGTCTTGATTGATATTTTTGGTCTCTCGAAATTTATGATGAAATATTCAATAACTTAATATTTAAAAAATACAGATACTTATCGATATATCGTAACGGACAATTATGATAATTGTGTTGTAAACACTATTGTTGCAGTGAAAGGGAACGATGACTTATATGCCATACTTCCATCCCGGTTTTGGGCATACTGTACAGTACCTATTTAATCAAATATATGGTTACTGTACCTCCAGAATTTTAACTCCAGTATGCCAATCACCAGGTTGTACGTTAAATCGTTCCAATCGATCTTCTGCTGTGTATCCATTAGCCACAGAATGTATTGAATTTACTGCTCTTTCGACAGATAGTTGATCTCCAGAACATAGTTGATTGAAGAATACTGTCCCGTTATTTCCAGCCATTGATGGTATGTAGGTTTGGAATTTCTTTAATATATCAATCATTTCTGATGTAACATTTTCATTTTTAAACAGCACGCCCATTGGAATCTGAAAAGATTAATTAATATTACTTAGGACTCATTCTTCGAAATAATTGTTCTTCAATTTTTAATCATACCATTTACATGTGACGAGCTGGTGAGCTTACAGTATTTGCAACTTTTGGTCTTTAAACGAAAACCGGTTACTAATCCAAATTTTTATGGATGTTGCACAACAAGAACAGTGACAAAAACTATATACAAATGCAAAATATCCATGCTTGCAAAATACCATACCAAAGTATTCTTAAAATTCTACCCAACTATACAACAATTTATATTGAGAATATGTAGTATGTTGATGGGGTACGGGAACGCGATTGTTTTTCTATACATATTGCTGCATATGGCTCAGGTCAAGATCATTAACTATAGTTGTACCATGCAGTAGGGTTGTGTCTTTTATTGTTGTACAAAAATACAGTAAATAATGTGGTCGTATTTATATTATCTAAGCAATATTACTTTAATTTTTAATCTCACTCACGCTTTCGGATTTCTTGGCTGCCTCTTTGGAATATTTGTGAGGAATATGTTGAATGCAAACATCTTTAAACATTTCAAATGATTCCAAATGTTGCACCAGTATCCTGGATATGAGCACTATGTAATTTTGTCATTGCTTGGCTTGGTCTTTCACAGATGGAAGTAACTTGATATTTGGCATGTTAAGGACGTTCATTGGGGACTGATTAAGCATATTACCAGAAACTCTGTTCACGACAATCTTATGGTTCACCCAGTGATAATCGGAATTCTGGTTGTCTTTTGCCATATGTCTGCATGTTGTTTTGCCATCAATATTATCAAATATGATAGAAAATCCTGCGTGAGCATGCACCTTACTTTCTTTCAAATCTTTAATTAGCTCATTCTTTTTTTCAACACACAAAGTAGAACAAACGTGCTCTTTGTTACATCGCTGGTCAAGATGATGTCGCCTGATTTTCTGATATATTCTGTTGTTGTTCTGATATCTGTTTCTTCAGTTCCATAACTTTCTGGTCATGATTTTACCCCAGCACATCAAGCTTCTTACGAATCCTTCCTGCAGAACAAGTCACCTTGAACTTAGCAAGGCAATTCGGATTTGCCTGTTTAAAAGAGAAAGAGAGTTATAAATGGTTAGATATATATAAATGGATTTTATATTTTGGATCGGCATTGAGGGGGAAAAATTTTCAAAAATTCTTTAAGACGTCATTTTGAAAAACGTAGTCTATTTCTTCCTGTTTCGATAATGTTACCTAATATTAACTATAGTTAGTGGAAATTAATTTAGTTTATTTTAAGAGATTTTTATGTATGTTATGTAACACGCGCTCAAAACTACCACTTGCTGTTATGACTACTCATCCAAAATGTTTATTTTTCGATACGTGTCTCAATCGGCAAACAAACTTAGAAAGTATGTTCAGTCATTTATCTGTAAAATAATGCCAGAATGAAGAGATTTTAGATGGTACGCCAAAGAGAAAATGATGTCTGAAGTTCAGCAAGTTTGGCTTATAATTGCCGTAAATATGGCATCACATTTAAAGCGTCATTGATAATTGTATTTTAGTTGACAAAATACCATTTTACCATTATTTTATGTTTCTCAACCGGCAAATACATTTAAAAAGGTAGCTAACTGTATAAACTAGAGAATAAAGCTAAAACAAAGCAATTTTGAGATGTACACCAAAAAGATGTTCGGTTTTGAATACTTTTCATCGCAAATACATGAAATTGAAAAAAATTGCCTCTTAATAGGTTTGTCACAATATTACAAGGCAACAATCGTACAATACGATGACAGGAATGGGTGATTCCAACTATAGACCAAATTTTGATTAAGGCAAGAAGAACGAAATCCAACACCGCAGCTAGAAAGAGCGTCTGGAATCATCCAATGGTACAGAACTACAAATCCAATTGCCACCCAATCCATTTACAGTGAATGGATACAATAAAAATATTAGAGTTATTACAGTTATTATTAAAGTTTTTTCAACCGGCCTCAGACCAATCTCATACACATAGTATGCCCGTCCGCAGGTTAGGTGCTGAGCAGGATTGTCTGCTATGTTTCTATCATGGACCAACTAACCTGCGAACAGGCATACTCTAGGCACAGATGATAGACTATACCAGATGAATCACTGTGTATCTATCCCTATGATTTTTGTGTCCGCGATTTTCGCGAGTCTATCACGCCAGATGACGCGTGCGACACTCACTGCCAAAATGGCGCTTATTGCCAAAATGCATGATTGCTCACGTTTCATGGCGTGGATTACACTTACTGTCAAAATGGCGGCCAACACATGTTTATAAAAATTCGCGGACATAATTTTGGCTGAGTGATTCATCTGGTATTATCTATCATCTGTGCTCTAGGTAGACACGCAAACTGGACTAGTTCCTAGTCCTATGTGCGCGCCTTTTATTTCCCCGTGACAACACCAAGTGTATATTAGTGAAATGACGCGTACTATGAGACCTAGGGATAGTAGTTTTATTATGAAATGCAGTTACGATCTCACCTCCAATGATCTTGATTTCAGGAGAATGCCAAGGATCGTTGCGCACGCACTCACGTGTGAGTTTCGTTGCTTGAGGAGAATCGAGCCTGCCACAGCCATACTTGGAAGCCACTCCACAGCTGTGTTATTTGGTGAAGCAATTGCCTTTAAAAACGTGTAAAAAAGCGGGGCTTTTTTCTTCCACTCTAAGCATAATTTTTTAAAATCAAAATTGACGAGCTCTTCCTTAGTTTTCACTCTGAGCATGGAAGGATATTTTCGAGAACATAAACATTTCATTTCAGACTTTAAATAACGTTGCATTTCTTTAAAAATGCAAGTGCAGAGTTTTTCCTCTTTGAACAAAGCCCTGGCGAGCCTTTCAGGAACATCATGAACAAGTGCCTTTCCAAGAACTGCATAATTACCAACTAGTTCTTTTTTAAATGTTCTAGATGGATATTGAACAATGATACGCACATTTTTGGACTTTCCCGCAAGATCGCCATTTCCTGAATGTGGAGAAATATCGAGAGTGGATTGCGGAATATTTAAAGAATTTGGTGTGGAAGTCATCTGCCTTTGGTGCTCTACTGGTGGTATCAGAAATACCATACATTCTTCACTGACTGGCTGCAAGGTTACAGGAACGGACTGCGTGTTTAATGTTGCGGTCGTAGCCGGTCCTAGCATTTCTATTTGTGTATCAAGACCGTCATCTCGAAACATCAATACTTTTTTTGCTGGAGGGTTCTCACATTCCATACCTTTGCTCATTCTTTTGACTGAAACATTAGTGGACCTGTTGAAACTCTTCCTAATTTCACTTTCAATTGTATCTAGTTTCTCCAGAGCATTTTTATAATGTAGTAATAGTCTATAACAAATGCAACAAATGGCCAACTCAATGTGATCTTTGTAATTGTCAAGATTTATTTGTGTTGAACGGGTTATTAAAAGCAGTAAATCAAGTTTTGATTTTCCAAAGATTTTTGTTTTGTCTTTTGAATCGATAATTTCTTTCTTACAAATGAAACAATCATGATGTGGATGTGATATTTTTATTGGAGTATCCATCTTTTACTTGAAATATAAACAGTTATAAATATGGCCGTTTCTTATGTCAGTGTTATAAATATCATAACTATTTTTAGATTGTTGTTATTTATTGTGTGCAGAAAATCACACGCAACACGAAGTTCACACCCAGCTTTAATAATTAAATTTTAAAAAAATTATACAGTACAAATAGTATTGATAAAGTAATACAATTTAATATTAATAGCTCATTGTCAATTAATCTATTTATTTGTGCAAAAGAATGCTATGCAGAAAAATAATTGCAAAACTAACAACCAGAATTATCTATATAGAAATTAGAAACCTCAGTTGGCTTATGGACTGGGCCTGCCCAGTACAAATATGGTGTGCCATATTGGTCTTAATATATGAGTAGCATCCAAAGTCACAGTATTTGAATACGAGTCAACACAATTGTAAAGAAGTTTTGCACATATCAAATTATCAATGCTACTGTAACATAAAGATAGGTAAAACATTGACTTGTGGTGAATTATAACCTTCAAATAATGACAAATTACATTTTTTTAATGGACTCTATCTGCTTGAAGGATATGTTTGATCATTTGATAATTTGATGGACTTTCCTATACACTTATGAGACTTGGGCAGTTGGGAATGTAGATGACCCCCAAGTATTTAGCAAATGAAGGAAATTTGAATAAAGGCTGGGACATAACAATTTAAATTCAGGTTATTTAATTAATATTACATGAAAATAAAGAAAATTGTTGCCCCTCCCCAGAATGGTCAGCCCTTATGAATGTGCCCTACTCTGCCACCCGATTAGCGCGTTTGACGCCGGCTGACAGCCGGAAATTTTGTCTCTGATTGCTCGGCTGCCAGCCGGGCTGTACTATAGTATACTATTCGTTCAAAAAATGCGCGCATTTCGGAGACTGGTTCTAGAATGTTTCATAAGCAAAAAACCACCAAAATTACATTAAATTTTCCGAAAATCATCGAAATGCATCTAAATTCATCTTCCCAATGCATATAGCTAGCTATGCGACAGGTAAATAAACGAGAGAAAAAAAAATTTGGGCAAAAAGAAAAATTCAAATTCGTTTGCGCGCATTCCGGGACCGAACTCACGACCCTCAGCATACACGCTGAGTGTTGTCCCCTTGCGCTACCACGTCTTACACGGAAAATATGTTAATTAATTGTATATATACAGTTATTCTTAGCCGGGGCGATTTATGATGGCGTAAATACGTACACCATTGTACACGGCCAAGGTCGTACAGTAGCAGCCGAGCCGTATCTACTCTTCCAATACATCACGGCATAGATCACGGCTACCAGCTGGGGTTATTTAATTGTAATACAATACTACAATGCAATACGAGTGTCAGCCGAGCCTGTCGGTAGTATACTATAGTATACTACAATACATCACGGCTACCAGCCGACAATACGGCTATCAGCCGGGCCTGTCTGTAGTATACTATAGTATACTACAATACATCCGGGTACCAGCCGGCAATACGGCTATCAGCCGGGCGTGTCTGTAGTATACTATAGTATATTACAGACACGCCCGGCTAATAGCCGTATAGCCGGCTGATAGCCGTATTGGTAGTATACTGTAGTATACTACGATAATCACGGCTACCAGCCGACAATACAGCTATCAGCCGGGCCTGTCTGTAGTATACTATAGTATACTACAATACATCCGGGACCAGCCGGCAATGCGGCTATCAGGCGGGCGTGTCTGTAGTATACTATAGTATATTACAGACACGCCCGGCTGATAGCCGTATTGCCGGCTGGTAGCCGCGATGTTTTGTAGTATACTACCGACAGGCTCGGCTGACACTCGTATTGCATTGTAGTATTTTATTACAGTTAAATAACCCCGGCTGGTAGCCGTGATGTTCTGTAGTATTCTATAGTATACTACAGACATGCCCGGCTGATAGCCATATTGCCGGCTGGTAGCTGTGATGTATTGTAGTATACTATAGTATACTACCGACAGGCTCGGCTGACACTCGTATAGCATTGTAGTATTGTATTACAATTAAATAACCCCAGCTGGTAGCCGTGATCTATGCCGTGATGTATTGGAAGAGTAGATACGGCTCGGCTGCTACTAGGCTTGGGCGGTTTTGCTTAAAATCAAAACCGAAAAACCGTCTGATTCTAAACCGGTAAAACCGGGTTTTCCCTTTAATTTGTATTTCAACTGAATGAGGAGGAATTGTGGTATTTTTTTGACATAAGCACAAACGAACAGAACATGTCAAAACGCAAAATTGTGTAAAGGTAACCTAAAACGACTTCGGTTTTAAAATAAAAGGGTCAAGAACGCATTTGAAAACTTGTACCTCTTTAGTTCTTACCGACTTTACGGAAAAAGAATATAATTTGTATCTAGTGTCATGTAATTGTGTTTAATTAGTATCATGTTTTGGGAATTAGGATCGAGTTTCGGGCGTTGACAGTAAACAATTTGGTAATGACGGTTTTCCGGTTTTTGTAAAAGCTAAACTGAAAAAACCGGTTTGAAAATAAAACCGGAAAAAACCGGTAAACCGCCCAAGCCTAGCTGCTACTGTACGTACCTTGGCCGTGTACAATGGTGTACGTATTTACACAATCATAAATCGCCCTGGCTAAGAATAACTGTATATATACAATTAATTAACATATTTTTCGTGTAAGACGTGGTAGCGCAAGGGGACAACACTCAGCGTGTATGCTGAGGGTCATGAGTTCGGTCCCGGAATGCGCGCAAACAAATTTGAATTTTTCTTTTTGCCGAAATTTTTTTTTTTTCGTTTATTTACCTGTCGCATAGCTACAATCCTGGCAAAAATTATTGTGGACACCGCGTGCGTCAAACAAAAATAGATGTATTTCTACAGAATTAATCCCCAGAAAATTTCTCCCCCTCCTTCCCCCAATTCAATGTTGGTAAATGAAACTTTTCAAATTTAAATGTGCGAAACAACATTGAATAGGGGGTAGGGGGCGACAAATTTCATGAAAGAACGTCTCAATGTTAATATTGACGTTAGAAAAGTTAGGTGTCCACATAATTTTTGCCAGGATTGTCTGAAAAAAATATCGATAATTTTCACCCAAAGCAGGCGTCTTACAACAAATTTTTGATGTTGCCATTGCTTTAGGATAACAGACAGATTGTTCAAACTGGTTTATTTTTTTTTAAAGCATATTTATAATTTTGTGGGTGAGAAGCTTTTGGCCATGATATATGCTTTGCTGAACTAATTATGCAGACGCAGTAACACGAGTTTTCAACAAAAATATTTAATTTGCATTACCAAATTCACACCAAATATAACAGACTATAGGGTTATTTTAGTGTATACGCATCCGCAACGCTCACTATTTTCAGATTTTTTATAACAAACGCAGCCCAACAGCGACTGTAGAGCGTTCTCTAATCTAACAGTGACGTCACACGGTACACGGCTGTGTAGCGTATAGTAAAGGATACATAGCTTAAATATTTTAATCACTACGCTACACAGCCGTCTACCGTGTGACGTCACTGTTAGATTAAAGGCGCTCTACAGTCACTGTTGGGCTGCGTTTGTTATAAAAAATCTGAAAATAGTGAGCGCTTCGGATGCGTACACACTAAAATAACAGTTATACAGTTATATTGTATAAATACACAGGAATATGATGCTCCTTGCTGCAAACTCATGGCAAAATGTTGCAGGCTAACAAAGGATCTGCATTTTGAAATGCATGTATTACCAATAAATCGATAATGCGAATGATTCACGCTCAGGAACTAAAGATAGATCTGCTTGCCTGTAAGTTATATGAGGTAAACAAACCTCGCATTTTTTGGCTTAAAATTTTGCACTCAGGTTTGACTAAGTACTAAGACATCGTCGTTCTTTACAATGTTCAATAATTTGTTATACGAAAATATTCCTTTGTAGAGTTGCAGACTAAGTTGTGATTGTATAAATTCAGATAATACGTAAAAAGCCACTTGACATGTAATGTGATAGGTGACACTTGACATAGATCGGAGGGTAAAAAAAACTAAATATAACCTGATTTACTGATTGTTTGCCCGTTTTGCTAAACAAACAAGCCTATTTTCTCATTGGATCGAGCCTTAAATTCATGAAATCGGACGGTTTGAAATATGTGATAATTTCAGACAATCCTGGCAAAAATTATTGTGGACACCGCGTGCGTCAAACAAAAATAGATGTATTTCTACAGAATTAATCCCCAGAAAATTTCTCCCCCTCCTTCCCCCAATTCAATGTTGGTAAATGAAACTTTTCAAATTTAAATGCGCGAAACAACATTGAATAGGGGGTAGGGGGCGACAAATTTCATGAAAGAACGTCTCAATGTTAATATTGACGTTAGAAAAGTTAGGTGTCCACATAATTTTTGCTAGGATTGTAGCTATATGCATTGGGAAGATGAATTTAGATGCATTTCGATGATTTTCGGAAAATTTAATGTAATTTTGGTGGTTTTTTGTTTATGAAACATTCTAGAACCAGTCTCCGAAATGCGCACATTTTTTGAACGAATAGTATACTATAGTACAGCCCGGCTAGCAGCCGAGCAATCGGAGACAAAATTTCCGGCTGTCAGCCGGCGTCAAACGCGCTAATCGGGTGACTCTGCTTGGTCAGCCCAAATGTCAAAATAATACATTGTTACTGGTAAAGGGCAAATTCTTGTAAAAAGAACATACATTGTGAGCAGGATTAGTGAGAAATTTTGCCAATTCAAATAAAACATTGGAAATCAGTTAATTTGTGTCTTAACCCATTGAATGGCAGCACTGTCCCCCCCCCCTGATGAGTAAAATTGTCTGATTAACTTATTGAGTGGTAGCACTCTCCCCCTGACAAGTAAAATCATCTGGCATTAGACAGAGTAAAATAATAAAGTAGGGCGCATTGCCACTTAAAGGGTTAACCAAGCTAAGGGTCCAGCATCCCCTCATAAATTTGGGTCCATATGGGAGTGGGTACAGATTAAATGGGATTCAAGTTGAGATACCAGCCCAGAAGGAAAAACAAATATTATAAAAGTAAAACAAAGTTGTTGAAACCTGGGGCCGGTTGTTCAAAAGCCAAATTGCTTACCCTGGGTTAACAACATAAATAGTAAAATTCGAATCAATCATCATCATAATTTTGTACCAATGTTGGTAGTGATGATAACATGCTTCAAATATAGAGAGATTAAACTATCTGAAGAAAATATTGATGTATAACTTTGACATTTCAATTGAAGGCCCTTGAGTTTGTATGGAAGTTAGTCAATGATGGCCTTCACTTGAAATAAAATGTCAACTTTTTGCTTGTATTTTTCATGTAGTTGAATCCCTCAATCTCCATCCAAAGCTTTCTCAAGCTTCCTAACAGTTGGTTTATAAATTTGGAAATATTTCTTCAGATATATTGTTTGGATCAGTAGATGTTTTCTTCTCTGATGTTTTGAAATAAATAGACCTGCATAGCAGGTTAAATTTTAACAAAGGTTAGCACTAATCCGGCTTTGTAAACTTGCCCCTGATGGATTACAATACATTTGTTCAATGGATTACAATGAATTTGTTCAAAATCAAAAGGATTTTATTACAATGTTAAACGATATCAGTTAATAAAAAAAGCAAACTTTATCTTGTTCTAGTGTCCAATAACTGGACAACAGTATTTATCTTGGGTCTTGAACAATCTCGTTCCCAGAGTATGCCTGTTCGCGGCTTAGGTAGTGGCATGACTCTGGGGAAATCGAATCGAAATTGTTATTTGATTGGCTGCCGTGATCATCAATACTGCCGACACAATTAATGCGTGTTTTTTTGCGAGAATTACGCATGATAATACGCGAAGAGAGAATTATCAATGTTTATCAAATTTGGAATGCGAAATCAAACAATATAAATCGAAGGATATAATATTAATCCTATGAAAAAGTATTGGGACGTTGGGTATATACTTACAAAATGGTATGGTATTTATGAATTACTTTTTATCGATCTACAGTATGAGTCATAGATATCTCATATACACTAGATAGCGCATCTCGGAATACAAAACTGAAGCCAAAAATCTCAGCGGTTTCCCCCATGAAAATAGGCGGCGGCCATATTGGTCGTTCCCACTCATCAATGAAATGCTATAGAAAATACTATACTTTTCGAGGCTTTTTTTGCATTTCTGGATTAAAAATACCTTTTTGAGGTACGTTCGCCTTGAAATCGCAGCTTTTTTGGAAAAGGGTACAAGAAAAAAACATTAATTGGCGATGTTGTTGTCTTTAAATCGCATTTTAAAGCTAAAAATTTCGAATTACGACATTCTTTATATATTTGTTTTGAATTTGTGAATGATTCTCTGGTGAAGTATCGTCTAATCAATACATGTACTTACGGTTTCTGGCACCACTTTATGGAAATGGAAGTTGGTTAGCAACGTTTCAACTATCGGCGTAGGCAGTTTATACTGTAAAAAAACAGTACACTTACACTAAAAGTACACTTTCAGTTTGGGCAGTTTTCACTGTAAATCTTTAGTGAAATGTTTGAGACTGTCTGAGTCTGCACTTTCAGCTTGGATAGTTTTCACTCTAAATCTTTTGTGAAATGTTTGAGACAGAGTTTGCACTTTCAGCTTGGGCAGTTTTCACTATAAATCTTTAGTAAAATTATGTTTGAGAAGAGTCTGCACTTTCAGCTTGGGCAGTTTCATAGTAAATTTTAGTAATATTTAGCTTTCTCTGATACATTCTGTGTAATCACTCACACTGGTGCTTAAAAGGTACAAGTTTATTTAATTTCTTTCTAATTTTTTGTCCAGATGAATTCTCAGTGGTCTTTTTTCCAAGATGGTAAAATTTAACCTCACAGTAACTCTTGAGGATGCTCTTGGTCAACTGAAATATAACATGATTTTCACCAACTGGTGAGTCAAAAATATGGTGATCTAGCTCAGTAAAAAGACTGCGTATGCACAATGAAGCCAGAACATATGGACAATGAACAATGAAGCCAGAACAGGAGTGGTCAGAACATACAAGTGTTTGCTTTTTGAGAACAGAACAGTATGGACAATGCAACCAGAACAAAAGTGGTCAGAACATATAAACATCTGCTTTTTGGGTGACCACTTTTCTTGATGAACATTTTGTATCAACTGTTTTCATAGTAATTCATCCTTAGGGATGTTTATCATGTTAATGCAAGTCTAATTTCAATCAATATAATAGTATACTGTAAAAAACTAAAAATAAATTGCTTACTGATGAAATGTCCTGGGAAGTTTTCTTTTGATTTTTTCTTCTGTCAATTGACCCTTCACTATTACTTCTTATACTTTTTGCATCAGGAATGACTACCCATTGCTATGAAATTTTCTGAGTTTAATTCAAATTTTTAATTTCAATTGGCACCAAAACTTCTTCAGGTCTCCAAATTTTTTTAAAAATTGGACATTTTTTTAATGATATTTACAGTAACCACTAAACTCAAAAGGCAAAAATTGAGAGTTTATCATCTTTTCATTTCCTGAGAGTACTGGCAAATTTATTTTATTTTTTTAGAAAAGTTTAATTATTGTGCATCTGATGAGTCAAAGAATTAGAAAACACTATTACACAAAGTCAAAAGTAATACTTTATTATAACAATAGAATTATTTATACAATAGTGAGTGCAAGTATATTTAAGATTATAAAATCTACTGTGCATCAAGCAGTTTATCCCATTGACCTTACAATATACAATAATGCAAGAAGTAATGTGTCTCATTACAAAATAGGGTTTCCCAAAGCAGTTCTAAAATTCAACTGATTATCAATTACCTATATGCTGTTAATAATTACAGTAATTTGGCAGTTTGATTGCTTGAATTATAAAAACAAAAGGTCTAGGACTCAACAGAAAGAAATATGTCTTAACATCAAATATTAAAGATAGTTTGAAGCATTCATACAATTGAAAGTTTTAGAAAGTTTGATTATCAACTACATTTACATAAAGCAATAGCAATTATGTTATTTTGCCTGCGAATATATAAAAAAGTTGCAATTATTCTTCTCTAGCTTCTAATACATTTTATCTTGATGTGATTCCATGGAACTATAAAATAATATATGATATGTTGTATGTATGTAATAAATATACAAATAGTAAGGAGTAAGAACCCTTTTTGGTGTCAATGTTTTTTATATATCGACTATATTTAAGATTTTAAGTCTATTTTTGCCATTGATAAACTGTGACTAAAATATGTTTTTCAGTGTCGCTGTCTTTTACAAAAGAATATGCAAATACATTCACAATTTTGCCATGAAGCAATGGCGATGGCTCAAAATGTTTTATTTGGAATTGGTGGAACTATATTTATATATACATCAACAATGATGGTTTGTCCATAGGGTTTGTCCTATGGGCGCCCTTCATACGGGTCGACAAATATTGATATTTTCGAAAAAAAAAAAAAAATTCTGCCTACCCGTTATTCACAATATGAAGCTCCAACGATCTGGCATCATTTACAACAAGTTGCACACTTGAAAAACCAAAATTGACTGCATAAAAGAGGATTTATTGTCAACTTTGTCCATTTCCGCAATACAAAATATACAAATTATCACGCTCGGTGGGAACGACCAATATGGCCGCCGCACGTAAACTGCGACTGCGATCAGGCTTCAATTTTCGCCTGCCTACAGGGTGGGATGCGCTATCTAGTGTATATGAGATATCTATGGTATGAGTATATTCATTATAACTATGAAAGAATTGGCTAAATGAAATCATCGCACACGTTGTCGTTGTTTTGTTAAATTGACGTATTGTTGCCAGGACTTTGGAGTGACAGCTTTTGCTTGTGTTAAAAACTTGAAGCTTTAAACAATACAGTACATTATGGTCAACACTCAACATGTTGTAGTCTGTGGTCTTTGTGCTTTTGTAAATGGAGTTATCTATATAAATTTAAGATGCCACGTGTTTTTGTAGCATCTGTATAAATTATAGAATAATTGATTTAAGAAGTTCCTCAGGTTGTAAAACATTTGGTTATAGACTTGCTTTGTAAATGACTGCCACTTGACAGCATGATCGGCTATTCCATTTAATATCGGTACACCCCCTGTCGAGGATACATGTTTTTCATGGTTATACCCTTGAAGAATTCCAAACTCAAAACCTTTTACCCGTGAAGAATTCCAAGCTCAAAACACTTTACCGCTGAAGAATTTCAAGCTCAAAACCCTTTACCCCTGAAGAATTCCAGGGATCCTCGACAGGGGGGATATTAAATGGAATAGCTCAATGTAAGGCTATAACTAAGCCAAACCTGAAACAATTTTTTCATCAATTTGTGTCTGGATAAAAAATAAGTAGTGAATTTAAATACAGATGTTTCCTTGTCTGTTGCTATGTGAAACAATGTTGTTTGTAGCAATAAGAGTTATTGTTGATCAATAACAATGCTCATTTGCTAAAAATATACAAGTATTGATTCCATTTCCAAACTATTATACTATGTGAATATATTGGCAATTAATCCAATTATATATAAATAACAACTTTAATTTCTGTATCAAGCCTCCTGGGTATTATTGTTTCCTAAGCATCATTGAGGGGGCACTTGTTCTAAATATATGCAATAAGTCTGGTTACCATTAATTAAAAAATGTCCATATTCAGAGTTACAGTTGTACTGTTTTTATTAAAATACTACAGAAATGCAATATATTTCATGATTTTAAGAATTAATTGAATGGGGACTGCATGGTTAAAAGAGGAAGGGGGCTTATTTATTTTTGTATCCAAATGAGGGGGGGGGGTATTTATTTTTGTATCCAAATGAGGGGGGGAGGTTATTGGAGAGGGGCTTGAAGAGAAGGGGGCTAAATATAGAAATTACAGTACCTGCATTCCTTCCTCTCCCTTCCCAAACATCTGCAGGAGAGGGGGCAACTGCAGGGGTTAAAGCATGGATTGCAAGGTTGATGTATAATTTGCATGTTATGTACCTGGTAGTATGGAGTAATGAGCTAGTAAATATATCCTTGCCTATAATTAGTTGCTGATTAAATGTTCAAAGATACACAGTGTGAAGCATGAAAAACAAATGGATACCCACTGCAACAAATTTTCAACAAATATATATGGATTTGTTCACTTCATTTACTTTCAACACAAGTAATTATAGTAATTATAATTACAAACACAATGTACTGTCATTTAAATTTTAAAGACTTTATATGTGCTCCATGTATATATGTTAATGTAATATAATATAAAAAATGTGTTTATTGCTAAAATATGTGATAAATAATACCGTAAACCTCTAACTATAAGCCCTGGGCTTATATTCTTTTGTAAGCGATTTTTGGTGGGCTTAGGGGGGGGTGGCTTATATGCACGGGGGCCTTATACATGGACAATCAATTGTGTTAGTAATAAACAAGTCAGTCATAAACAGGAAAATAAACATGTATTAATAACACACTTTGATTAACATAGTAAGCAATAAAGACAATGACAGTGTTTTAAATATCGTTCTCTGCTATATTAAAAGACAATGTTAATGTTAAATAACATACTGGGATACTGGGCTTATATTCAGGGGACTTATATTCAAGGGGGCTTATATTTGGAATGAGGTGAGCATTATATTCAGAGGTTTACAGTATACAGTTGAAAGAAGCTTGTATTTTCCTGTCATAGACACACATTTCTGGGTGGATATAGAACAGCTTATACATTGGGTTCTCATGTGGATCCAATGGTAATTTGATATCGCTGCCATCACCAAATATAGTATAGTGTAGCACAGAATTGCCTTGTCACCCTTGTATCATAATCATACTTTGACATCCTATCATGCATGCAGAAATGCCTTGGTCATTCATGTGGAGATATGACTATCAGTATCACGATAGAATTAGTTACGCCAAGTAATATGTCGCACACGTCAGGTAGCAGCTGAAATATTTTAATATTTGCCATAATAAGCCCATAACCTGTTGGCAAAACAACCAAAACATCTTCACCATTTTACAATGGCCGAGATACATTTGAATGTCTCGTCTTTTAACGAATATTCAAGCCCTCTTTTCACTAGAACAGCTTTCATAGCTCTTCCAATATTTGCCATTGAATATAATTTAATAGTAGTACGATTTAAAGCACCTTTAACTCTTTCTCGACATGTGACATTTTTCACGGCAAGCAATATTTTGATTCAACTGTTTTATAACGTAAATATTTCAGTGCGTATTCACCCCCCTTAAAAACAAAGAACACCATTGGAATCTTAACAAAATAAGCTTTTCATCGGGGGGTCTAATGCCGTCAAAACAAATACACAAACCGAAACAATCATATATTTACTCACCGCTTGGCCAAACATTCTGTAGTTTCATATGGAGAAAATGTTGAATATTTTCTAAACTCTTCAGTATTCGCCGCAAGTTAATGTTAGTGAAATATTCCTTGTATTCAAGCGCTTTTATGTAGAAAGTTTCGTTTGAATACGGCGAGTAGAAATGTTTATTTTGTTTTTTTCAAAATATCGGGTTTCATCGGGTTTTTACTCGCACGCGCGTGCTGCACGTAAAATTGGCCAATAAGGGGTCTCCCGTAGCCCAGTGCACGTGAAAAGCAACGCTTCAGATGTAATTTGACCTTTAGAATCGATTTCCGATGTTTTCCGAACGCTAGGATGTAAACACGCGATGTTTTGGCAGATCTAAAATGTATTTCCGGTTAAAAATATCCCGCTGATTTCATTAGTTTCGCAACAGATTGAAATACCAAAATAAAAGACGAAAAACTAAGGCTACAAGCTTGAAAATAACACTTTCAATAGTGTTTTTGATTCTGTTTCGAATAAGACTATAGCGAAAACGATATCTCAAAAGGGGCCGAAGTTATGTTCGGCAAAAGGTATTGATAGTTTACATTGTTCGAGACAATTGATTAATATAATGAAATATGACACCGCTTGACCTGTCGAAAGGTCATAAATTGTTATAAAATTTCACTAAAATTATATTTGACTAAAACTATCGACAGGTATAGGAGATATTGTTTCACTGAATCGAATGGTGGTATTTTCATCTACATAGCATGCACCCAACTGACGATATGACCCTGCAAAGTCGTAAATCATGAGTGATTTACTTAATAGGGACCTGTCGGGAAAGAGTTAAAAAACCATTTTGTATACTATATTCTGATGACAATCTGTTCAACAAAACAATATCGATTGTGAGCGTGTGCCCGCGCGAATTTAGTAAGTGGACTAAACATAAGCGCATGCGCCATTTATCTCATTTTGGATAAAAAAAATTCGATTTCCCCAGAGTCATGCCACAACCTAACCCGCGAACAGGCATACTCTGGGAACGAGATTGGGTTTTGAATTGTTCAATTCCATACAATATTTACCACGAAACTCGAGTGTGAAACTTGAGTCTTGAATTTTTCGACTACACTTCAATTGCATTGAGTAATCATCCATCATTTAATATAAATATCAACATTGCAATTCAGTCGTTCATCCCATTGAATTAAACACTTTACGAACTCGAATACAATTCATTTTGTATTTATTTAAAGTGATAAGCGACTGTTTTAACATGATTTTCTGTTTCTGATGACTGTTTTAACACGATTTTCTTGTTTATATCGGGTTTTAAGCCCACAAGATATCCACGCAAATAAGGACACCGTGTGGGGTTGTTTTAAAACGAGGAATTTCATTGGTCGCTTATATACGAATGCATTACGTCACTGAAATAGAATTCTCTCTCGGGTTCGCAGACTGTGTTTTGTCTTGGGGGAGCGAAACACGGTCTGCATTACGGAGGCTACCGTTGTTGATAATAAGCAGTCCTCTGTTAAGCCTGTGAATGTAGGGGTCCCACAAGGAAGTGTTCTTGGGCCGCTTTTGTTTATTATCCATGTGAACAATTTACCCAATTGTATCACATCATGTGATATCTCTATGTATGCGAATGATACCATCTATTTTTCTTTCAAGTCTGTCAAGGATATTGAGGACAATCTCTTAATTTTGAATGAGAAGAAATCCAAATTCATGCTAATTGGTAGCCATAACAACTTAAATCCTGCTCTGATGTCTCCATCGGTATTAATGGGACAATGTTGGAATGGGTAGATACATTTAGACCATGGGCCGACCGCCAAAAAGTCATCGAAAAAGTAAATGGGTATGCGCATATCGAGGAACCACCTGTTTTTTTTAAGACACGTACCTGAAGTATAGATGATTAATTTCCAGATGTATGTCAAATCGGAGATGTGCACATTAAGACAAAAATCGACATTTTGTGCACCCCTGTTCACAAACAACGGCGGCCATATTGGAATTTGAAAAATTGCTGAGCTTGCAATAATTTTTGTTTACAATGTGGCTACTTCATGTTAGAACCACTAAAAATTCTACCATAAATCTCACTAATAATCACGGTTAATATAATATTACTACGTAAGCGTGAGACATAAATGCTTTCTTTCACCATTTATAGACGTCCATACACTTAAAGATGTTGTAAAGTCCGTTCTGCGCATCAGTTCTGCTCATAACAGGGGGGGGGGGCAGATATAAACATTGTCCAAATTTTGCATCTTTCTAACTTTTTGGAATAGACCTTTCCCTTCATGAGTGAAATTCTGATCTAGACAAGCCTGGACAAAAATCACAGCTTGAAAGAGCATCACAAAATTAGTAATATTCCGAAGTTTCGTTGCGAAATGTTGTAAAATGCGGATAATATAGCCTTGCGAAGTTTGCCGTTTTTCAATCATTTGGTATTACAAACGCTGGAAATTGATACATCTGATTATCAATTTCCCGTTTGTAATTCAAAATGACTGAAAAACGGCAAACATCGCAAGGCTATATTATCCGCATTTTACAACATTTCGCAACGAAACTTCAGAGTATTACTAATTTAGTGATGCTCTTTCAAGCTGTAATGAAATTTTTGTCCAGACTTGTCTAGATCAAAATTTCACTCAAAAAGGGAAAGGTCTATTGAAACGTCGAGTTTATATTCATTTACAAGCATAGCGAACCAGAAAAGTGTTAGATATTCAGTTAGTATATCGTATTTTACAAATACAGTATAGAAGTTCAAAATGTAAACAAAGCGTTTGTTTACATTACGGACTTTACAGCATCTTTAAAAAAGATCCTAGTCGCGAAAAGCGAAATTATATTACATGGCATATCATAATGCTCGGCCATATGACCTTATATAAAAATCTTACGAAGACTAATGATCAGGTTCATTCCCAGATCTAGGATGAAAGTAATCAGTAACCCCCTCTCCTCCCCCCGCACAATCTATTTAATTATTATTCTTTGTAAAATATATAATCATAGTAAAGCGAGGGACACTAGTGCCACTTAGCGGTACAACGTGTCCTCGTATTTTTATGCAAAAATATGCAGTTTGCTGGCTTGGACCAGCCAGTTCAGCGTGCTTATTGGACAGAACATGCAGTTTACTCGCTGAGCAGCATGCGTAATGCGATATGCGCAAGGACAGAAACTTCAAAGGATCGACGTAAGTGGCACTACTGTCCCTCCCTATACAGCGATATAACTAGCCTAATCAATTAGTTGGCTCTGCTCCACTAGAGTGAAATTATACAGTATGCAAATTATGTTTTCAAAGTCAGAGTTTTACTCGTCGTCCATCATCAATTCATCGTCTTCTTGTTCTGAGCCACTGTCGTCGATTTCGTCTTCAGGTAGATCTTGTTCTTGGTTGTTTGTGCAACCTTGGCATTGACACATCGTTGTGCATGGCAAGTTGTTTTCACTTGAGCATACATAAAAATATTCCTTGAAATTTAAATTTCTTTATCACACAACTTGCAAATGTCAAATTAGGTAGTAAAAAACTATGTCAAATTAGGTAGTAATAAACTCTTATAACTTATAACTACAATTGTAATAAGCTATTACACTATATATATAAGCATTTATTACAATTTAATTTGATATGCTAAGACCTTAGTTGCTAACATTAGTAATATAGAATTAATTAATATTATCTAACCAATTTATTGATTAATCGAATAGATTTCGTTAACAGTGAAGGCTGTGAAGCACAGTTAATGCCTAACAGCTGTAAGAGTCAAAATTTAAGTGCTGTTAAACCAACTAAATTTTATGACAGTGTTTTCAAACAAAATGCCCCCCCCAGCCTAAATTTGATAACAGTGTTTTCAAATAAATATTCCCCCCCTGGCCTAGGATCCAAAAAAGGCTAGAACTATTTCCTGGTCTGTAATTCTCCCTAACTGTTAAATATTGTCAACCAAACTTCAGCTGGATATCTATTTGTGCTTGGCAGGACATCGAGTCTAAAAGCTGAAGACCTGACATCGTTGAGGTAGATAATAGAAGAAATAATGCATAGTCTTTAATCATGCAAACATCCCTACTTTTCCAATTTAGCCTACCTAACACCAGACATTTTTACTATGCCTAATGAACTGGCTTAATAAAACCCTTTAACACGCAATGCGCCCTACTTTAGTATTTACTTTGTCTAACGCCTGACAATTTTACTCCTCGTGGAGCTAGCAGTCACCAAAATTTGAGGTAAAAATACAATGGTTTGACTCACAAGCATTCACCGAGGACTGTAGATAGTCCCAAAAGTGTCTCCCAAGGCCTGGGTGTTTCGACGCCATTTGCTTAAAGTATTTTTGATGCCATTTGCTTGCAAACCCCCACTATTTCCCAGAACCAGGGGTGGCAGTTTCAATTCTATTGGCTAGTGCATAACAAGCCATACAATTTCCAATTTTCTTTGTCAAGGGAAAAGTCAAGCACATTAACTGGTCAATTTGAGAATTACATATTTCAAGTAGTCTGAAAGGGAGATATTTTTTGTCTCTCATCTCAAAAAATAAAATAAATTTTAAATGACACTCCAAGCAAGACCTTGAAGCCTTGCTAACTGACAACTTCTGTAAATAAAACTTCTGTGTGAATGTGATAGACTACTGGAAAATATACTAACTTCTCGACGAAGAACCTTCGCTCAAAACGTCTAAGTTTTCTCCATATTTTACAGGTAGTCTATCACATTCACACAGACATTTTATTGAAGATTCTACCTATAAATCTGGCACCAATCATTCGAGATGTTACTTCTGTAATAAATACTCTAAAACCCTTCTTGCCCTTCTATACAGCACATCACTTGATTATATTATAGCAAAGAAAACTCACATTTGCTCATACAGTAGTTTTACTACAGTCCGAGGTAAAAATTAGCTTATAAATATTAAGTGTATAAGGTTTCAAAATGGACTGCTATACTAACCTGTTTCGCCAGCTTGTTTGTCTCGAATATATTGCCTCTTTTCTTCTCTGCCAAGCATCAGAGTATTGCAAAATCGGTTGTAGCAATCTCGATGGAACTTGCAATAGGCTGGTATGGGTAAAAAACCGTCTGACGAACTGTTGGTTTCGACAAAGTCAACACCTGATGGCAAGTCATCGAATCTCAAGCCCAGATTCGCCGCCGCTTCGATCGCTATTTCACCCTCTTTACATTGTAATTTTCTCCATTTCACCGCGAATGATACAAACTTACACCATGACGTATATGTAAATGAAGTAAGCTTTTGCTTCGCACTGTTAATGACATGCATTGCACAAAAATCTCTTCTCTTCGACGACTGATTTGCATCAGCCGCCATTGTTTACAAGAGACAAAGAAGCTTTCGATAACAACCCGTGATTGGCCAGGTGTTAAATTCCTTGCTTCCTGATTGGCCGCTACTTAAAAACATGGTGTTGATTTCACTTCAAGGCCGACAAAATTATTCGAACAAATAAAGCCGAATTTCTGCTCAATGTGCAAGTCCAGAGATTGACATACCGGCTAATTTTCATGTTTAGTATGCAGGCAACGCGTTATTTAAAAAATTATTTGGTTCCTCGATGGGCGCATGAAAAATTCACATTTCTTGTGGTCGGCCCATGGTCTAATTCAAATATGTTGGAATTACAATCAACCAAAATATGACTTGGAGTGATCATATTGAATCTCTAGTGTCAAGGGCAAACCAGTGTATTCGCCTTTTGCGACATGTGAAGCATCTATTACCACGCCATGATAGGATCACCCTATACAACGCTCTTATATTAACTATTTTGGACTATGCGGATATTGTCTGGGGTGATAAAGATAACATCACGTTAATGAACAAGCTACAAATAGCCAAGACTATACTTGATTTGCCAATGTATGCTTCATCTACTGAGGCCCTAAATACTTTGGAATTCAAGCTGGTCGGTGAAAGAAGATTTCACCATCATTGTCTGTTAGTGCACAAGATAAAGAATGATCAAATTGATTATTAATTTGACTTAGTACTAAATAGTGACGTTCATCAGTACAACACAAAAAGAAAAAACGATTATCACCTTCAGAGAGTAAAAACTAATTGGGGCAAACAAACTTTTAGTCATTAAGTTGCAGACTGTTGCAACATTGGCACTCCCCAAGTTGTGAGGAAAATGGCGAATTTTAGTTACTGTCAACTTCTGTCAACTGCTTTTACAAAAATACCTATATCTCAAGATGAATGTTATAAAAAACCTTAATAAATGATTAATCAAGTTTATTTTAAATGAGCTCCCACACTTAAATATATCATTAGATTTTCGGGTGAGAATTCTTGGTTTGTGCAAATTTAAGTCCCTGGCATTTTGTTTCTTCATGACACCCAACATCTGAAGGGCAATAATTCCATAACCCAATATATTACTAAAATCACTAAACTGGCCACATCCCGCTAAGAATTTCAAACGGGGAAAGACGTTTGATAAACAGGGAAAGACGTTTGATCCAAATTCAAATTCGTTTGATCCAAAGTCCAAATTCAATTTTCGTTCAGTCATGTGATCAAATTGTTTCATCATTTTGGTCACATGACTTCACAATTTTACAAATTCAGTTTGAAATTTTTTGAATTTACGCGCCAAGCGCCATGAAAAACGATGAATGTTTATGGCCGGACATACAGCCAAAGAAAAGCCTTACACAAAGACTTACGGTCTCTTATAGTAGACACAATTTTATTCGAAGGTGGAGATGTTCACGCTTGGCATAAAATGTTGCGAAATCGGCCAAACTGCCGATGATGAACTTCAGCGGTCTTGCCCATGAGCATAGAAAAAATTCAAGATGGCGGCGATTAGGAGTGAATTGCAAAATCTGTTAGGGCGCGAATTTTTCATCTTGTGAACTAGAAAACTGTTGTGGATTATTGCAGAAACAATCAATGGGGACTGGTCAATGTGCGAAACAAACCTTCAATGTGAAAATCACGTTTGAATTAACAGATTGGCAAAGGCAAACTGGTCAATATCTTTCTGTTGACATTTTAAAATACTTCTTGTATAAGATTTAATTAAGTGATATCGAATGGATTTTGCTCAGGCGACGTAAAATAAAAATCCTTGGCCTAGTCGGGACGATAACAGCTAAAACGAAAGTTTACATAAACCTACCGCTCAGTGTCAGGAGGCTTGTCTAATCTCTTAATTTACAAACTATTTCGCAGTCTACTAGTGTTGGCTTAATCAATATATAAGGATGGATAATTTGTAAGCAACTATATTGAATTTTTGAAAGCTTTCACACATTGAAAGGAATTACAGTATCATGTCTGTGCTAACAGTTGAAACAGTTATAAATATTTTTGAATTATGTACTGTACATGTTAATAAAGATAACTTGAAGTATTCTATATTCACTAGCCTGTCATAGTTCTAACTTTCTGGTCATAATTTAGCATACAGTATCTCACACACACTACCAGTAATATGGCTGACATACTAAGGAGTAAGGTGATAAATTTCTCTTTTGGTATATGCAGTCAAAAGTGTTTTTAGTGACTGTATGTAACCCATTATGACTGCCTGTGTATCAGTATGTGACAGGCATTTTACTGGTATGTGTATATTATTTGAACTTCCTGCATTGGCAAAGTACTTTGATTTGTATATTAATAAATTCTATGATATACACCATGTCTTTGTATCCATTGATGTTCATACTTCCGCAACCAGGTTGCTTAACCCATTAAGTGGCAGAGCTTCCCCATTGATGAGTAAAATTGTCTGGCGTTAGACAAGTAAAAAAATATATGTGGCGCACTGGGGCGCATTGCGGTTCAATGGGTTAACACATAAAATAACACACAGAGAAGAAAACCCATATGAATGTGTTGTTTGCATGTGCAGGAAATGTTCACATGTGATCAATTCAAAAAGACTAAAATAATACACACTGGATAAAAAAGTTTATGAATTTGTTATTCCATAGTCAAATGTTTAGTACACTACTGAACATAAAGAACAATACTGGGAACAATATTTGCCAATAGTCCTGGTAAAAATATTTATTAGACCACACAATTTAATTGAGAACACTATTTGCAATCAAATAATAATACATTTTTAATTAGATCAACCCTCACTTGCACTTGGCAATTACTGACAGGGTTAATATTACAGTCAAAGTCAAACTTCATACACATATAGTTCAGTATAGTAGGCACGAATAATCCAAACTCAGTGATACATTATTTCACAATATTCTGCCATTAGTAAATAAACTTTGCCTTGCAAGACCTAGAAGAAAATGGTAAAGGTTTAGAGATTAAAAATCTTGCATCACTGTAACTGATAAACCCAATATTTTTACAGTACGGTAACTCTCTTTAAGGGTAAATTTAAATATCTGACTGAGATAAGACCGAAATAACAAAGTAGCCCAATTACGACAGGTATAGCCTGTAAACACGACTGTCTTTGGGGCACATCACATATCTACTCAGTATTGCATACACAAAACAAGCAAATGACTGATGGTGACACTGGGAAACACTGCGGCTTACTGAGTTAACACAAAAGGTGGACCGACAATCCATGGATGTAATGTGGCTGTATCCTTGGTATATAAAAACATAAGCCTCACATGGGTGGTTCTCCTTGCTACTTTCAGAACTTAAATCATTAAGCGCCAACCCTCTCCACTTGACAAGTAAAATCGTCTGCCGTTAGATGGAGTAAAATAATAAAGTAGGGCACATCAGGGCGCAGTGTGACTCAATGGGTTAACTAGATGCATAGACATATAAGCTTGTCAACCATTAAGCGCCAGCCCTCTCTGTTGACAACTTAACAGAGTTGTTAACTCTGCCATTAGATAGAGACTGACAGAGTAAAATAATAACATAGGGTGCATCAGGGTGCAATGTGACTCAATGCACTAACTAGACACAAAGACATATCAGGTAGTTAATCATTAAGCCATTTAAGCAACAGTGCTCTCCACTTGACAAGTAAAATCATCTGCCGTTAGACAGAGTAAAATAATAAAGTAGGGCGCATCAGGGCGCAATGCGACTCAATAGGTTAACTAGACACATAGGCATATAAGTTAGTTAACTATTAAGTGCCAGCGCTCTCCGTTGACAAGTTAACTTGTCTGCTGTTAGATAGAGAGTGACAGAGTAAAATAATAACATAGGGTGCAATGTGACTCAATGCACTAACTAGACACATAGACATATAGGCTAGTTAACCAATTAAGCTGCGCCAGCACTCTCCCCTTGACAAGTAAAATCGTCTGGCGTTAGACAAAGTAAAATAATAAAGTAGGGCCCATCAGGGCGCAATGCGACTCAATGAGTTCATAGATTGCTGAAACTATAAATCAAGTCTGTGCACAAATACAACACCTAGGCCATGCTGCCAGCTGTGCCTGGGGTTTACCTGAATTTGCAAGCAATTATAGGTTTGTTTCAATATTTAAAAGATTTTTCTAACTTCAAAGTTAAGAAAACTTCACATTTATAAAGTAATTACAGAGTTTACATTGTCAGAATTGCATGCTATGTGCTGAAATGTAACACTGAGCCAGTTCCCTCAAAGATTACTTACAAATCCCTCAAAACTTAGAATTTACCTATGGAACATGGCATATTGTCTAGTCAATCTGCTTATATCTGTGTCATAACTGTCAATGTGGAAATATAATATACAACACATTATTGTTCGTAATTTTAAACATATTTCGCTTGTTTTAAACCCTCCGAATTCGAAAATATAGGGTTAAAGGATTTGTAGCTATAGGCCGCTATAGGTATTATTATAGCTCTTGAGTGCTCAAGAATGTATACAATATACAAGTCAACAACACACGCCTGCTTTTAAAATATATCAATATATTATCCCTTGTTTCGTACAAATAATACAATAAACAAATGCCAAACATACCTTTTCGTCTAATCTCCTCAATTTCTGTTTTTTGGCCGATAATTCCATCTTTCGAAAGACCGCAACCTCAGACGCTAAACGTTATATTATTAGCGTTGACATCGAAACGCTGTATTTGGTAGCCTTATTCAAATGCATTTTTACTGCAATCAAAGACGAAATCGAATAAAGTGCTTCGGTAGAAATTTAGATAAAGGCCATAAATTTAGTCCTACCAAATATTATAAAAGGATGGCCTTAAAAACAAAAGTTATTCAAAGCCGAAATTCATCAATTTTAACATTTTGGCTTCGATGCGCCATTGTTTGCGAAATTGCTCTCAAAGAATGCTCGAAAGTGGCAAAACAATAAAGGTAGTCATGGCAACTTTGGTACCATTCTGATCCCCTAATAACACGCTATTCATCCCCCAAGTACATATTTGTCTAAGGATACCCTTCATGTCACCGCAGCTATCTTAAAATAGCGCACATTTCGAAAATTAATTTCGTCTCCAGACTCCAAAAAAATTCGCGCGCTATCCGCAAAAATTCGAACATTTATTGTGGCCGAATTTGAAACATTTTATGCCAAGCGTGGTTACGACGGGATATTATACAGGGAGCTTTCGAGCGATTGAACGTAGATTTAAAGTTACAGCTGGCATTCCCAAGCGAGTTTGGAATAACTTTTGCGAAATGGGAAGATTAGAGTATTATCGTTCAGTGCGTGGTTTAAAATCGCTGCTTGAGCAACCCGAGCTAGAATTTGTTAGAATTTTGAAGGAAAATAGGCCGTCCATGCCATACAAAGAAATAAAAGAAAACGTAGAACATTTCACCGCATGTAACCCCTCTATTTCAGCTATAGGAAGAGCCGTTCGCACTCGATTATCTACCGGTATAATGACGTGGAAAAGGATGATTCGACCTTCGGCAGAAAAGTTTACACCCGAAAACATCGAATATTGTCAGATGTACATTAATTTCATGAACATTTTAGACCCGCACAGAATCAAATTTTTTGATGAGACAGGAGTCAAAGTGGACTGCGCAAACCGGCATTATGGCCACTCTGTCAAAGGAACACATTGTATTGAAGTAATGCAAAATGCCCAAACACAAAATGTGACTGTAAATGTACTTTGTGGAACATCAGGTGTGATGTACGCAAATACTATCAACGGTGCTTCCAACACCGTAGAATTTCTAAACTTTTTTTACAAAGCTAGTCAGACAACCCAGCCTAACGGAAATCCAGTTCTGGAGTATGGCGACTATATTGTTATGGACAAAGCGGCTATTCACAGGTTCGAAGGTGGCAGAGTTTTGGCAGAATGGCTGGATAGTTTTGGGGTAACAATGATTTATCTCCCTGTCTATTCCCCAGAATTGAATCCTGTTGAGTTATTATTTAATAAATTCAAAACAGTTTTGCATCGCTACAAATTTTGTAACATTCTTCAATTCAATATCCATGTTGGTGTGTACAGGGCTCTTCAAGAAATAACTGTTAGTGACCTTCGAGGATTTTATAATCATGTGCAATATCTACAGAGAGTGTAAACCGAGTAAACTACTTCATTTTCCCCGGTTTTTAATGTAAATTTGTAACTACGAGACAACAGCAGTAATAGCAAGTATCGTTACCACTTGTCTCTAAACAATCCTTACAAAATATTAATGTAAAATATTATATTATATAGTGTAAAATATCAAAATGTTATATTTGCTGTTGTATTTATATTATATATTCTTATATCACGGGTGTTTTTGTGCTTTATAACATACTTCGTTTTGTTTTTATTTTACAGTAATTGCAAAAACTGACTATATATGTTATACTATTATACTATATGACTATTATATACAGACTCATTCTGTATAATAATATAACATTATATAGTAATATTCTGACGTTGAGTTATTTATAGCTGCACAAATGTAGCACACACCCTATATTTAATATTTATTACAAGTAAACAAATATAATGCGCATCGTGGCTATTGAAAACACATTAACTGAAGCTATTATACTATATTAAAATAGAAACTCAACAGTCTAAACTTACTCAGGTAACCAAACAGTCAATATGTACTGATAAAAAAACAACAACAATAACAATTAATATCCAGCTGGATGAAGTGTGGCAATCAGATCCCTGTATCTGTAATTGCTTTTGTGAGCACATCAAGTGGGTTTTCGTCGGCTTGAACAGGTATTGTCAACGCATTGGCACATGCAGTAGAGTCGTTGTGGCAAGACATGTGTTCAACATTTATATTGTGGGTATTCAACACAGTAGGTTGCAGTTCTCGACTAAAAGTTTGTGCTGGCGGTATGTTTGGAATATAATTGTGATACATTTGAGCTTCCGTAGCCGTAGGCATAAATCCGTCAGGGATTGCCGAATTTACATGCGGATTAAAAAACATGGGAAAAGCTATTGGTGTACCTGCACTGTTTTGTCCGTAACCAAGGTGCTCAAGCTGAGGATACAAACTCGAAGATGGCTGTACCATAACAGGCGGCTTATTGACTGGCATTGGAAAATACTGGGAATCGTGACTTAAATTCTTCTTCATCGCTTCCCTCTCGCTTTCACGAATCGCCAAGTTCGTTTGATACATCTCTTCTTCTGTTGTTGATGGAATCGGTATAGACGCATTCATAGCACGCGACAAGGTAGCAAATTTCTCTTCGTGACAATATATCGGCCCACTACTAGGAAATACAACCCCCCTTTTTTTCCCATAGCTGTTTCACTTGTTGATTAGTCTTGTTTGTTTTTGAATTAACGGCAATTTGCTGCTCTTGGGTATCATGCTGAACAATTATTTCTTGTGAATTCTTCTTTGAACCTGGTACTTTTCCGTCGCACATTTTTTCGATCTTTTTTGAGTCGGTATTCAACTGCATCCAGTTTATTATTTCGCGACCATTCAAACTTTTAGAGATATATTTTTGTTTGTTGCTGTTAATCAAATCAGAGAGTGTATCAACTGAGAAAATGTTCTTTTCGAGCTCTTAACAGTTGCTTGTATATTTGATAGTTCATCATTTTGTTTTTTTAGTGTAGTATTGAAGAATTTTAACTCTGATTGTAATTCTTTGATCTCTTTCTTCTCCTCTGGATGCCTTTTCAAGTCTCGAAAGATTGTCTTGGCAAAGATTGATGTGACTCCACTGGCACTGCCGTTCCTGACCCTGGAGACTCAAATGTAAATGCTTGCAATGTTAATTGCAAATGTAAATGCTTGCAACGAAACGTACAGTCACAGAATAGATGGTACAGTGGGTGAGTGGCGGGTAATTGAGGTATCTTAAAATAGAATTTGTAAAATTATGAAGTCATGTGACCAAAATGATGAAACAATTTGATCACATGACTCAACGAAAATTGAATTTGGAATTATCAAACGTCTTTATCCGTTTATCAAACGTCTTTCCCCGTTTGAAATTCTTAGCGGGATGTGGCCAGTTTAGTGATTTTAGTAATAAATAGCCAAATATTTTTTGATTCCTGGATTGGTACACATTTATATTCAAATTAGTTTTCATCTTGTAGGGTATAAATTACAAAATAATCAAACGCTATAAAAATTTGCTTGGGCATAGCTCAGGCACACTCAGGACATCTAGTTTACAATGGAGAACTTGAACTTCAGAACCTGTTGTTCAAGTCCAAAAACTCTGTAACCCAAAAATGCAATGTTTGTACCTCTTTTGAAGTTTTTAAATACCTCAAATATGTTTGGAAAAACACGAAGTACAAAAATTACTAATTAAAATATAAACAAAGGATGAAAAAGGTGAGAAAAATTTAGAATATTTGAGGTGTTTTTAATTCAGACTTTGACAGCCGGCATTTTCAAACGCAGCGTGCGGTGACAAAACAAAAGACTTTTTATTTCGATATTAAGAGCACTGAAAGTCATCAAAAAGAGATAAACACTTTTGAATATTCATCAGGTACGAATTTTAACTGAAATTCCTTTTGTTTCTGTTGAGAAAACAACGGATTTGTGGCTAAAACGTTGTGCGTGCCAATGTAGGTTGCTGTAAAATGTCAGACAGGCGGTTTCTTTTGAAATCTGACTCTAGTTTGAAATAAGTCCTTTTCAAGGACCAATTGTATAAAAATATACTATGTATGCTCAAATACAATGAATAATCTAATATTTAGGCATTTTAGAATGTTATAAAAGAGTGAAATAAAGTATTTCATATTTGGTTGTTTGTCAGATGAGAGTAAACACATTGGTGACACTTTGTTGCGCATGCAGTTTTCAAAAGATAAACTGCTAAAAATATAGCTTTTATTTCACCAAATAGCAAAGTATCTTGCAGATATTATTAAAAGAGCTCAAGCGAAGTAATTCCATGATAAATAAGTGAACAATGAGACCAAAAAAGCGACTAAATTACAATTTTGGAAAGTACATTAATTTAATGGCTTCCCGCAAAAGAAGCCATTTCAGAGAAGAACGGCATTTTGTAAACCACTGTCCTTACCTATTTTAGAACTTTTCCTTCAGGTAATCGATGAGTACTTCTTAGAAATGAGCGTGCATTAATTTTATGATGTGCTTTATTGATTTAAAAATTTTATGGGGATATATGAAGCAATAAAGAGTATTTTGGAAGCTTTTCAAATCCCTGTCATGAAGGTTCAGAATTTGCACGCGCCAAGCATAGGCAGCCCAAAACGGCGTGTAGAATGCACCAATAATGCTTCCAAATGTCAATTTGCATTAAGCTCGCCCCATTCCTTTGTCATTTGTCGCGCGCCGCAAGCACTCAATTTGAAAAGCAGTGTTGATATATATAGATTATACCTAAGGTTGGCAACTATATCTCAACTGACGAATATACGACTTCGGCAAAACGCAAAATACTTCGCACACGTAAATAAAACATGATAAAAAATTATACCATATTGAACTCTGATATTTTTTCTACATACCCGCATATAAATTTTGTTTTCAAGACTGCAAGAAAGTTGAAAAATTTGCACAAACGTTTCATGCTCTGATGAAAATTTTGTTGTACCTATGCGGGATGCTAGAGGTTATTTCATTCGTCATATTTTCAAAAAAAATATGTGATTCAATTGGTTGAAAAAATAAACAGTTTGTGACGTATTTATAGTAAAAATTTGGTTTCAGGGGGGTTGAACTACAACAGGTAGTGATGGGCGATACCAGGATTTTTAATTCGATACCGATACCGATACTTTTAAGATCGGTATCGGCCGATACCGATACCTATTTCGATACCAAAATAAACACAAAATTTCAATTTTCGATACCGGAAGTGAGTACTGAAATTTCTAGTATCGGCTATTTTCGATACCTGCCGGTCAGCGGAAAAACATTTTACTTTACTGTGTGTAACCTAAATAAAGCTATAAGTAAACCAAAAGCTCGAAACGTAATAAATGTTTTCTATATATGACTTGGCGCACCACATTTGGAATATTAAGAGCTATTTTAGTGGTTCATTATGTCTTATTCAACCAAGAAGTGAAATAAAACAAGTCGTTTAAAAAAAGGGTGCAAGTATCGAACGATACCACGTCAGTAATCGATACCGATACCGCTGTTTGTGGTATCGCTGGTATCGAATACCGAGTACTCGGTATCGCCCATCACTAACAACAGGAAGACTGCTAAAATACAAGAGCGATTTTTTTTCGAAGATGAAATGGTGGATTTTAAAAACTTTTTACATCCATCCATAACTTTTATCTACAGCAAAACAACCAGGTAACTTTTGGCTACATGTACACGAAATTTCATGAAATTCTGAGCAATAATGGCGAAGAAAATGTGCTATAAAAAAGACGGCGATATGTAATGCGAGCACGCTTCGTTGTGAAGCTCAGAAAAGTTATAGGTATGAACTTATTTTATAGCGTTTTTAATACTGTAACTCAGAACAATAGGTTGGATCATTTATTTTTCCTAGTAATCAAGTGTTCAGTATTAAATAGTGGATCTCTACAGTAGTTATAATTTTAAATAGCTATATAGCAAGAATATTTCGAAGTGAATTCTGTAAAACTGTTTTTATATCACTATAAAACTGTTTTTATATGAAAACAAATTTGCATTTTGGCCTGTTTTATTTATCATCAGTGTAAAGACAGTACGTATTCACAGTAATAGATACAGTCACTAGTTTTTGTTAACTAACGTGTACTTTAAAGTTTAAACTAGGGAGATGTTTAGGCATTTATTATAGAATACATATTAAACTTTCAGAACTTTGATACAAGGTTGTTTATATATAAATGCACAATTCCATGCTGGGGTATAAAATAATGCTAGCACTCTCTTACAAATTGCAGCCTATTTTGTGAACACATTCACTCAGTATTAAACGGAAAATTTTATCCAACTTATTGAACCAAGTTAAATTAAAACGCTATAACTAAATTCACTGCCTATATACACTTAGCAAGGTTCACAATGAAGCGTGTTCGCATATCGCCGCCTTTTTTATAGCACATTTTCTTCGCCATTATTGCTCAGAATTTCATGAAATTTCGTGTACATGTAGCCAAAAGTTACCTGGTTGTTTTGCTGTAGATAAAAGTTATGGATGGATGTAAAAAGTTTTTAAAATCCACCATTTCATCTTCGAAAAAAAATCGCTCTTGTATTTTAGCAGTCTTCCTGTTGTAGTTCAACCCCCCTGAAACCAAATTTTTACTATAAATACGTCACGAACTGTTTATTTTTTCAACCAATTGAATCACATAATTTTTTTAAAAATATGACGAATGAAATAACCTCTGGCATCCCGCATAGTCACATCAAAATTTTCATCAGACCATGAAACGTTTGTGCAAATTTTTCATCTTTCTTGCAGTCTTGAAAACAAAATTTATATGCGGGCATGTAGAAAAAATATCAGAGTTCAATGTGGTATAATTTTTTATCATGTTTTATTTACGTATACGAAGTATTTTGTGTTTTGCCGAAGTGGTATATTCGTCAGTTGAGATATAGTTGCCAACCTTAGGTATAATCTATATATATCAACACTGCTTTTCAAATTGAGTGCTTGCGGCGCGCGACAAATGACAAAGGAATGGGGCGAGCTTAATGCAAATTGACATTTGGAAGCATTATTGGTGCATTCTACACGCCGTTTTGGGCTGCCTATGGCGCCAAGTAACGAATGACATAATTCAATACACTGATTTTAAACCACATTATCTCTGAAATGAGAGCTTGTGTTTCGAGACAAAGTTTATAGAAACAAATATAGTATTCATTGTAGAATATTCTACTTAGTTTTAATGCGGTTTTACTCGAAATTTTTCTTGCCAAAAATGTATATACACACATGACAAGTTGAACCCTACTGTCTTCTGAAACTACTTTGGCTAAAATAACAACTTGAGCAAGAAGACCAACAGTAGGGTCACAAAAACAGTCGAAATCATGCCATAAAATGCACGAAAAAGTCTTGTAAAAACTTAGTTTTAAACTAGATTGAACTTACTTTAATGCTATATCGAATTTCATGAAAACATGCCAGGTATTTTCATTAAAAAACACGCTCAAAAAAATCGTAACTACTCACTTGGATTTAGTGTTAATGTTTTTTGCGATTTCCCACTTCACTTTTCCGTTAGATTGAAAGAAATGGCTGTTTTTCTGGCTGAAAATCGCACAACTTGATTTGGACAAGAACTTGACTTGAAACATATGCACACTCCCTTATGTTTTACAACATATTTTATATGTAAAACTCTTTAAAAACCTCTTCTTTTTCATCCTTAAAACTTGCTGCAAATTCCTATCTTGTGACACTTTGCGGTTGTCACAGGTTTTGTAAAAAAATAGAGTTTTAAAATCGAAAATCTTCGCAAACTTTTGATCAATTTTCTTGCATGATGTATCGTTTGAAAGCCTGAATTTTGCACTTTATACTTGTGACCACAACCCGATAAATTGTCTTATACCTTGAGACCACAACCCGATAAATACGCTAGACAATCGTGCCCGGAAGTTGACGTGATGCCCAGGGTGCATGAGGGCGCAATGAGACTTACCCCGTTGCCAATTCCAGGGCGCATGGGGGCGCAATGAGACTTAATGAGTTAATGACTTTAACACTCTACCATCTGATGTTAAGGATACTAACTTTTTACACGCTGGGCACAAAAGGCTGTAAAAATGCTGGGTTTAGCTTGTTGCCGTTACTCTCAGCCAGTGGTTTCTCCTATGGCGATTCTGTAAACTTCATGTAATTTTTCACGTAATAATTCAATATGGCGGAAATATTTGGAGTGGAAGAAGCTGTTGAAGTGTATTTTTAGGGCAGATGAGTCAGGCGAGGAACAAGAAAGTGATGCAGACATCGGATTCCGGGAATAAATAAGCAAATCAGAACCAAACGGAATTGGAATAGAAAAAATTCTTCAAACTACCTATATAAACGCGGCTTGTGTACTTAAACACAAGTCCCAACTGTGGCTGGCCGCTATCCACAGACTGCTCGCTGGGATAAGAAGTGTGTGAGACATCCATATTATGCAGAATTTTATTGTGACATTCCAGTTGACCTTTTTACTGCACAGACTCACTCCATCAAGGTTTCAAACGATCCAAAATTAGGGGAACCTATGTGCTATATTAAAGGAAACAGCAAGAAGATGTGGCCTTTTATTTGAAAAGAACACTCGGGGGAGCACGGAAAAATCACAAAACAAAGGTTTTAGTCTCCCAAGAAAAAGATTTTGGACTTATTTATAGTTAAAGAAAGGGCAGTTGACAATATGTTTTAATTATGGTGAATGGAACTCCTTTGGATTTCCCCAACGTAACTGCAATTTAAATATTTAAATTTTGTACTTTAGCTAACTGATATTTATATTTAGCTAGCGAAGTCACTATATGGCATCGTTAAAGTTTTTTTTTCTTTGTTGTAATCAAATAATATCACAATTAAAACAAAAAATATAAAAGCAGGGGTTGCAGAATATGGACTGGAGCTGTTTAAAAATTAAAATATCTAAAATGCCATTACAATTCATATTTCATATTCACATTGATATTGAAAGTAGCTGGCAGAATTTGCCAGTTGCCAGCTTCTAATAATCAGTGGCGTAGCCAGACCTTTATTTTTGGGGGGGCGAAGCGAACGCCGAATGCACGAGACCATCTAGGGGGGTCCGGGTGCATGCACCCCTGGGAAAATTTTGAAATCTAGAGTCCCTGAAATGCGATTTCAAGCATTTTGGGGGTGAAATCATGCAGAATTCCGAAGATTATAAAGTACATTGAAGACATAAATTTCCCCAGACATTTCTAATTTTCTACTCGGAATTAAATAAATTGGAAAAGTCACCTTGAAAAACAGGAGGAGCCGGTCAGCGTCACCATATTTTCTCTCTGTGATGCTGGGGGAAGAAAGTCCCAATGTGATTTTGATCAGAAATGTTGCATTTAAATCATTCTAGGTTCTATGAGACAGCATTTCCGCATTCTCAAAATTGCGTTGCTTTTTTATACGATACAGAACAAGTCTGAGAAGAATATTCATGCTATGATAATGCATACATGTAAATCTAAACTAAATCTATTCTTCTTGGAACCATATCTACAACTGCTTTAACAAGATTTTACAACTGATCAAGTTCCTCGTCGTTTTCCTCAGTCGAGACGTACTTAATCAGTTTCAGCTTCGAGGATGTAACGCGTACCCTCCCCCCCCCAATTTCTCTATGGATTTGGCCTTTTTCAGAGAATTTTTTTTTGCGATTGGGGGGGCGACCGCCCCCCCTTGGCTACGCCACTGCTAATAATACCCCTGGATCTGCCGGTACAGCTGTGGCAAAACTTTCTATGACAACAAGTTGTGCTAACCAACTTTTTACCATGGGTAGCTTCTCCACTGACACCCTCTCTCATCTGCCAAAGAGGCTAGATTTGGCATTAAGAATCCTCAACCGTGTGGGTCTAGCGAATTGTTATTCAGTTGTCACTCAGTGAATCACTGCTCAGTACTTTGTTCCCTATATTTTTTTGCTCTGGACTACTTCACAGATTATACAGGTACAATTAAAAAATATATGATCAATTTATTTCAAGTACCTATAAATCTATAATAAATATAATAAATATAATACATTAAAAATAATGCATTGTAATATGTTAAAATATTAAAAGAGATATAAAAATATCTTTGAATAAAATGCAGTGGTGTGCAGGCCGAGGAAACTCTAAGATGCTATCATAATAAGGGAAAAAAGCATTTGCTTTCCATCAATATCACTTTTCAAATTACAACAACAAATCCTTTCCAGAAACCCAAAATCCTTATTATTTATCAAAAGTCATAGATAAACATGAAATACTGAAACATGCCGTATTTCAACAATGTAAAGGCTTGTGCCAGCATGAGGAATGTATGAGGTGCAAATTTTAGCATACACGCACTCACTGCTCGAGGTAAAATGTGTAACTTAAAAGATACAAAGCACAATGCAAATGTTGTAGAATTTCTGGTGCTGAACATAATTTTCGACCCAAGATATATCATATTTAACCCCCAACATGAATATCTCTAATACTTTATACATGTCTTGCAACCAACAACATCTTGCAACCAACAACATGCAACCAACAACATGCAACCTGCATGGCCTATTTTTTTAAAAAACCCTTAACCTTATCCATGATTTTTTTTCTCAATTTATGGTTACATACATTTTCTCAATATATGGCAGACTGAACCTGTTTTTTGCACCCACAATAGCAAAATTTAGAATCTTCAGTGGCACGCTTAGGGATATACATATAACGCGAACAGCATTCGGATGCTGGTTTTTCAAAATTGTAGCCCTTTTTGCTCAACCACACAAGCAAAACATAATCATGTTGAAAAATTTGCTCCCACCTGGCCTTAAAATTGGTGTTTTTGCTGTATCTTGAGATGGATGTATGTTTTGACTCCCTCCCCTCCATCGAATTAAGACCAAGTCCTTTAGCATACTTCACTTTCATATCTCTAGCATGCTCAGGAACAATGTTTCCCAATGTCCATGCAGTAGGGGGGTGGTGGTCAAAATACAGATAATGTAGGACAAAATATGTTCGACAGTTTTTCTCCAAATCATCTAACTGTGAATCGGTTACATCGATTCGATTGAGTACAGAAACACAATCCCGCAGGGTTAAACACAAGTAAGCAAGTACATGAAATGTAAACAATGCCTTAGTTTTATCTTTCAAAAATGGTTCCATAGCAGCAATTAGGAACATGAAGTTCTGCAAAAAGCACCGAGAAACTTTTCCGGTGAATCTATAATCAAACTTGCTATCTCGGTTTTCATTGAACCACCTAATAATTTTGTTTGCAAGTCTTCTAAGATTGCATTTAGTTCCTGGAGTGGGAACCTGCAAAAATGATTTCATTGCACTGGGTAATTGAGAAATCAGTAATACCTCTTGTAGAAGTAGCCTGTGGGCTAGTGCACATGCATTATTTTTTAGGTGCAAAGGATCAATATGGATCCTATCAACCATTGGGCCTAGGAGTGGTTTAAATTCTTGCCTACTTCTTTTGCCGGCTATGAAATTAGTTACTTTGGATCGCTTAGTACTTTCTGCTATATTTTGCTTTGCGACAGTCTGCTTGAACGTTTCAACACTTTTGGCTACTTGTACCCTTTCCAAATAATTCCACGGATGCCACTTTTTGTCTTTTTCCTTGCCAAACTGGCCGTTTAAATTAGTGGCATCTTTGCTAAAAACATTGGCAAATGAGCAAAAATATGTGGCACTATCAGTCAACTCACCGCACAAAAATGCAACCATCTTCAAATCGTTAGGGAATTCCGAGATATGAAATTTGATATCAACTGTACATGTCTGGCCTTCTAATGTAATATATGTGCATTTAAAGGTTTGCTGTTCAATGTGTTGTACATCAGACACTAGCATCTTAATATAACGTTGAACTGGAATGCAATTTTCTGAACAATTAGCACCAAATAACAAAAAGTTTTCATTGCTACTCAAAATTCCTCGGCCAATGTTCAAAAATCCAACCAACCACGCACATGCAGTATCATGTTTCCCAAAAGGCACCCCATCACCACCCAGGGAAACAAAAAACTTCTGTTCTTCTAGCCTGTTGCGGTATTTGAAAAAACCTGAAAACCGTTACCAGAAAAAAAATACCGATAATACCGATATATCGGTATTTTTTCGCGATTGTATTTTGCTTAATTTTATGCAAAATTTGCTTTATTTAATGCAAAATTTTCTGTTTTCAAATGATGCCAAACAGCCACGATATAATAGCTTTGACTCATCGGGTGCGTGATATTTTCAATGAAGTGTGAGGCCAGTGATCAGTAGCCTGTGAAATGTCCGCTTTAGAAATTGAAAATTACCACACTGGATAAACCATGTGTGATATTTTTGACCGGGAAATTTGTTTCAAAACATGTTATTCAACTGCGAATTTGAAACAAAGATTGTCCTATCTCACCAGATAAACAATGTCCAATGAGGTTAGTTTTTTATTTTTCTACTGAAAACTTTTTGTAATCCACCGTTGTTTACCCTACGTTCTAAAAGTTCACTTTTTGACAAGCGAAATAACATATTATGCACCTTGCAACGCTAACGTAAAAACAAACGCGCTTGTCGTTTCTAACCTTAATATACAGATTTTAGCACATTGATCGTCTTTGTCCTTCTGAAATAACTCCAATCAGTGCTTGAAAAAGCTTTAATATGACGTTTAAATATACAAACGTAAACGTGATATCAATAATACCGAAAAATATTGATATTCCGATATATCGAAAATTTCAATATCAAATAATCGGTATTTATAAAAAACCCATAATTATCAGTATATCGATGTACCGCAACGGCCTATGTTCTTCCTCGAACCACACAAGTGTGTGACCACTACAACTGCTTAAATAAAATTCTGCCAACTTTATCAACAATTCTGCCAAATTCCTATAACAACCATGTACCTTGTATTCCTCATCAAGACCTTCACAAAGTGTTTCATATACACTATACATAGATCCTACTGGTATAGACTTGATAAAAGGCATTAATTTGTTATATGGCACAAGCCTAGGGATGGGACAATTATTGATGGATAGCCGAACATGTTTTTTACCCTTACTTTGCATAGCAATCTTGTAGCTGGAATCTTTGTATATTTTTCTATACTTTTTTTTTCCAGCTACACCACTGCTATAATATACTGAAACGCTGCGAATCATGTTTTCAGTGGAAGACTCAAATTCTGCTAACTTAGGCTTGTAAATACTAGGCATAACTGATTGATTAAACTTTTGATTAACCGACATTTCATCTACTAAAATACTATGACTACACTTAACCAATGCTGTGTCCACAATCCCTATTGCTCCTGGTACTTCTGTTTCTTCACTTCCACCAAGAATTTTTTGAGCTGCAGCAAATGTTTCCTTTCTTCTCTGTCTCAGTACAGATGAACTAGATGAGAATTTCTTATTTTGAAACCTTGTAGGATGTTTCTTTCTACTCTCCACTGCTCTGTCTATATAAGTAATAAAAATAAGCTGTATATTCAATACACAGCTTATCATCTGCAGAAAACCTGTAAATGTAAATGCTCTGTGATTATAGCTATAAAATTATATATTACGACTGCTCATGTTGCATATTATAAAACTTTAAAACTATACAATAAGTAAACAAGAATATACTAATGAAGTCCATACCTTGGCATCCATGCGTCTCTTTCGTTCTTGTAAACCTCGTAATAGTTTATCTTTCCTCTGTAGCTCCATTTCTAACTGAGAAACTTCTGTTTGAGCGTCTCTAAGGTTTCTCTTTGTCATGAAACCCGCATTGCGCACTTCTTTGCACTTTTTCATATATTCCCCAACTTTAAAATGTGGTATCGCGTGAGTAGTTCATATGCCAAGTAAAAGTCTCTCAAATCACACACGTTGGCATTCAAATATCAATAAACAAAAAAGAAGGCGACAAAATATTGGTATTGAACCATCTCTCCACAAAGATTTGATGCAAATCAATTAACTATGTAAAAAATAAAACAAGGCAGAAAATGCCATTTATATCAGGCACGCATTATTGCCTATATTTTGTAGATTTTCGTCGATCAAAAGCAACGGCACTCATCTGAGCAATGCCGCCATGCTGGATATCAAAATGAACGTTGAGAAAGACGCTTTACGGCGGTACACACCGAAACATAAACGAATCAAACTGAACGTCTTACGAACGGCCAAAACATTGCCATTGAGCATGATCGTTATTTCGTACCTATTCTCCCAAAAACATGGTGCGGCCAAGATGGCGGAACATCATGAAAATGCCAGGCATTTTTGGCGCCATTCGTGCCCAGTGTGTTAAATATTTTTAATATTTAATTATAATATTTTAAGTAGCTACCTAAGTAGCTACGTTGACTTTTGAAATGTAGAACACTAATTTTTAGCATATTTTATTGGTAAATTTTTGCTATTTTATATTGTATGATATCTATTTATATATTGTATTGTTAATGTGTTTTGAGCAGGGCCTCATTGAAAAACTCTTCAGAGATATGGGCACCCTGATTAAATATCATCATCATAGCTTGCTGTTTTCGCTGTTGATTGCATGTTTGCCGAGAAAATGAGCTAGACAGGCAAGGTAGGGGAGATTATTTCATTTTAGTACAGATACATGTATGTCAGTCATGCTTTAAATGTTTTCATAGTTTTAAATCTTTTTTCATTTTCCCAGTTTATGCCGTTTTGCCGATTCGTACAGACATAAATTTGCCGAATGGTTGCATTTTTTGGGTGACACACTTATTTAAGAAGTAGTGATAGAAAAGATCAAAATTTCTACCATGTAGTGTAATACAAATCATGGACAGGGGGGTTGGGGGTATGTGCAAGTTTTTTTTTGGGGGGAAAGGTGGGTGACAGGATGCGTAGAGTCACTGATCAAGCTGCAGCAGCAGGGGTCTGGGGGCACGGTTGCCGGTACCTGGACATTTTGCCGAAAGACATTTTGCCGAAAGACACTTTGCCGAAAGACATTTTGCAGAACGGACATTTTGCCGACGGTCATTTTGCCGAACGGACGTTTTGCCGAACGGACATTTTTCCGAACAGACATTTTGCCGAACGGACAGTTTGCCAAAAGGACAACTTGCCGAAAATAAAGATGTTATTTCGTCAAAATGTTTGGGACTGTGACTCAATTCTCAACTGCCTAATTCTCAACCATTGTGTAAAATAACCATTATATGGTCATTAGCAGTGCATAATGGTCATTAGCAGTGTATAATGGTCGTTAGCAGTGCATAACCATATTGACTATTGGTAGTTGTTTGTGCAGCGGATGACTCATTTGTTAGGAACGTGTTTTGACGTCAGATCGTAAACAAACAAGCGTATATAAAGACGACGTAAGCGAATTTCATCTCGAGAATCATTGAATACATTCACAGTTCTCGGGGAAATCGCATCCATGAATCATGTTGAATGATGTTATTCTTTATATCGCGAATTTTCGGTAAACTTGTCAAAAACTTGAAAGAATATAAAACGAAACTATTCGTCACTATCAAAGTTTCTGTCAACAAAATCAACAATTAATGACTTTAATCACAGAAACTTTGACCGTGTAAGCGAACATTTAAAGTTCAGAAGATATCTCTATTTTCGGCAAAATGTCCGTTCGTCAAAATGTCGATTCGGCAAAATGTCTGTTTGGCAAAACGTCCGTCGGCAAAATGTCCGTTCGGCAAAATGTCTTTCGGCAAAGTGTCTTTCGGCAAAATGTCCGGCCACCACGGTTGCCCCCCCCCACCGAAAATATGTCTATGATTCAAACAATAACAATAACTGTTATGACAAGCTGTATATTTCAGCCGTGTGCATGCACACGTGGGTTAATAGCATGTGTAATGTTCAGATGCAATGTTCATGGTTATGACAGAGTCACAAATGCATGCTCTGCAATGTGTGAATAATATGACCTTTAATTTTCATCTGAGCTCTTTTTTAAAGCTCATCTGCACTCCAATCAAATCACCTTGGGTCCTTGTTATTACAAATTGCTTGTTGATATCATTTCTACACTGCTTTATCATGTAACTTCATGGTAACCCACATTCAATGACCGATGATGCATGGTATGCAGCATCACCAATGCAAAATGTAACCATAATATAAAGGACTTCTTTTATTCTTAATTTCTCTGCATCTTCCAAGTCTTTGTACTTGGATAATTTTGGAGAAGTTTTACTCTCAGGACTTATATCCATCTGAATTTTCTGACCATTGTTGTCTTCTACTGAAAGATATTTTGAAGTTCACCATAGGACTCTAGGAACCACAGTGCTCTCTCAGCTTTGGTTTTCAATTCTTTCACTTTTCTTTGTTGTTGTCTTGGACCGACATTAGTATTAGTGTTACATTAGTTCATGTGTTACCTCCATTCGCAAGCTCACATGTGCAGTTCACATGTGCTCTTCCATGTTTCTCACTTGCTCATTTAAATTAGAATTATCCTCTCGCAAAACAAGGTGATTTCAGCTTCACAGTTTTTCATCTGGTTGTCACAGTAATGTCTTTTTTCTTTTCCCATCACTAATTCCAAATAAAGCTCAGAACATTTTTCTTCCAGGTCATATGCAGCTCTTGGGATTCAGTAGCTCTATATTCTTGCTCTTCATTTTCTTGCTTTGGACTTGGTTCTGTCTCTGGTTTTGTAATCTCGCTTCGGCCTACTTTAACATGATGTACTTTCATCAAGAGCTTTTGTCTTTTTCTTCCAATTGTACCACAGCATTCACAAACAGCCATACCAGCTATGTCATTGATACATTTGTCCAGCGATGGAGAGCTGACCAAACAAAAAGGAAGCACTTCAGTGGATTCAATTAAATTTGTATAAGAATAGTGGTGTGTTTTGCATTTTAAATTGTGCCAGTAAATAAGAATCTCTTGTGAAATTTTTAGTACTAAGAATGGGTTTATCACATAATAAACCCTTTCCATAGTCAACGTTTTTATTGGAATATGTTATTTGTGAACTAAATTTGCGGTTTACTTTGCCTACAAGACAGCACGCTGTTGACCATTTTGCATTTTCGCACAGCTATGTAGATTTCCTGTGAAGCACTTACACCCACTGATAGTGCATCGTAATAGAAGGCCCTAACAAAAATTGAAGCTGGGAAGTACATCAAGTTTTGAGACTGGCCGCCATATGTTGAATGGCCCCACTTGAGGAGTGAAAGACTATAGATTTCTATTGTAAAACTGACATTTTTCAGAGTTTTTGCCTTATATTCGCTAAGTATGTGAAGAAATCAAGTCAAATCTGGTATTTCAAGAACAAGCACACATCATAGGAGAATGAAGAACATTTGAATGTTGAAAAAAACTAAATTGAAGGTAAATAATTTGATATTTTTACCCACTGGTTTTGTCCATCAAAATATCAGAGCCGACCGAACGTCAGAACACAGCACTATACTCGACAGATTACAAAGTAATTATAATTTTGTCCAGGGGTGGAAAAAGTATCGGAACCTGGGAACCTACAATCAGTGACATAATTATTGGACCGATTAGCTTGAAAAGGGAAAATTCCCCCCCTTCCCCCTTTTCAATGTTGGTCGGTCTTAAATTCATTTTCTAGTTACATGGTAGTGTCTTGTATAATGCTGTCGATACTTATTCTGCCTGATACAGCAACATTGAAACGGGGGAGGGGGGTTATAAGTGAATTTTGCAGAATTGTGTACAAAAATACCTTTTCTATACAAGTGTCCCAAATTTCAATGTCACTGATTGTCTGAATTTTTTCTTATGGCTTGCTCTTAGTTAGGAATTTGTTAGTATTAGTTTACTAGATAATGATGTCTTATAAATTGCCATAGTGGTTCTTTAAACATCGTTCTATCATATAAGACATATAAAGATATGTGATTCCTATGAAATCGTTCCCTAAAAGTATGTTTGCTACAGATATTGGTATATATATTATATATATAGTGTAGCTTAGAACGTGCGCGCTAAATTATTGCGAATATGCGTGTTAGTTGTAATACAAGAGATGCATGCATGCCGCCACAAAATTTGAATTAACTCTATTTAATGTATCAAGTTACAGGAACAATTAATTAAAATTTACTTATAGTTATACATAGAATTTTTACTCTCTGTGATCACATGCATGCGGTTGACAAACATATAAGTTAGTTTACTTTCATTTGCGCATGTATGGATCTGCTTCAAAGCTATACCACGAGCAGTTCTTCATCTGATTCGGAAAACAGCGAGTTAGGTAGGAGGGATATTCGGAAGGTGTATTTAATCACATATAGCCAAGCCAACACATCAAAAATTCCAACGCGGAGTTCCTTCGCTGAAGCAGTAATAAAAGCATTCAATAGCGGTTCTGCGAAAGTTGCAATTGTCCACTGGTGTTGCTGACAAGAATCGCACAAGAAGTCGGGAGTGCACTATCATATGTGTTTAAAGCTAGACAGAAATCAGTGGTGGCTACGGGCTAAGACGTTTCTCCATAAAAATTATGGCATTTCTGCCCATTTCACGAGCGTTCACGCGAATTATTACACAGCTTGGAAGTATGTGACCAAAGAGGATAGGCACTCAGTTGAAAGTGAAGGGCATCCTGATTTAAACGACAGCGAAGGACCGTCGACCTCGAAAGCGCATATGGCAAATCGTAATCGAAGAATCAAACGAGTTTGCAAAAGGCAGTTTGTAGAAGAGGACACTGACACCTTTCTAGAACAAAGTGACGGCGATAATCCAGAAGAAAGCAAATCGAAACAAAGTGGAAAAAAGCGAAAGCGCTTGAGTGCATACAAAGTTTCTGAAATAATTTTGAGCAAAGGCCTTCGAAATCGAACGGAACTATTAGCTTTTTCTAACCAGCAAAGAGAGGAGGGGAAGACAGATTTGGCCGAGTTTATTGTAAATAGAGGTAAAAAGGTGGTTAATGAGGTCATTGCTACTGCTTGGGAGATGGAATCGGCACAGAGGACACAAGAAAGACAAGGTAAAACCCGCATTGAACTGCTTCGCGATGCTTATCAACATGAATGCACATGCAATGCTGACGGTGAATGGCATTACTGTGCGTTACAACTGTTAGCAAATAACAACATTTCTGTTGACAATTTTGCTAACTGCGTCAAAGAGCTGTTGACGAAAGGCCGTGGGAAGTTCCGGAATGTTATGTTGACGGGCCCGGCGAACTGTGGTAAAACATTCTTGCTCAATCTGCTAAACAAGGTATTTAATACTTTCACTAATCCAGCATCCACTAGCTTCGCACGGGTAGGAGCTGAGAAAAGTGGCGTTGTGGACGAAAGAGAGACTGAGATGATGGCCGTAAGATGGAAAATGTTTAACTTCAACAGGCAGATTCCACAGGAAGAACAACGAGAAGTCGCGCCGTGTGCAGCATGCTTTGCTCGCCTTATCCTTGAGGACTATGACTGGCTTGCTTAATTATTTGCTAGCATGAATTACATTTCAAGTATTTGGACAAATACACTGCACTGTGTAATTTTACAAACAAAGTGTGAATTTCTATTTCTTGAAAATTAATCGTCATGTGGCGAAGTCTATAAATAGCACAAGTAACCGCACGTCTCCACAAGTAACCATATTTAAGCATTCAAATAAGATGTATGATGTGTAGTTATTGTCGATAAATATATCTGTCTAATGTTATACAAATTGTGAATTCGCTATTTGTTGACGCATAATTAACCATCATCCAAGTAGAAATAGCGCAAGTTACCACAAGTAACCACAAGTAACCATATATAAATAAGATATATCATATATAGTTATTTAAGTAATTGGTTACTTGTGGTTACTTGTGGTTACTTGTGCAAACAGTCTGTTATTTTTAGATAAAGACATGGTTACTTGGCATTAATATAAATGTGTATTATATATACATGTAAAATCTGTGCATAAGCATGATATATACGCAATAAACACAATTTTGTTTGCGTTAGCCTTGGCTAAGCATTCTGTAATACGACACCTATATGTATTACTGTAGACAGGCAAATCTTCGAGATTTAAAACAATATATATATATATACATGTATTCATCAAATATTATACAACAGTAAACTAGAATAAGTATAAGTTTAGTTAGTATTTTGTACGCTTTCCCTTATGTTTAACAATATCTTTAATTCTCCTTGGCATACTTGCAATTGTCTTATCTACATATTCTTGTGAGACTGACCAAATATTAAATTTCACCCTTTCGACAAATTCATCCCATGACTGGTATATAACGTTCTTCTGTAAGATTTCTGCTTCAATTTTTTTTCGCACAATATGAAACAAATTTTCAATTGGATTCAAATCAGGTGATCTTGCTGGAATAACTTGCATGCTTGCTTTGATAGATTTTAAGGCTTTCCTTGCAACAGCCGACGTTTGTGAAGGATCATTATCCATTACAAATAATTTCGGTTTGGTATTATCATTGTTTGACGTGATGTCAAAGAGAATAGGAAAATGACGGCGTATAAAACGTGCAAAATATGGGCCATCCATCTTTACATATGGTTCTGCACAAATAACGCCATGCCCATGCGCCATGGCAACTAGCAAATGCAACCTTTTACCGCCAGCAAGTTCTTTGCTACCTTTTGTAGTTAATAGCAAACCTTCACCTCTTTTCCGCCAAACACGATTTTTTGGTTTAAGTACGTCACTCATTGGATTACTTTTGTAAATAAAGGAAACACCATCCAAATAGAAAGAAACATCTGAGGTCCAGTAATCTTGGGGTTTGGTAGCCATGCTTCGTGCAAACTTACGGTGTATTTTTAAATCTTTCTTTGTGAGAACCCCTTTCTTGCGACTTTGAAAAAAACCATATCCCAGCCGTTTCACATATCGAAGAAATGTTCTGTATGTCGCAATTGTAGGTGAGATACCGCTACGCTGCACTACTTCCATAACTGTGAAATTAGGACTTTTTTCTCGGAGTTGGATAATTGCTCTTTTGAGTTTGCGCTCATCTCGTTCCGTCAATGATTTACGCCGACCTTGATACGATTTCTTCAACTTTTTGGTATTTGTATTTTTAGTATCAAACCGCTTAATAACTCTTTGAACACTTGTCTTTGACATGTTTGTTTTTAACACAATATTCCTTCCTCCCTAACCCAAAGATAAATTTCCCTAATATTGCCTCAAATTTCCATTTTCCACAAACGTTTTCTTCTAAGTGGAAACAATTACAAGCATGAACCAATAAAAAAGTTTAGGGTCGGGATTTCGGAGTCCAAAAGCTAGGTAGAGTCGGGAAACCCACATATTTTTTTGGCCTCAGATACGTATAACAACCCAAACGTGAATCTGCCTCTTGAAGTGTATAGCTTACTGAAAACACCACCATTCATCATAGCTGTTAAAAGGTAATGGTGAAATGGACCAGTAAGAGTCTTCTCGTTAACATAGAGATATAACATATTGCCGCATGTGTGGGCACTTGGAATAAACTTTAATTCATCGTGTACAAACTTTGTAGATGGTTTTGGATCATATCCAACAGCTGGTGGAGAAGGTGTTCCTGTTGCAAACATGAGGACATGGCCCGGGGTTAAAACACGAACACAATCTTCTTCTTCTTTTGTCAATTTAGTCTGATCTTCTAAAATCTCCCTAAGGGTGCCTCCTAAATGTATTTAGAAATGACATTTCCTCATCACTTTCTTGCGTGTCACTACTCTGGTTCCAGACGCTCGTTGCGAGGTGAAAGAAGAGAGGAAGAGCCTCTGGTTACATCGGTTTGGGAAATAAACATTACTGTAAGCTATACTTATAGCTATAAAAGCAATAATTAGCTTGTTTATTTCCCAAACCGGTTTGACATATTTTTATAAATAGCCAATCACATGCGAGGTTCAAATTCTGAACCTAATCAAGTGTGGAAGTGGGATTTGCAACCGATGTGACCAGAGGCTCTTCCTTCTCGCCTCTTGTTTCTTTCACCTCGCAAAGAGCCTCTGGAACCAGGATAGCGTGTCACTTGGCATACACTATATTATTATTGTTTAGTATTATGAATTTTTCTGGGTTGGTGTTGTGTACTCAGGTGAATAATATTGTTTGCGATGTTACTCTGAGTGCATATCCACACCGGGCGAGCTTGAAAAATATGCCCGGCCACGGTGGGATTCGAACCTATGACCTTTGGAATACTAGCCCAATGCTCTTCCAACTGAGCTACGCGGTCAGGACAGTTCGAGTAAGTGATATTTCGGAACAGTAACTAGTTCCTTCAATACCAATGTGTTCTAGTAATATGAATTTTTCTGGGTTGGTGTTGTGTACTCAGGTGAATAATATTGTTTGCGATGTTACTCTGAGTGCATATCCACACCAGGCGAGCTTGAAAAATATGCCCGGCCACGGTGGGATTCGAACCTACAACCTTTGGAATACTAGCCCAATGCTCTTCCAACTGAGCTATGCAGTCAGGACGGTTCGAGTTGTTTAGTATTGTGTTATTGCAATAAAACAAAAAAATATAGCCAAAACACACCAAAACCAAATATACCCCTCGAATATTTCCCTCCAATAACCTCCGTTTCCGCCGAAAAATAGCATGGGCACCTACAGATACAACGAAGAACTATACATTATGTAGGCATATAAAAACAAAGGCTTTTAGCCAACGTTAAAACAGGAACTGAGCACAATGACAAAAAATAATTGATAGCAAGATAACACATATACCTTCGAGGCACTGCATAAATTCAACGAATTTTGATAAAACAACCTCTTCATTTGCTCTTCTCTGGTTTCCTGCAGATGCCATGGATGGCTTCAAAAATGCCTAAACTTTCAAAAACTTCCCGCGCACTAATTTTATAATCCACCCGATATTGTAGAAGATACTGTGCCAATCCATCACATTTTCTAATTAAATCCAACACCTTTGAAAGAATAACAATTGTTTAATGCAAATTTGAAATTGAATACTGTAAAATGCTGTCATGAAACAGCCAGCTGACCTAACATAATCACAGTCTGAAATTTGCAGTGTCCCGATATCCACAGGATACTAAAATTAGTTTCGGAAACCCAACTGTGAATGACTTTTGGATACCAACAAAATTTCAAACAATATGAAAATGCTAAGCATCTCTGACAGTCTCCTGATAGCTTTTGATTATACTATGAATTTGCCAGCAGCTTTTCCACACTACTGAAGACTAGCGTATAGAAGTTTGTTGAAGGATTATACATAATGTCATGAATGAATTGTCTAGTTGTTGACTGTTGAGTATCCTGTTTTTACTGTAATTTGGACGGTACACAGTATAGTGCTTGTGCCTGTGATTAGCAGTATCCAGAAGTGGGATACTGGATTCTCAGAGGGATATACTAAAACTTGAATCCTGGTATCCTTAATATGTATATTTAGATTTTCTAATCAATCTTGAAAGTTTCTTTTAATAATATTAACCCACTTTAGTTAAATAAGTTGCAATGGCAATAAAACTTATAAGTAATATTCCTTTAAATCAAATGTAGTGGTTTCAAATGTTGAATTTTCCAAGTGTATAATTCAACAATTGAATTGGGCACTTGGAAATTCTACATTTGAAACAGGCATGAAGTGGAAAAAAGTGGATAACAATACCTCATAATATTTGAGCACCTCCAAAATACCATCCAGCATGCTTTTGCACTTTATGATTGTGAACTACTTTGCAACTTCACTAATAAATACTTCTCGTTGCTGAAATGGGACGGTAGCTGGCAGCCCATCAATCTCATATCTCCATTCACATCGATTAAGACATTCCGTAAAAGATTTTACATCAGCAGCATTTGCTATCTGAAATGAGCGATAGGGACAAGAGTTTATTAACAATGAAGCAAGAACAGTATGATGTTTGTGCTGTTACTCTGAGTGTATATCCACAGCGGGCGAGCTTGAAAAATATGCCTGGCCACGGTGGGAATCGAACACACAACCTTTGGAATACTAGCCCAATGCTCTGCCAACTGCGATGCGCGGTCGGCTGGGCATATTTTTCAAGCTCGCCCGGTGTGGATATACACCCAGAGTAACAGCACAAACAAAAAACAGTAATCTTCCAGTCGCTTATTTTTCCTTTCGCCCTCCCTGTGAGCCTCTACGTACCCACTCATGGTCTCAGCCACCTGATAATTGCTTGAATATTGTTGAATACAAAAAAAGAAATACTATAATATTATAAGATCTACAAGTATTTATAATTTTATATTTAAAAGCGACTGGGGACGAGTCTGGGGTAGAGGGGCAGTCTATACATACCCGAAGATAAGAGTTCAAATCCCGCTCGAGCCAAAAAATTTTTCGTTGGTCTATTGCTGTGTCAGAATAATATGATAATAATACGTATCTCTGAGGATACGTCAGAATAATACGTATATCTGAGGATAAAGTTCAATTGTCTTGCATTTTAGAACAAATGAAAAAAACAGCAAACAATTTGTAAATCTAGATTTGGATTTTTAGGATTTGGATTTTTTGTATTCGTTAAACAAATGGAACGAATTGTGAGAATCAGAATTCGCCTGCCGTTTTCCCGCCATTTTACAATACGTTTGATCTCCTACACTTTTCTGGAGTGATTTGCCCCTTGGTAATAGGGCAGGGGGCTTATATTGGCCTGAGTATTAATATGGTAGACTTATGCTAATCTGCAAGGGTATTTTTAGGTTTCCACTTACATAAAATCAGTTGCAATAAAAAAGCTAATATCTTCAAAAGGACTCTCATCTGCAGAATCGCATTCCTTTTCCCCACATGTATTGACAGCATCAGTTTCCGGAAAATTATTTTCATCCATGGTCATTAAAATGTCACTTTCTTCATCTTCATCCTCATCTTCGTATGTATCTTTCTCCGATAGTGGGGCAACTGGGCTTAAGTAGAGAGTTAGCCTAGAATATGACTTTCCAAGCCATTCCTTATAGCTTTTTAAAATGAATTCATCTTCGGTACCCGGAATTTTCTTGGCAATACTTGTATCAGGGTATGCGAGTACATAACCCCTCGGTCGAACGCTTCACTTTTTTTTTCGCCGCAGAGAGAACTTCCTGATAAGTTGCATTATCAGATGTTTTCAAAGGCAAAGATCCCCCTCTGACTGGTTTTAATTCAGTTCCCACGTACTCCATCATACCAATGTTTATTGTTACCTCACATGCTTTTGCCCCCTTTTTTGCTTTTTTGCTTCTGTCTTTCTTCCGACTTACGTTTCGCAAACTGTTTGTAAGTTGGTAACAAACTTTGTCTTTTTCCCTTATTCGATTTTATATCTCTTGATTGACTTGACAGTCTTGGCTGACTTGCGCTCGGCTTGCTCTTTTGTCCTTCGCTTTTGTTTTGTAATCGCTCACCACAAGCGGAACAGTAATTAAAAGATTCTTGAACAGGAGAGCCACAGGAAGGAACAATACATCTTTGAATAATTCAGTTTTTACATCGTTTTCGATCACTTTTCTATCACATTGTTTTCTCGAAGTAGAGCACGGGAAAATGTTGACAAATATATCCGCATTTCGAAAAAAAATATCGGTGCACTGAGAAAATATTGTTGTGCACTGAGAAAATATTGTTGTGTACTGACAAAATATTGTTGTGTACTGACAAAATATTGTTGTGCACTGAGAAAATATTGTTGTGCACTGAGAAAATATTGTTGTGCACTGAGAAAATATTGTTGTGCACTGAGAAAATATTGTTGTGCACTGAGAAAATATTGTTGTGCACTGAGAAAATATTGTTGTGCACTGAGAAAATATTGTTGTGCACTGAGAAAATATTGTTGTGCACTGAGAAAATATTGTTGTGCACTGAGAAAATATTGTTGTGCACTGAGAAAATATTGTTGTGCACTGAAAAATGTTTTTGTGCACCGAGAAAATATTGTAGTGTATTGCAATATATTTACGTGCACGCACAAATATTGTTGTGTATTGCATATATGGGCCACCATAGTTTAGTATGCTGCAACGCAAACTCTAAATATAGCATGTGCCACTTATAGAATTCGCACTGCATGTGGGCTTTTCCCCGAGTAGCATATTAATTTGGTCAAGTTGTGTATTTTAACATGCCTATTATTTTAAATCCCTTGGAACCACTTACGGTGGACATATAAACAAAGAAATATAGATTAGTAAAATAGTGCTATAAACTTATTTGAGGGAAAGGTTATTTGGCAGAACTACAGTGCATTTTTAGCAGTGACATGAACTCAGACGTCTGACCTCAGCAACATTCTAATGTAAACAAAAGGCCATAAATAGTATCAAATTTCAAACGCTCTCAATTGTTCAAATCGCGTTTGCAGACAAGTTTTATTACGGTTTTTTGTACTTCAACAAGTCCTTTTTTCCAACTATACTGGTCACTGTATGTAATTAGGTCCCACTTTTAAGAAATTCAGCGTAGAAAATAGTAGCATTTGAAAGCCATATTTTTGACATGGCGCTCTTTGTCGCTAAATATTGTCACAAATGCTCTGTAATTGAAAACCTAAGTTAGTTTAGATGAAATTACGATAGTTTTCCGGTGCTGGGTGTGAATATCAGAAATTTTGAACAAAAACTTTTGAAATTATTTTATTTAAATTCAGCCCATTTTTTTGGTTTAATTAGCTGTCGAATTTCTCCCGCGACGGTGCAAGACCAAAAAATCGCTAAAACTTTGAAACTAAATATATTTTCAAAATTCCAAACAGCATTTGTTTGTTGTTAAAGTAAATGTAGTTCACGGTAAAAGTTTCGAAGAAATTTATTTTTCGAGCCCCAAGTCAGTGGGCAGTTTTTAGAGACACACGCTCTTAATATGCTACTCGGGGAAAAGCCCGCATGCAGCGCAAATTCTATATGTGGCACATGCTATATTTAGAGTTTTGCATTGCAGCATACTAAACTATTGCTTAGTTCGAAAAGTCTATAAATGTGCGAAGTTTAGTTCTGGAACCTTTCTGCGAAGTTGATCTTTGAATTATATTGCTGCAAAATTTGAGAGTTCGTATGGATAATCTGTGTTCTTTTAATGCTATCGGTTCAACTGTATGTGGAGGGTGTCTGGGTGAATCTGGTATTAGACGCTTAGAAGATTGTGATGAGAACATTCAAAACCATGTTTCAAGTTGCCGTTTGGCGAGATCTGGTTTTAGAGAGCGCGAGCTGATTTTGAGAAGAGCGGGATTTTTACATGAAATATCAAGCGGAAGAAATACGCTCCATGACAGTATGCCCAAACCACCGGTACAACTTGGGCCGATATTGGAGACCTCATCTAACATGCCAACATCCTTCTCACACTGTGCCTGCATGTCGCTGCAAAGGAAAAGATGTCATTAACCTGGAAGTATTGACAGGATGTATTCCAAATTTATGGAGTTCTTGCACAAGTTGGTTCTCGTAAGTGATAAATATAGTCCAAATTAGAGATATATAATCGCATTGTTAATTTGTTATAGGCAATATAATTAGAGTTGCACCGCGAATAGGCCAGTGTGGCATTCGCATGGTAACATTGGAAATTAGAGGTATACTGTAGTGCCGCACTGGCCTATTCACGGTGCAACTCTAATTATATTGCCTATAACAAATTAACAATGTGATTATACATCTCTAATTTGGACTATATTTATCACTTACGAGAAACAACTTGCGCAAGTACTCCATAAATTTGGAATACATCCCGTAATACTTCCACGTTAATGACATCTTTTCCTTTGCAGCGACGTGCAGGCGCAGTGTGAGAAGGCATGATGGTCAGATTTGCTCAATTTCCTCCCACTTGGGATTTAGTGGTGTCGTATTTCAAGCAGCAAGATTTAGCGAGAGCAGGATAAATAAATTTCATGCAAGTTCGCGCATTATTTTTAATATATTATGCACGTCTTCTCGGACTTAGTTTCCCATTATTACATTGCGTCACCCCTCTTTTCCAAAATTATAATAGGGGTAGTGTCCCTTGGGTAGTATTTTGTGCTTTGCAGATGCCCAAAGTTACCCCACTTTTTGGCCAAAGTTGGGTTTATATGGGCTCTGTGTATACCCCAAGTCTTTGTCCTTGTTAATTTTGAATGTACAGTACCATAAAACTGATTTTAAATTTAGCACATTTTCCTATATTGTGTGCGTTTTTGTGTAAAATCATGAAATGTGCCTCAAGGTACCCTCCGCAAGGATACATTTGCTATTTGCAACGCAGTGATGTTGTTAAACCAGAAATCTCTAAACTTAAAATAAAGTTTATCTTCATGGCTTCAACCTATGGTGTCGAAACCGATCAGAAATTGCGCGTACTCGCCATGTAAATATGGGTTTTGATTTGCACTTTTGACTCATTTGCCATCTTGAATTGTCTTCTTGTTGAGATTTCATATCTCAATTGCGTTCGAAATGTTTGGTATTTTAAAGAAGGGGTATTGTGTGGAGGTTTATAATGCAGCGAATAAAACCAGCATGGGATAATTATGGTAAAAGACCAGAAATTGTGCATTGAACTCGTTTTTAATTTTAAAGGCTTTAAGTATACCTTTTCTTCAGACATTGACGGCATCTCAAATGTCTACATATTTGTAATAAACCTATAAAGGATTAATGCGTCTGTCTGTCTTAAGAGTTATATAGTCGAATAATTCAGCATGATTTGTCTCCCGTTCTCTTGTAAGTTGACTAATATTGCATTAAAAGTGGACCAAGATTTCAGTGTATTTGTTTGCTAATGTTGCTATATCTCAAACGCGATTTGCCTATTAAAATATCATATGACACGCAATTTTAATTCCACGGCAAACTGCTGTTGCACAAATAACAAATGCGAGATTAAATATATGGCAGTATTACAGTTTAGGTATCTTTTAAATTGCTAATAGATCACACAGAAACGTTTTACAATCGTTATATTCAAAAGACTAGTGTGCAAAGTCACATATTTGTGTTTATTCAAGTGTTATTCATGATTTGCTATTTACGTGGGAAGCGACAAAATATGACACAGTATTTTTGAAGTATATCGTGAAACTCCACTGACAAAATGAGCCCGCACAAGTGGGAGAAAATTTGTGCATTCTGACCATCGTGAGGATGTTGGCATGTTAGACAAGGTCTCCAGTATCGGCCCAAGTTGTACCGGTGGTTTGGGCATACTGTCATGGAGCGTATTTCTTCGCTTGATATTTCATGTAAAAATCCCGCTCTTCTCAAAATCAGCTCGCGCTCGCTAAAACCAGATCTCGACAAACGGCAACTTGAAAGATGGTTTTGAATGTTCTCATCACAATCTTCTAAGCGTCTAATACCCGATTCACCCTGACACCCTCCGCATACAGTTGAACCGATAGCATTAAAAGAACACAGATTATCCATACTAACTCTCAAATTTTGCAGCAATATAATTCAAAGATCAACTTTGCAGAAAGGTTCCAGAACTAAACCTCGCACATTTATAGACTTTTCGAACTAAGCAATAGTTTAGTATGCTGCAACGCAAACTCTAAATATAGCATGTGCCACATATAGAATTCGTGCTGCATGCGGGCTTTTCCACGAGTAGCATATTAATTTGGTCAAGTTGTTTATTTTAACATGCCTATTATTTTAAATCACTTGGAACCACTTACGGTGGACATAAACAAAGAAATATAGATTAGTACAATAGTGCTATAAACTTATTTGAGGAAAGGTTATTTGGCAGAACTACAGCTCATTTTTAGCAGTGACATGAACTCAGATGTCTGACCTCAGCAACATTCTAATGTAAACAAAAGGCCATAAATAGTATCAAATTTCAAACGCTCTCAATTGTTCAAATCGCGTTTGCAGACGAGTTTTATTACGGTCTTTAGTCCTTAAAAGTGTCCTTTTTCCAACTATACTAGTCACTGTATGTAATTAGGTCCCACTTTTAAGAAATTCAGCATAGAAAATAGTAGGATTTGAAATCCGTATTTTGACATGGCGCTCTTTGTCACTAAATATTGTCACAAATGCTCTGTAATTGAAAACCTAAGTTAAGCCAGGCACACACACTGCGATTTTAGTCGGCCGATTTAAGGTTAGGTGCATGATATTGGCAAATCTGGCGATGTAGATGAGCCCACAGATCCTATCACTGATTGTTTTTGCTGAAAACATCCATCTAAACCTGAATCGGCTGACTAAAATCACAGTGTGTGCGCCTGGCTTTAGTTTAGATGAAATTACGATAGTTTTCCGGTGCTGGGTGTGAATATCAGAAATTTTGAACAAAAATTTTGAAATTATGTTTATTTAAATTCAGTCCATTTTTTCGTTTAATTAGCCGGCGAATTTCTCCCACGACAGTGCGAGACCAAAAAATCGCTAAAACTTTGAAACTAAATATAT